ATCGAGGTGACCTGTGAAGACTGTCGACAGTCATATAACCTGATATAAACATGCATGTATATATAGATATAAAAAGATAGCGAACGTGTGCAATTGGATTTTTCTAGGTCTGTTTGATTTCATACTGTAGGTTAAAAAAATAATTTAACCATCGTTTTTACCTGTATGAATGAGTTTTTGTAGATCGAACCAGTCAACCAAATGGTTTACCCTTGTTTCACTTTCAATGTTGACATTCTTTTCCTTTTAATAGCTTAGTTTATGTGTAACCCATCTCTAGATAAGAGTTAAATTGGAGGTCACATGAATACGGATTTAATGAGGTCAAATTATTCACTTGCAAGTGAACAATTCATCAGCGATGTTTCTTAGCTTGTTTTAACAAAATTAAACCAAACTGACTGCTTAAAGAGAATTATCATTTCACTATTTCACTTTCATTAATGATTGACCAAAAAAAAAAAATCATATTTAAATTTTTTCATATCTTGTATATAATGCCCCTTTAAGGTACTAGTTGAGGCAACAACCACTTATATGGGAGATTTTTACAAGTTTACCTCTAAAGAAAATGCTCCCCGTCCCTCATTTAAGATTTTTTTCTAAGGTTTTGATGTGTGGAAGGTGGAAACCTACATAAAGATTTGAAAATTATCTGATAAACTAGAGGCTCTAAAGAGCCTTTGCGCTCACCTTGGTCTATGTGCATATTAAACAAAGGACACAGATGGATTCATGACAAAATTGTGTTTTGTGATGGTGATGTGTTTGTAGATCTTACTTTACTGAATATTCTTGCTCCTTACTATTATCTCTATCTATAATGAACTTGGCCCAATAGTTAAAGTGGAAAATACTTTTAAAAATTTACAAAAATTTACAAAATTTATGAAAATTGTAAAAAATTGACTATAAAGGGCAATAACTCCTTAAGGGGTCAATTGACAATTTTGGTCATTTGCCTTATTTGTAGATCTTACTTTGCTGAACATTATTGCTGTTTACAGTTTATCTCTATCTATAATAATATTCAAGATAATAACCAAAAACGGCAAAATTTCCTTAAAATTACCAATTCAGGGGCAGCAACCCAACAACGGGTTGCCTGATTGGTCTGAAAATTTCAGGGCAGATAGATCTTGACCTAATGAACAATTTTATACTCATCAGATTTGCTCTAAATGCTTTGGTTTCAGAGATATGAGCCAAAAACTGCATTTTACCCTATGTACTATTTTTTAGCCATGTCGGCCATCTTGGTTCTTGGGCGGGGTCATTGGACACATTTTTTAAACTAGATACCCTAATGATGATTGTGGACAAGTTTGGTTAAATTTGTCTTAGTAGTTTCAGAGGAGAAGATTTTTGTAAAAGATTACAAAAATTTACGAAAAATGGTTAAAAATTGACTATAAAGGGCAATAACTCCTTAAGGGGTCAACTGACCATTTTGGTCAAGTTGACTTATTTGTAGATCTTACTTTGCTGAACATTATTGCTGTTTACAGTTTACCTCTATCTATAATAATATTCAAGATAATAACCAAAAACTGCAAAATTTCCTTAAAATTACCAATTCAGGGGCAGCAACCCAACAACGGGTTGTCCGATTCATCTGAAAATTTCAGGGCAGATAGATCTTGACCTGATAAACAATTTTACCCCATGTCAGATTTGCTCTAAATGCTTTGGTTTCAGAGATATAAGCCAAAATCTACATTTTACCCCTATGTTCTATTTTTAGCCATGGCGGCCATCTTGGTTGGTTGGCCGGGTCACCGGACACATTTTTTAAACTAGATACCCCAATAATGATTGTGGCCAAGTTTGTTCAAATTTGGCCCAGTAGTTTCAGAGGAGAAGATTTTTGTAAAAGTTTACGGACGACGGACGCAGGACGCAAAGTGATGAGAAAAGCTCACTTGACCTTTCAGGTCAGGTGAGCTAAAAATGAAGGTGCTATCAAAGCAAAAAGCAATAATCTGAGTTATATCTACAATCCCCGGTCCACCATTTTGATTTTAATGATTATTGAACTGATGGTTTCCACTCATCAAAACCTTCATCCAAATTTTAAGAGGATCTGACAAAAAATGAAGGGTTACTAGCATGATGACAAGATATAATATACTGGTAGGTTATATTTCCAAGCCCCCCTCCCCCTTTTCAGATTTTTTCTGATTGTTGAAATTATCTGTGGTTTTGATTAATGGTAAACTTCAACCAAATTTAAAGAAGATCGAACATAAAATGAAGGATCTAACAAATATTAATAGAATATACTTTTAAAAATCCACTCACGAAAAAATTGTACCCTACTTCATATTTTTCTATTATAAAACACATTTTCTGACATCACCTCAACCAGTCTTTGCTTTTACTCCTAAATGTTGTATAGCAAATACCAAATGGATGGGGATCAAACCAAATATCACCCAAACATGCTACCACTAAACCACAAAAACAGTTCTCTAGTTCTCATGAGTGGAAAACTTCATACAAAAATAAGGAGTTGTGGTATGATTGCCAATGAGACAACTATCCACCAAAGTTCAAATGAAGTGGATGTAAGCAATTATAGGCAACCGTACAGCCTTTAACAAGGAGAAAAACCCATTACGTATAGTCAAAAACATAATACCCTCAGAAAATTGATGAGTATGGTATAAAAAACAAACTTCATTTACAACGTTTATAGCTTTATTTACAAGGAGGCATACATAACGGGTACGATATCCATTAACAAAATAAATAGCAATTTATAAGTATGTACATGTAAAATGACTATGAGCAAATATAATGTAATGCATTGTAAAACATCACTTAGAAGTGATAAATAATAATTAAAAAAATAATCCCATAACAGTCTAGTTTTAAACCATCAATAAATGAAACTGTTTAGATGAAGGGGAAATAACCCTTTATAAAAATGAACTAAATAATTTTGTCATTTTTTAAAACCATTATTTCAATAACTTTACAAAATTTAGCTTACTTAACTTTCTTATGTAAATGCATCAGCAATTAAATTCATCACATTTATAAAAAAATTACTTCGAAGCATTCTTTTAATCATAAATTTTGGATAAAAAATGTTTTTTAACCTCAATTTTTTTATTTAGGTTTCATCAAAACTTGTTTTGTGTCAATTGACAGAATCTGTATTTTCTTCCAATTCATTTTTTTAAATTCTATATCTCCAAATATGTTAATATTCTTTATTACAACCTCAGGCAAAAAGATAATAAAAAAAAAAGAAAAAAAAAAGCACTAACAGTAACTGATTTTCTATAAAAGCTCACATGATATAGTTTTCTTTATTTTCCCATTTATTTATTTTTTTGATACTTTCTGAAAACAGATAGAGAGTCCCAAATTCCTAAATCATCAGAAATAATGACAGCAAATATTCAACTAGGGACCAATTTTACATTCATCTAAAATAAGAAAGCCAATCTATCATTAATGCCCCAAAACTGACAAAATTTGACAATTAAATGCTTAGCATAAAACAGCAGAAATTAAAATTAACTACACATGCCTTTAATTTTATCATTACAAAAAAAAGATTCTTTTCATCTTTCAGATGACATATATTTAATATACTAAAGCTCTCAGCAAAATAAAAAAAATGGATAAGACCTTACCACACAACCTCACAGCCTCACTTGCCAAGCAACATATCAAACAGCCAATCAGGCACATTTGGCAAACACAAAATAAAAAGTGAAGGCAAAAAATATAATTTCATGATACAGTGCATCAGTGTTTCTAACAGTTATGAGGTAGAAAAGCTAGCACATTTTTCAAGATAGGAAGACAAAAATAACACGATACTTAATTTCATCCACAAAATTTTAATTTTGTACTTCAAATTCAAACAAACAAAACACTTAAAAAGGTATGAATAAAATAGATAACAATGTACAGACAAAAACAATTGATTCACCGAGATCAATGATGAGGAAAAACATGTACATGTAAATGGTTTTGAAATTTTAGAGACATAATATTTATCGAACATTTTTATCATTTGAAAATCAATAACAAATAACCGTTTTTAACAAGTTTACTTCATAGAAGACTATTATTGCACTTAACCAATATAGTGGAGAATGCATACCTTGAGTTTGTATGTACAAATACTGTTTTTGTATAACAGGTAGAATTGGTTTTATCAGCCACTTACTTCTGCTCAAGCGGGTAACCTTTAATTCCCATGTTAAAGATAATGCTCATCCTGTTTTAGATGCACTGTTCTTATAGTGTATTTTACTTTTAAGACATAATTATGTTTTAGACATATGTAAATGGGGAGGTTTGGGTGCATATAAAACTGGTTTAACCCCATTTTCTCTACGTTAATTTTGCATAGCATTTTTTAGTTCACATAAATAAATGAGCACCGAAAACAGGCATAGATATAGTTCATAAATGTTTCTCGTTTTTTACATAGATTAGACCGTTGGTTTTCCTGTTTGAAATGTTTTACAATAGTCATTTTGGGGCCCTTTATAGCTTGCTGCTTGGTGTGAGCCAAGGCTCCGTGTTGAAGGCCGTACTTTGACCTATAATTGTTTACTTTTTACACCTTGTAACTTGGATGGAGAGTTGTCTCATTGGCACTCATACCAAATCTTCTTATTTATATAGACGGTTAATGATTTCTGTTTTCTTTCCCTGTAGCCATGACTTTAACTCCTATTAGTAATTTAAAGGGCTGATAAAAATCAGGCTGAGGGCTTGTTCATTTAAAAAAAAAATCCCTCCAAAAGTAAGACAAAGCAAAAAATTCCTACATGAAACAGTGACATACTCAAGGTATGCATTACTTACATTTCCACTAACCAAGTTACTAATCATTTAACACAAAATTACAAGTTTTTTTTAATCCAGTTTCAACTTCGTCACTTTAATCATAGTTGCTGGAGATCTGTATACAAATATGAGTTTGGCAAATAAATCCTCTTCTAATCTGAACTGATGACATTCTCTGGCCATATATACATCCAGACACAGATTGAGGACATAGTCTACGTTTGGCAGTTCTAAGAACATAATAACTTCTGACGAACCACTAAAAAACACTCGTACAAATCTGCCTATCACAAGTACAGCAGAAATATATAGTCCAATAATCCTGAAATGAAGAAATTAGTGAGTTTTTGTTAGTAAATAAGGAATTATAAAGCTGATAACTTGACAATACAGTATAATCAACAAGTCACAAAAGAAATTTCTAACTCAGTGTTTTCTATGCATCATTAAACTTGTATTTGTACATACACTTTCATGTTTCTTAACAGCATAACTTTAAATGTCTTACCCAAAATCTGCATCTTAAACAAAATATCATGAGGTAAGTCACAATAATTTACAATGAAAATACTTATTTTATATGGTCTTAAAAAAATAATAAAACAGTAGCTCACATTTACTATTTTCCTGACATTCTTTCATGCTTTCAATGTGATACCATTTCACTAAAGACAAATTGTAAGAATTTATAAAAGAATTAAAGAACTTTTTTAACTAGTATATCAAAATTTAAAGGCCGACAATGGCAATTTCATTAAAAAAAATAACAATTTTAAAAGGCCATTTTCTTTTTATACAAGTATTTATGTGAACATAAAATATGAAATATAATTTCAAATTAGCTTAAAAATTCATATGTTACACTTTATAGACATACATATTGCACATGATCATGAAACTATATGAAGCTAAATATATATTTCTTACTAAACATCCCAAAACTACACGACTAAACTAATGATACATACTCTTAGCTACTAATATAACAATTCTACTCACAAAATGGTAGTTTTTTAATATGTAAAAGCTTATACAAAAATCACCTGCATTTGTATTACATAACACTGATATATATAAAATTGCACAGTATAAAACATCTTAAAAAGCTGGTTAATGCTAAAAGTTATATTAGCTTGCATGTAAAATTATATTTTCAAAACATTTTTTTAACAAAAACACTCTAACAATAAACTGCCATTTTAAATCATTTTTTTTCCTATGCAATATAACACATCAACATATACAAGATTATTTATTTTACAATTATTATGTATGAACCTGCAAGTTTGGGATTCCCACTATCTTTTATCAATTAAGAAATGAATGCTTCCTTTTGTAATTTTATTGGGGTGTAAAAGCGTTGACTGAAGCACATTTTGTATGAAGCGCTTCATTCTAAAAATGTGTGCAACACTTTTACACCCCAATAAAATTACAAAAAGAAGCATTCATTTCTTATTATTACATTTTTATGCTAATAAGACCATGAAAAAAAAGTTTGATCAAGTTTTTCTTTTATTTACCTGTGCATTTTTTTTGTGGTTGCACGTGTCATCACGAATGTAACATTTCATTTCGATATGAAGGTCAATTTTTGAATGATGCATGATTGTTTTTAGCCAATCAAACTAACGGATTCTCGTGAAACATACATGTAATGTAATTATTTCCCAATAAAGAAAAAAGTAAACATAAAATAACTGATGCTTCCACAAGGATTTTAGTATATAAGTTGCATATAATTATCAGTAATGAAGACCAAGGTCATTAAAGAAATTCACTTACAAATTGTTCTTCGAAAGACCATTGTGACATACAGAAATGAAAATCATACAATCTAGGGGAGACAATTCAAATTGTCTTCTTTCATACTTACTTTTAATTGATAATTTTTTCTTAATCTATATAAATGGTACATTCCTGATTCCACAAAAAAAAATTTAAATGTAGCCTTCATTTAAAAAAAAAAAAATCCCAAATTTCTTCATATGCTTTTCACAAAGTATAAAAACATGACAAAAATATACTTAAATAAATAAAAAACAATGAAAAACCAATATCTTCATAAGACATGTAAGAGGTAATAGTTCTTTCATGAAAACATACCCTGTAGATCAAAATGGAAAGAATTTACAGTCTTTTCAGACAAAACCAAAAAATTCCAAAATATACAACTGATAAAATCATTTTACCATAAAATGAATGCAAAGAGACAAACACAAAATTGCCATTAAATTTGCTGCAAATCTTTAAATATAAGCATGAATGTAAAATGACTAAAAAAAAATATATAAGTATACAAAATAGAGTGTAATTGATGAATATACAATATGTCAGCAAGAATGGCAGAAAAAATTATGGTTTAAGCAGTACTCAAATTTATACATCATTTGAATTTTTTCATATTTGATAAGCTTTCAAATATCAAATAAGGTGTATGGCCACTGCAGGTTATTATTGCATTAACAAATATACTTTAACTTCTAATTCAATATCTTTCAGTTCCATCTCAAACATTAATCATTCTTTTTAGCATCGGTGATGACGAGATGATTTGGAAGTCTTGTCCATTTGACACGAGTCTCTGCTGATCGGTAGAAGAATATAAGTTTGGCGTAGAGATCTTCTTCTAGACGGAATTCTCCCATTTCTCTTACAAGGTACAAATCTAAACAAAGCTGCAATGCATTATCGATGTAAGGTAGTTCATTGTAGGTGATATTCCCTATCAATCCTGATGTACTCAGTCGTAAGATTCTTCCAATCAACAATATGAAGGAAATATACAGTCCAATTATGCTGAAAAGCAAAGACAAATTAGAGAATGTGTTTTTTTACAATTAATGACTATATGTACAAAATAAATAAAGAATATAACCTCCTCTTATGTACCAGTAAAGGTATAATCTGAAAGTAGTAAACAAGGATGAATAAATGTTTAGGGTCAACTATTTTGATGACATAAACTTGTTACTGTGTAATATATATCAGACTCGTGCCATGTTGAAGCCTTTTTAGTTTGTTAGATCTGTAATGTTTTCTTTGCTTTCAAAACTTTGGTGAACCTTATGGTTAATCCAGAACCATGAGTAATGTTTATGGAATGGATATCATCATTTTTATGTTCTAGATCTACAAAAACCCAAGGATAGTGATCGGAGCCACCACAGAGGGCCCCACTGCATGTAAATAAGTAAATGGTAATGCAATTCTAGAAGTAATCAGGGTTAATTCATTAAAACATAGCTTATACTGATTGACAGCATAGATTTCACTTAGGCACTAATAATGTAAGTGATATTCAACATTTAGATTTATGCTACAATTGAAATATCCACTAGTACAGAATTGAAAAGATTTGTGTCATTTTTCACCTTGACCTTCAAAGTACCCCATTTCCTACATGTATAATTCATGGGGTGTCTTAGATCAATTTACTTTTTAAATATAATCATCAAGCTATGGTTTTCTTTCTAGAATCTGGCCCTCCTTGTCCGGGGGAATAATAATCCCAAGTTTCATCCCCAAAATTTCGAAGGGTTTTTTAAATTTTGATATTAAAAATGATTTTTGTACACATGTACAGGGGTGGCTTAGCTGAACAAAGTTTTTGACAATAAATTTCAATGTAGTTTTCTTGTGTTTTGAACACACCTTCTAGCAGTTGTGAAACATCCTGCAAAGTTTCATTACCAAACTTCAACATGTTATGAAGCAGACAGCAGAAGCAATTTTTGTAAAATATATATAGAGGCTATATTGAACTAAAGTCATTGACTATGACTCATAGTTTTTATCCCTGTACATGACCTACCTGAAAGATGCCAAGTTTTATCATCTAACTCAAAGGATTTTAAAGTTATAGAGCAGAAGCAATTAAGTACATATGCACAGGAGTGGCTAAGTTTAACTAAGTTATTGAACATGACTTTCAATGTATACATCTTCCAGTATCGGTAAATATAATCATGCTTAGTGTCATCACCAAAATCTAGGGGATTTTCAAATCAGAGATCAGAAAAGATTTTTATACATATGCACAGGAACTTATTTTTTTTACTATGACTTTCAATATATAGTTTTCTTGCTTGCAGTGAAACACTTTCCACTAGTGGTGAATAATCAGACCAAAATTTCATAACTGAAGTCCTAGATGTAAAGACTAGGGAGCTGAAATGATTAGTGACATGCGAACATCTACATGCATAAATATAAAATACAAATGTATACAGAAAACTAGAACTTACAACTGTATATATAATTAAAGGATTATATGAAATGCACAATAAAAAGCTTATTACTGTATTATAGGCCTCTGCTGATTAATTGGCATGTTCTTAATAAAACAAGAATTTTAATGTGCTAACAAAGGATATTTAGGTCTATTCCTTAAATGTTGTTTTAACAAAAGATTGGAAACAAGAAACACAATTTTCAAAATTGGCCTCAAAGGGCAAGGTTAAAGGCAATCTGTGTGTCAATTCTTGTTATTTTCAGGTACATTTGTATAGGGATATTCATAAATTGATTAGAAACCAGAGATAATTTTTTGTTTCATGAATCAAATGTCTCAACAATACAGAGCTGTTTAAATAAATAAAATTAAAAAAATATCTGATAGGGAATGTATTATTACAATTCAAAATATGAAAAGGGTGGGGTACTGGAAGTCTCAGCTCCTCAAACCAACCATAAAAGGATTTAAGTGCCCCCACCCCCATATAATGTTTTGAGATTCTCTCACTTTGTTGACTCTGAGAACTTGCAGACCAAAGCTCATTTACATCTACATGCATAAATATAAAATACAAATGTATACAAAAAAGCATTCAAAAAGCTAGAACTTACAAGTGTATATATAATTAAATGATTATATGAAATGCACAATAAAAACTCAAATCTGTGTACAAAGCATTGGGTATCGCAGTGCTGTGACTTAAACTTTGAACATAATACAATATACACGGTTGTAAACACATATATAAAATATTCATCACACAAATTTTTTTTGAGGAAGGGTGTACAATAAAAGCAATCAAAATGTCAGCAGCTGGAACTTATTAAAGATAATCATAAGGGCAATACATAATTAATTAGATATAGATAGGTTTCCATTAACAACTTTTGAGCAAGAGTTATTTCCCTTTTGAGGCCATGCTGGAAGTCTAAGTGCACAAATTCCTTCATAAATCAGTCAAATTCAAATTGTTATACTGACCCCTAAGCTTAGGAAAACATGTTTTTCTGAACAATTTTCATTTATTTTAGCCTTGTAAGTATCTAGTAAGGATCTCTTATTATTATCTGACTTGTGTGTATTTGGTAAATCAAATCATATATCCCTCCAAAATGGCAGCCAAGGGAAATAACTTAAACTCAAATTACTTCATTGGAAACTTATCTAGTGTAGAATCAAATGGGTGTGTATCATTTTATTTTTTTCCCCAATTCAAACAACTCTTCACCAAATATGGAGATAGATGCCTTTAAATGTGGATAAGAATTTCACTGGGACACAAACTTTATAAAATGAAAAGATCTTAAAAATGACAATCAACTGATCATTGACCATAATAGGAAATAAACAAAAATTAAAGTTTGATATTACTTTAAAAAGTAAATACATGTACATGTATGCTCCAAGACATACAATTGCAATCAGATTTCTAATATATACATGTACATACAAATTCTCCAATAAATATTCATTTGTTTAAATAAAAAGTATCAGTTTATCATTTATTATTTGAAATAGGCAGACTACATGTATTTGCTAATCCAAAATTTTTTGGAGTGAAATTACTATTCTTATATTCTAAGGCCATGAGGATTTGTGTTGCTTGAATTGTTCGTTGTTTTCATTTCCAGCTGCTGAGGTGTTAATATAGTATTATAGAAAATAAATACAATATAAAGTACCACTTAAGGCTATAATTGTCTGTAATTATAGAATAGAAATAAACATGAAGTCTGAAAGTGTTTCTGATGCTGATATCTCGTAATGTGTAAAGCAGAAAATTGGTTAGTACTTTAGAAACAATAATGTTTGTGGCAAACTACTTCTTTCACTACAAGCACAGCATTTAAAAAAGTATTCAATGACATTTCAAATTTCAGTAACTTTAATAATTGAATTTGAATAAACTATAAAAATATGTTCCCCAAAAAGGCTTATATCACTTAATCATATAAAAGTGACTTCCTGAACATAAAATTGATCCTCTTTTATACTTTTATGAAGTATATTGAATGTATAGTTAATAGCTTTTATTGTGAAAATAAGTATTCTTAAACTGTGTGCGTCCAATGTGCTTTTCTAGATATAACCTTCATCAGTAACACTCAAACACAAAAAGTTAAGGATGTTCGCTTGTCAAGTTTTGGAATTTTTGTCAGATTTTCCGAATCCTCTGGTTTTATCCATTTGAATGCCTTAAAAAATTTTGCCGACTAACCCCCAAATTTACTTTTTATAAATCTTTTTCATGTATAATTATAAGCCATCTGTAAAAGTCTTATAAAATCTTTGTTATTTTTTGAAGGTTTTTACTTGTCAATGATAAAGCTATGAAAAATCAAGAGAGAACATTTTCCCTCTAAAATTTCAATGGCTAATATCTCGAAAACAAGCACATTGACCTATATTTTTTTTTTTTGCTCTTTCGGTTGCTTTATTAATCCTCTATCAATGAAACTGAGTAGCAAACTTCCTTAAAAGCCAAGGATGTATGAATATTGGAATATGATATCATGAAGAGATAACAATCCAACATCATCAGTACTTCATATATTTTTTTAATTTTGCTATACACAGCACAGATTTTATCAAAGTTTACCCCGAATAAGAAAGCTGTAAACAATTGCTATCCATTAAATTTTGATTCCAATGTATCTATAATTATAGCCTTATATGATATGACACCAATGGTTTACCATATAAAATGTGAGAAGAATACCTTTCATAGTCTCAAAATATGAGGCAGAATTTGAAAGGTGTAATGATAATCTCTCTATTTTGATCATTTCAAATTCAGATAGCACACATATCTTGTAAATTCTGAAATTATTGGTGTTTTTAATGTAAAAAATGGGACAGTATCAGGTTAGCAATAATCAAAACTCGCTTCATAATTTCAGTAGTGATTTTTCTTCATAACATTTTTAAAATCGCATTAATTAGATATCACATTTCTACCAGAAATTAGTGATTTCCTCTAATAAATACACACGTCAATTTCTGAATTTACAGTATAGTGTAACTATATAATTGTTTTTATTTTGCAACTCATCTCAAGTTCTTTTCAACTTTCTATTGAAAGAGTCCCAAAAAGAAAGACCAAATGTGATATGAAAATAAAAACATTTTCATAATTTGATAAACATGGCATCCATAAGTGTTTACACATAATACAAAGTAAACAATATCAACCATGGTATATACATATATTTCACAAAGCACTTTTTTGCAATATATATACAAGCACATGCATATCATTCCAAATGAATTTAATCACACAAAATTTAAGCTTAAATAAGGAAAAATAAAACTATCAAATATTATATAATATATATAAATCAGTCCCTCTAAATAAAACTTTCAAATATCATATATAAATCAGTCAATCTAAATTAGAATCTCCTGGTTTTAATGACAGTTTTCATTTAATATTTGCCAGTATCAATCCAAGATTTTATGGTTTTAAATTGTTTCTCAAGCAAAATCCCAGTCAATAAATGGTTATCTAGAACTATCAAATCCTAGGTGGCTATAAATATATAACAATCCATTCTCTTGTATCTATAAATAATCACCGGTATTTTTTAATTTTTTATTTAGAAATGAGACGAAAAAAAACCAAGTATTATCAACCATGAATTTGATGTCCTGCAATTTTAAAAGTTCTCCAACCAGAATGTTAAATAAGATTATTTTAAAATATTCATTCAGTGTGAACTGTAACAGCATCTAACTCACAATTCAGACAAAATAAACAAATAGAGTATTTACATATGCACATAGACAGTTTATTTTTCAGGTACAAAAGCCTTTCATTAAAAAATTTCACAGTCTCTGTTGAATTAATCACAAACATGTCAGCACTTTGGTTGAATTAGAGTTTGATTCGGCAAAGACAATAATTGTCACAAGCAACACAAGGGGTGCCATTTGTGTAGCAGGATATGCTTACCCTCTGGAGAACCTGAGATCATCCCCAACTTGTTGGTGGGTTTACATGATACTCTGTAATTCTTACATGTAGTGTTGGGTAGACTGTTGTTTGTCTTCTGTTTTTTGTTTGTCCCTTTGGTATCTTCTGGCTCTTTTGTGTTCAACATCGTATTTTGACTTCTAGATACGTTTCTTTTATAGCGCTGTTACAGACTGCTGCCTCACTATGGTATGCCTACAATCTACTTTTTATTCATTTTCAGTATTGTACTTTGATTTGTTTAATAGTTCTTCATAGTATTTTTTCAAAATTCTTACCCATAATTCGTTATGAAACTAAATCCAGATGGCGCCACTCTGGCATTAAAGGTTATGAGGGAAATATGGGAGACAATTTTATCTGATTTCCCAGGACTGGGAGATATAACTGTACCAGTCATTAACTCGTCAACTTTCCACCACTCAACCACAGGATCATTTCCTTGTAAGTTCATCTGTACTTTACTGAGACCAATACCTGAAAAATATATAAAATGCTTCTGAAACCTACAAAACCACTACTCGTTACCAAAACTATGGGAAAACATTTATAACTGAGACCACCACAAGAAGTATCTGATCTACATGATTGTAATAAATATTTTGAAACCGATAATAAAATGGAAACCTATGTAAACAAAAGACAAGCCAGATTTTAAAATATAATAATTTCATACCATTTTTATTCGCCCATCAAAGACAGTATAAAGACGGTAGATTAAACGTCTGTCAATCCACCAACACTTTGTAAGATTACTCAAATTTGCTTTAACCAATTCTCATGTTATTTTAACACAACATTAGAATTGACAGAAAAAAGCTCCCTTTTGAATTTGAAATTTTTGGCTCTGTTGTTCCAGAGTAAAAGGACTATATCCATTTATATTAAGGTAATTTTTCACATATTCCAGCATAAGGCAGGTGGGCTTGACTCCAATCTTGAATGACTAGGATAGTCAATTTTCCTACCAAATGTTGTGATTCTCCCTGGCTTCCTCCACCGATAAAAACTGACCGACATAAAATAACACAAAAGTCCAGAAAGTGGCATTAAACACCAATCAATCAATCATTTTCTTTTCCTTGAACAACAAAGATGTCACAAATAATAATATAACATCCATCATCCATACCTGATAAAGCATGGTTTCTAGGAAATATAAACAAACAAAAACATAAACAGATTCAGAATAAATGTAACGATGAGTATTATTTGAGTGCATATGGAGAAATACAACATTACCATCATTTAAAGTCTTGATTCCAGTTGCTGCACCCTTGCTTGGTATCTTCAAAAACCTGGGGAACAATTTCGTTATATTCCTGTAAAAGAATTACATAACAGACATATATTCTACTGTGATGATTTAATACAAAACAGACATATATTCTACTGTGATGATTTTAATACAAAACAGATAAAATTGAGAATGGAAATGGGGAATGTATCAAAGAGACAACAACCCGACAAAAGAGCAGAAAATAGCCGAAGTCCACCAATGGGTCTTCAACACAGCTAGAAAATCCTGCACCCGGAGGCGGGCTTCAGCTGGCCCCTAAACAAAAATGTGTACTAGACATATATTCTACTGTGATGATTTTAATACAAAACAGACATATATTCTACTGTGATGATTTTAATACAAAACAGAGATATATTCTACTGTGAGGATTTTGTCTATTTTAAAATAAGCCAAACAAGCCATTGTGGAATATACTTTTGCCATAGTTAAATTGAAATAAATTGTATGATTTTAAAAAGCGGGACAAAAAAGCATGGAACACATTTTTACAAGTATTTTGGCATGTTATGTGCTGCCATGACATGACTTCTCATTGCTTGAGGATGGCAATTAGGGTTTCAACCTACAATAAAACATCTTTGAACTATCAAATACAATTGCATGGTGTTTACAGGGATACTAATTATTGTATATGTATGTTTTTTTGCATGTACTTATTTTCGCGAATAGAGCATTGCTGATAAATTCGTGTGTATTTAATTTCGCGGTATTTCCTAAAATAATGAAACATAAATAACGGATTTAATATATTAAAATGCTCATTAACACGATTAATTTAATATTTATTTGTTTAAAAATTGTATAAAACACAATAAACAAAGATTATTCCATCATCAAATAAGATGGTCTGTTTGATAGAAGTTATTATCCGATTAAGTTGTTAGTTACACAATAAAACTGTCATATTTGGCTTGGGGCATTGTTTAAAAAAAACTTTTATCCTTTAATCCTTAATTGGTTTTATGTTTGGATCACTGGTGTTGTTTTAACAGTTCCACAGTTCAAATGAGGTTATTAAAGTATACAAGGTTAACTTGCATGTGCAGGTGGTTGTAAATTACGGTGATATTTATTCAATGTATTTTATATGCATGTAAGTTACATTTGTATTCGCATGTATTTATCTTTGCGAATAGTAACCTACCGCGAAATCCGTGAAAATAAATACACCGCGAAAAAAGTACATATACAGTACTGTAAATTTTAGTGATTAAGGTGAATTAAAGTTAACAACCAACTTTCAATCTGACAAATACATTATTAATAAAATACTTACAATGGTGACTGTGTTGCATTGGTAAGTATATCTCTTAACATTGTTTGCTCGTGACTGTCTAAAGTTCTAACTATCTGAAAGGATAATGTATCTCCCGCTGATGCTGATGCAGGAGTTCTGTCAAATGAAAAATTTACACAATTATAAGAAGCCTCAAACTACATTATGCATTTTATTAAACTTTTTTACTTTCATCCCTCCTTAAACAGCTCTCTGAAATTCTGATATCATCATAAATTATTTTTATGATTTTAAGAAATCAATAATCTTGGAAAAACAAATATTATCTAGAAAACAAATACATGCTCATTTTGACATAACTTCCTACATTGTTGATTCTCTCATTAAATGTGAATTTTTTTTTCAAAATCAACGAATAACAGTAGGATTATAGCATGATAAAATGTAAGTTACAAATTTCCCCCAAAAATGTATGCTAATCTGCAAATAAATTCTTTTTTTATGGCCCTGCAACAAAGTTGTTGGGGCCATATAGGTTTACCCTTATCCGTCATTTGGTCATTTCGCAAAGAACAGTTATACAGACTTTTTTCTAAACGCCCTTCACATATTGAGCTGATTTTTAGTATGTGAGTCTACTATGATGAGTTACAGATTGAGTTTACATCTGGTACCACTCCACTGATTTGTATCAAAATTACTGGCTTTGGAGTTTGAAAATTTAATAAAAATAACAGTTATACAGATGTTCATTCTCAAATTTCCACTCCTAAAAACGGCTTCAAGCTTTTTTTGTGAGCGGGGCCATTGGTGTCGTTCAGACACATCTAGTTTATCAATAATATACTGGTACCTCAAGAAAGTAGCATGGAATTCCAATCTAGCTTTAGTTGAACTGGATAACTGTTTGATAAGTTCATCTTTACTCGGAGGACTAATTCCCCACAATGATGTGGACTGTCCATTCAATACTATCTCTGTTACATCTTCTGGTTCATATGCTGTCAAGAAGGCTATGGCATTCTGTAAAGTAGTACGGCATTGCTTAGAACTCATAAACTTAGAATGTTTTCTTTTTCATTTATGTGATTCAGGAAGAAGAGCATATAGCAACCATTTAGGCATTTAGGCATTCAGATCTGCCCGAAAAAAGAGCCGAAAGATACCTAAGGGACATTCAAACTCATAATTTGAAAATAAACTGACAACGCCATGGCAAAATAATGAAAAAAACAAAAACAAAAGACAAACAACAGTATATAAAATACAACATAAAAACTCAAAAAACTAAAGATTGAGCAACCAGAAACCCCACCAAAAACCAGGGGTGATCTCATGTGCTACGGAAGGGTAAGCAGATCCTGCTCCACATGTAGCACTTGTTGTGTTGCTCATGCAAGTACAAACCTGATGATTAGTGTATTTCGGAAGCTCACATTCAAGGACAATTGGAACATATCTGTCATAATGGTGTCAGTAAAATTTTCAAAAAGATCATTTCAATGTCACCACAAGGAACTCTTTAACTGAAGTTACTTCTACTTTTTATTCTATTGGTCTTTGAAAAAAAATTGCTGTATATTTAATCTAAATTTATATGTATTTTGTTTCTTAATTTATTTAAATAAACTGAAATTATTAAAAACTGCACTTATTTGCAATTTAAGCTTTTATAGACTTTTCAGACATCACTGTGTCATCATAAATGATATTTATGAATTGAAAATGGTCATAGTACATCATGACATTTATATTACAATTCTATACAGTAAAACCTGGGTAAATCAGACCCTGAACAAACTAGTTTCCTGTCCATTTCGGCTGAAAATGGAAGTCCTTTGTAAAAATACCCTCTGTAAACCGGACCCTGTGTATTCCAAAATTCCGTTCTAATTATGCAGTCCCAATACCCTTAATTACATTAATTAATACCTGTTAAAACCGGTTTGTTTAATTAATTTCACATGATAACAGTATTGACCTATATGCAATCAAAACAAAATTGTTTAAACAAGAGTTTTTTTTAGGATAATCAATTAGTGTTAAACTTGTTTTTATTGAAACCATATTAAGTTTTCATTAAGATATTCTAAAAAAACAATTTAAATACATCCTCGCTGAATATAGCTCAGATAGAACTTATGTTGTATAAACATATATACAATTTTTTAATGGCGGAGTGAGAAAGTATATTGTGTTATTGAAATGCTGGGTTCCCTGTTGTAACCCTGAAACCAATGACCCCGATAATGGATAAGACCCTGACGAAGACATTCCGTTATTGAGTTTATGGGTTTGGTACATTGTATGATAATGTTTCGATCATGATAAAATAACGTTTGATAAAATTCTTGCTTTTTAATTGGCTTTACTAACATAGGAAATGAAGGATGGAAGTAAAAAGAAACTCTCATTGAACAATTTAAACTACGCAAGGATTCTGATGAAACTGAAAACAATGAATTGAAATTGAAAGTGAAGCTAAAGAGTCGGAGACAGATATTATTTTCTTTTTAATTCGGGGGACAACCGATTTCTGAAATTTCTAAAGCCAATGAAAACAATGACTGAAAACATGATCGTGCATAATAAAATGGTAAAAAGGCAGAAAATACTTGTAATGTTCATGTCTTAATATTTTCACACAATTCATGACATACCGTTTAATACACAGATAATTACGGTATTTGTTTTGATTTGTTTACAGTTTACAAAGAGACTTAACCTTTACATGCATAAATCTGACGTCACAAGTCTAGAACTTCCTGTCAAAACAGAAACCTGAATAAAGCAACCCACTGTCAAAACCGGCATTTTTCAAAGTCCCATAGCCGGCCAGTTTATACAGATTTTACTTTATAATCAAAGGCCGTCAGTATAATCCTTCCCAGATATATAAATGAATTTGCAATGTAAAAACATTTCAAGTTTATAGAAAAACACAAAAATTAAACAATGAAATTACCAGATTTCCATTGAATGTCTCTTTAAGGGTCTTATACTCAGCTGAAGATAAAGCTCTAATTCCTTCTGTCTGTACTGTCATCTTATAAATCGGCTGTAAACAAAATAAAAAAATGTAATCCAATGATGCAAATACAACCACTTTGACAAAAAACAAAAAGTTAAAAAAGTGCTCACACAATAAAACTCAGCCTCAGTGACAAGCTTCTGATTAAATATGAAGTCATTCTGTTCAAATATTCTGGAGAAATTGTGTGAGGAAAATATCAAGTTCATTCAACATATTGAAACATTCAAAGTATTGGCATACAGGAAGTAGGCATCTGTCAGATCTGAAAAGTGATCACACATTGCAACTTATCACAGTCAAGCTGCTGACCAACTATGAAGTTATTCTGTTTAGAAGTACCTGAAAAATGTGCGACAAAAATATCTGTTGGACTGACAGGCAAATGGTCTTGGTAATTGTAATATAGCCACCACTTCTAGATTGTAAACCAAACTCACACATTTGATGTAAAAAACTACAAAGTAGTTTTGAATAATGCCAAAATGAGCTGTCAAATCAAGCGAATATGAGAAATCAAACGAAAAAATTAAAAGTATTTTATCCATAAAACATGAAAACAGATGGCAAAGTTCGCAATTAATTTATACCTGGAATCCATTGATTGTCATGGTAACTGTACATTCTGTAGGTGGGTTGACCTTGAAGACTGTATTGGCAAATGAGAAGATGACAAGTGGGAACCAGATTATAAAGATGATAATAACCAACAGCAATCCTCCTACTCCATACTTTATCAGGGATTTCTTCTTAAATCCACGTGGAGTGGGATAATTCTGAAAATTATCAAATCACTTGTAGTAATACTTTAAAGTGAAAAAAGCAATCTTAGAATATAACATTTAGAAAATGCATAAATGTAATGACATAAAAACACCATTAACATATGTCTAAAACATTTTTTTTCTAAATACACTCACAGATGTTTTTTTCTGTCATATTTGATAGATTTTTCATATCTTAGCTAGAATTTTCACGTCTTTAATGACCAAATCAGTACAAATCTTTTACATAAACTAGTTGAATCGACTAAAGTAGACATTTAAGTGTTTAAAAAATGTCAAAAATCTTTCATCAGATGTACTTCAAATTTTAGGCCAAAATCAGCCCTTACCAGACCTTCTCCTTTGTTTAATGAGATCAAATACCAGATTTATGGTAAACATACCCTTTCAATGTCCCTCCAACATTTTAGCTGATACACATTAGCATAGATATCTTCCATTTGTAGCCAGCTTCCTATTGCCATTGTAGTATCTGTCCATATCCAGTCCATTAAAACTCTTAATTCCAACAGGAATGGGATGGCCAAGAACCTGAGTATCAATAATAAATTTAGTCAAACAGAATTATAATCGGGGTACAATATACTAAATATATTTATATATGTTCGTTTCAAAGTTTGTTTTTTATAGCTGTTATTGCAACCTTATCTTTCCCCAAAATTGAATTTGATAGAAAAAATTAATACATGATAATATGAACACCACTTGAATATTTTCAATCAAATCTTAATTCAAATGCAATATGACATGCAACAGCTCTTTGATTGGATGACATCTGCTACCAATTCCATGTTTGATGGTTGGAGTCATTAACAAAGACCTTGAACCTCAACATTTCTGGGATACTTCAATATTTGTTTTCAACATTTATGAGTATTGCATAGATGTATTTACACTTGTATGCAAATTTGTCCGCCATTACGTAAAATCACACAAGTTCCCGTAAAATTTGACGTCACAAATAACAAGCATTCTGAGAGTATTGCATGGCAATACATAGTCCCCTACCGGTTAAGAATTCATTGTACTGGAACAAAATTCTAACTTGATCTATAACTTTGCATGGTGTAAACTATATAACAAATATCAAGTCAATATCTTCAAGCATGACGAAAAAAAGTGTGGAAAACTGATTATTTGAGTGAATTTTCAAAGTCCAAGGACCATAACTCTGCACAAAATCATCAGACCGGAACAAAATTCGAAATTAATCTGCAACTTGTCATGATAAAACTATATACCAATTATTAAATCAATATCTTCAAGCACGACAAAAAAAAGTGCGGAAAACTGATTATTTGAGTGAATTTTCAAAGTCCAAGGACCATAACTCTGCACAAAATCATCAGACCAGAACATAATTTGAACTTGATCTGTAACTTGTCATGATAAAAGTATATACCATATTTCAAATTAATATCTTCATGCACAAAGAAAATTAATGTGGAAAACTGATTTGCCGGACTAAAACATGGACAGACAAACCAACAGACAGACATACGGAGTGCTAACCTAAACCCTTAGACTCCGTCGGTAGGGGACTAAAAATTGACTGTTGCTTGACGTCAGAAGGTTATTCAGAGCAGATCTAAGGTCATTCGGAGACCAAATTCAGCTAAATACCAAAAGTGTAAATATGTTTATTAAATTAGTAATATCTAGGGATACAATGATGACAACACTTCAATGCAGTACATTTTTTTTTATGTACTACTATTTCTTAAATACAATATGCGTTTACAAGAAAACTTTTATGAAAAATATCTTACGAAAGCCATACTTACCCTTTGTACAAGAACAAGTTTAGGTAGTTGTATTTCTTGGTGAGGAAATTACCCAGAATTCTTGTGGGATAGCTTGATCTGATCTGATAGGCCGACAATCCAAAGTAAATACACTTCACAAAATACCATAACTGTGCTGGTCTGTTCTCAGAAAACTTCCTAAAAATTTATCATAGGTTTGTATGTTATATGTGTTGTTTTCATTTTTTGTACAGACATGTTATGTTACATCACTAGCCACACTTCCAAGTCAATTTCCACATCCTTTGCATTAAATTGCACATAAAACATTGATAAGTAGCTCAAATAATTTAAATTCATAGGAGGAATATCAATTTGATTTATAAATGAAATTAGATGTTGCTGACCACAATAATGCTTTGAAATCTTTAAATTTATGCCTTCTTAAAAAATTCAACAACAGAAGACAACAGCATACATATATGTGCAGTGGTCTTATACAGGATTTTTTTTTCATCTATTATATTTATATTTCCATGAATTTTCTTAGCCAGTCAAACTGATTTGTATGCTGATAATTCTTTCATACAAATTTCTGTTAAATCAATAATTGTTCTCATAAAAATCAAGATAGGTGCACTGGTTTTGTCATAGGTAATGACTGTGATTAAACAAGATGGATGACAATAGGAACATGAAAATAGTCCATACAAGGTGAAATTCATTTATAATGATAAATGAAACAGTTGTATAGTAATCTTTTAAGAAATTTAAGGAGTCCTTGTAAATCATGCACAAATAGAATTGATCAAGGGTGCTCACAGGATTGATCTGTTTCTCCGAAAAATAAAACTTTTTGAATTATGTAAGTAATAGAGGTTCTGTGTGAAAATCTTACAAAAAGATACCTCCACCCTTGTATTCATCTTTATATGCAAAGTATTAAAATTGAGAATGGAAATGAGAATGTGTCAAGGAGACAACACAACCCGACTAAAGAGCAGAAAACAGCCCAAGGCCACCAATGGGTCTTCAACACAGTGAGAAAATCCCACACTGACTGGGTAGCGATATCATTCAAGACATTCACCAGTACTGAGTTGGATATGGCTTTGTATTTTCTAATATTGAGATGTCAATTTGAACTACCAGGAAAGTTTGTGACCTTGCAGACCGACACTCTCCTTTTTTTATTCTGGTCACACCCCTTGGTGGTGGGCAACAATAGTATCAAGCATCATTTAAATCCTTCAAAGCATTTTAAAGTTCAGAACCAGACAACATTTGCAGACAGACAGATGTACAGACAGTGGTTCCTATACTCTATAACCCCCTTTTCCCCTAACTTTCTACTTTACAAATTCATCGTGTGCAATTTGGTGTAACTAATGTGCTGGTGATCATTATAGAATTGTTAATCTAAAGAAAAGGGCAACAAGACTTATACTTGATGTGTATCCTCTCTATCCATTTCAACCACTTTTTAGAAAAAAAGGCTTCAATGCTGTAGGGGAGATAATCAAACATTACAAATACATTCTTATTTATAAATAATCCAGGAAAAATGCAGCAACAGATTTCTTTGATAAATTATATAATATTTCTGATGATAGCCTTTATTCATTTACACTGTTGCTAAAGAGATATCTTTAAATTCTGAAGACAAAAATACAGTTATATGAAAAGCCTTTCATTTACTAATATTTATATATCATGGAACAAGTTGAGACTACTAAAAAATCTGCCTAAGCTGGAAACTATGATTTATTGCTGAAATAAATATGTTCAGCTACAATTTCAATTATATCAATTATGACCTCACATAACTAATAAAACAGTATATTTACTTGTGATTTTAATGAGTTGCAATCATTACGTGAATAATTTCAACTTATATTTGTGGTTAGTTAGTTCACATTGACACAGTCTTAAACATTTTTAAAGTTATAGAGACTGAAAAGGAAAAAATGTATATGTCACGATGGATTTTTATCATTGAACAGCGGTCAATTAATTACATTAAAATTCTTTATATTGATGAAAAATCACCTCAGTCAAGAAATGAATAAAAAAACAGAGTTTCAATGTCCTTCGCATTGCACATATTTTATATTTCCAAGGGGCATAACTCTTTTTAAAAAAGTCGATCGTCCACCATTATAAAACTTGTCCTAGATATTGCTGATATTAACCTATGGTATAAGTTTTATAAAAATCTGGCATGAATTGTACCCGTGAGAGTGATAATGAGACCATTTTCCATAAATTTAATATTTCCAAGGGGCATAACTCTTTTAAAAAAGTCAATCAGCCATTATTTTAGAACTTGTCCAAGATATTGCTGATATTAACCCATAGTGTAAGTTTTATAAAAATCTGGCAAGAATTGTACCTGTGAGAGCGCTAACAAGACCGGACGGACAGACACACGGATGGACGGACGCCCAGTATTTCCATGTCCCCCGCAACGCGTTACGTTTTTGTAAACTCAGTTCAAACCTTTTTTTTGTGACTTTATATAAATTCAACCAACCCACTTCTTTTGAGGATTTTGGTAAATTCAGTTAAAACCATTCGTTTTCCTCGTTTAAGTGAATTCAGTAGAAAACTTACCTTTTAGTGACTTCAGGTAAAACAAAGAACATCCATACATGTAACAGTATAACCAGTACAATTTGGAAGATAAACTTTCCTAGGACATTCTTCCTTAGATACAGGGCTCGGTCTATAATGATCAGGATAAACTGTACTACCAACATGATCAGGAAGGGTATAGGAACCTGCAAAGATATCATATCATGGTAAATAGAAATAAGAAGATGTGGTATGAGTGCCAATGAGACAACTCTCCATCCAAGTCACAATGTGTAAAAAGTAAATAATTATAGGTCAAAGTACAGCCTTCAACACGGAGCCTTGGCCTACATCGAACAGCAAGCTATAAAGGGCCCCAAAATGATAAGTGTAAAGCAATTCAAACAGGAAAACCAACGGTCTAATCTATATAAAAAACAAGAAACGAGAAACACTTAAGAACCACATCAACAAACGACAACCACTGAAACTGGTTCCTTATCTACACTTAAGATATAAAATTCAGGAAGCAGTTCTGAAATTTCATAGCAGTCTGCCTAAAAATACCTGATTTAGCAAGTCATCTGGGGCAAAAACAGTTCAAATTTATCAACAAGTAACCAATGTGACTGAACAGTTGGAACCTGTGTTTGGGACATAAGGCAAAGTCTTGAAATATAGTCAATCCTTTAATTCAGGACCACAGTTTCAAAAACCGTCTGGAAAAGTCTGATTTATAAATGGTCATGGGATCACAGTTATCGTCCTTTGATTTTGGTTGTCTACAAATACAGTCCCTAGTGTGGACAGTGTATTACTTTTTTTTTCATACCCCTTCCAAATTCATTTCTTCATGTTTTATGCCTCAAATAGTAAGTATAGGGGGATGAAATTACACTGTAAAATAATTTGGGTAATGAATTTTTAAGTAAAGTAGTGATTTGGTCCAGTTGAATAAGGTTAAAAACAAGCATTCTGAGAGTCCCCTACCAGTTAAAATTTCATTATACTGGAACAAAATGCTAACTTGATCTATAACTTGTCATGGTGTAAACTATATAACAAATATCAAGTCAATATCTTCAAGCATGATGAAAAAATGTGTGGAAACTGATTATTTGAGTGAATTTTCAAAGTCCAAGGACCATAACTCTGCACAAAATCATCAGACCAGAAAATAATTTGTACTTGATCTGTTAATTGTCATTATAAAACTACATACCAATTATCAAATCAATATCTTCCAGCATGACCAAAAAAGGGTGGAAAACTGATTAATTAGGTGAATTTTCTAAGTCCAAGGACCATAACGCTGCACAAAATCATCATACCAGAACAAAATTCAAATTTGATCTGTAACTTGTCATGATAACACTATATACCAATAATCAAATCAATATCTTCAAGCATGAAGAAAAAAAGTGTGGAAAACTGAATATTTGAGTGAATTTACTAAGTCCATGGACCATAACTCTGCACAGAATCATCATACCAGAACAAAATTTGAACTTGATCTGTAACTTGTCATGATAAAAATATATACCAAATATCAAATCAATATCTCCAAGCATAAAGAAAAAAAGTGTGGAAAACTGATTTGCCGGACTAACGGATGGACAGACAGACAGACAGACAGAGTGCAAACCTAAAGTCCCCTTCGACTTCGTCAGTAGGGGACTAATTAGTATGCCAGAAGCTGTACAAAGAATTCAAGACCCCTTAACATAAAATTGTCCATATTTTGAGTTAGAGCTGATGAAGTTTTCTATAATTTTGATATAATTTGTCCCATAAGTAGTACACCACAATGTAAAAATATTATTGAGAAAGTGCAGGTGCGATTTAAAGTTTTTTCATTTATTGTCAAGCAGAAATGCACTACGAAATAACTGTGTTCTCAGGCCTAAGAATGACTGTCTTGAATGTTACTGATCTTGACTGTAATGTTTTTTTTTATGCAATTAAGTAAAGAAATCGATGTCTACAAAAGTCTTTTGGCTGCACTATTTTTACCCACACATGCACATTTGTAGCTACTGTTAATAAAATCTTTTCAAATTAGATATCCTGTCTACAAAGCAGTTGTCAATTGGATGGCAAACAGGTGATGCTTACCAATTTATTAGAAAATACTGGTAATCTGTATGTAACCTGATACTAACCTATCTTTTTATATTGCTTCTCATGTTTTACTGATTTTGCAATTTAGCATCTTCTGGTGGCCTATTGTTTGATATTAACTGAAAATCTTTCAGGTGAATAGAACCTACATATCTATTAATAGTATCACATGTTTATTACAACCAACGTATACTTACTTTGTCTTCTTGAATGTAGGATGAGACATCTCCAGTTCCAACTGATTGCTGAAAATAAAAGGCAAAAATTCGACCGTTAAAGAAATTCAATACTTATGCCAGTACTATTATATTCTATCATCATGTACATTTCTTAATCAGATTGTATTTTTGTATTTGTATAATGATCATTGCACAATACCCCATTTAAAAAGAGTTTATTGTTTGTATAACCAAAATGTGAATAATGTAATGTGATTTGTGGCATAGCAATTTTTTATGTTGTTAACCAATTACAGGGTTATGGTGTATTCTTTGGATATCATCACACACAATGCTTTTGATTCTGACACCACAAATTTTACTTTTCACGGTTTTTCATAAGCAAAAGGAAAGCTGAAATTAAATTCTTCAATGAAATGCATCTTTTTAATTTCTTTCTATAAGCAAACTATAAAATGAACCATTCTAAAAGCAGCAAAATTTTCTAAAACCATAATAGATTCAAAAAAAGTTAAAAAAAAAAAATCCACAGTATCTAAGAACTGTTTTTTTACGGTTATAGGAATGCACATTGAAAAATAAAATGGCACTACCAAAATTTTATTGGACATACAGACAGAAGAATAGACTCATGTAAACCAGAATACCATCACATTTTGGGGCAGGGTTATAATTAATCAAAGAAAAGTATGCTGGTTGCGGGGGAATTTTGGAAGTCTCTTCCTACACTTCCAAGTCCGATTTAATTGGCCGTTTCAAAACCTAAAGGACTATGGGTAATTTTTATTGTTCATACTCCAAAATGAAAATAACGTCACGTCATTGGTTGCATTTCAATTGTTTAGGACGTTTTTAACCAATCACGACGCTTTGGTGTACACTTTTGAAAATATTTCCCAGAATGCATTAGATTCTAAAACGGCAAATTGGATAAGGCTTACAAAATATGCTGCTTCTCTAGAGAATCTGTGGTAGTCTGAGAAAATTCTGAATTAATCTCTAATATAATACAATACTAACCTGAGGTCCAAATGCTGTGTAACCAAACACTACTATGAAGAAGTTAATAAAATCACAGAAAAACATGGAGGCATATACATCTGTTGTAGCATTGTAATCTGGATTGGTCACCTGGTTATAAAAATCCTTGAAAGGGTTCACCAACTTGCCTAACCTATAAAAATTAAATATTCATATTATTATTGCAATAAAAATATACAGTATCTATATATACTGGACATTATATGAGATTTTCAATATTTTTCAAGTACTGTAAACTCAGAAATTATTGCGTGCATTTATTATTGCAATTTTTGAAGAAAAGACATAAATGCAAGATTAATTATTGCGATTTCAGGAACTTCTGCATACAGATATATGTAACAGATATCAGAATGCGAGTTCTTGTTATTGCGATAATCAGCAGGTCACATTATTCGCATTAATAAAAATCTCCCAATAATTTCTGAATTTACAGTAATATCACTCCACAAATGGTGAACCACATATTACATAGCTAAAGTTTCTGTTGAAAGAATTTGTTAAAAACACAAAATCAAGTATCAACGAAAACACAGATTTTTTCCATGAAATTAAATGAATACAGTTTTGTTGATGATCTAGCAGTATCCTTCAGAGGCCCTCATGGCCAAATTTTGTTTTATTTCTGGTAGAATACAGAATATTTGTCTTTATTTGTATATACTTAATAAATTTTGATGTTTTAATTGATACGAAAAAAAAGGTCGATTTTTTAAAAATTTATTTGTGTTTGATAATATACATACATAGACATTTCTGCCTTTTTCTTCTTGGTGTTTGGATCCTCTAGACTCTCCTCTATACTACTGTGTGCTCCAGAGCTCTGTACAGTACTACCAGACACAACTAAGTCAGTATCCTAATAAAGATAAACCAGTAAAATAAATCATATTTGTGGTTGTACAAGAATCATAATGACAAATATACCACGTAAAAAAGTAGAAAAATTCCAGTTTTTCTCATAAACAGGACAGCTAGAGAAAAACTGAAAACGTCACATTATATCAAACCATAAGAAACAAATATATGTAGATAAATTTCATATATAAAATAAACAAATACTGTGTTTAATAGCTTGAATGGACAACAGCAATCCAATAAAGATTCTAAGGTTGGATTATATCAAAGAATTTACTAAACTGTCAATGCATTTTCAAAGTCGAGCCTTAGTAAATGATTTCTAAAGGCTATGCCATAACAATGCTACCGAAATAAGGTCTCTTACAATTAAATTGATTATTAAAATTGAAGCAAAAGTTAAAACTGGCATTTGATAGGAATATGTAAAGATTTACATGTTTACTCCTTAAAACAAACTGTTCTATCTATAAAAGGTTTAAAACATATAAAGTATCATACAGGTATCATGTACAAAATTGAGAATGGAAATGGGGAATATGTCAAAGAGACAACAACCCGACCAAAGAGCAGACAACAGCCTAAGGCCACCAATGTGTCTATTATTTCAAATTAAGTTTAATAATTATTTTAGGCTTACCTCCCTTTTAGGTACAGGAGACCCATGTGGTGATATCTCTTTCTCCACTTTATCAAAGTCAGAATTTATCTCCTCTGCATCCTTCCATAAGCCATATCTCTGTTAATAGGGTGGAAAATGTAAAATTAAGATTTTGTCTACCAGAAATCATATATAAACCAATTGCCTGATTTTAGTAGTACAGTATTATAGTTGTTCACCTTTTTGAAAAGGCCTAACTAAATATATATCTTAAGTTTTCCACTCCTATAATTGCTCTGAAAACAATGTACTTAATAATTAGTATGGTAGTTATTATTCTGTAAGACATTACAATCTCCTCAAACAATTTGAACATCTTTCCTACATATCAATTCTCTACTAATATATCTCTGTATTAAATCAAGAATTGTGAAGGAAAACATTAGACATTAATTATTGCTTCCCAATACCTCTTAGATCTGTATACAGCTTCGCCAACCATACCTTCAATATATCATAACTGATCAAATGGTCAAATCCACTGTCCATCTGAGATGACACTGAGTTTTTGGTGGGGTTCGTGTTGCTCAGTCTTCAAATTTTCTATGTTGTGTTTTGTATAATGTTGTTTGTCTTTTGGTCGTTATTCATTATTTGCCATGGCGTTGACAGTTTGTTTGCGACTTATGAGTTTGAATGTCCCATTGGTATCTTTTGCCTCTCTTACACATTGGTAAAATAAGAATATGTGTCCATAGGACACCATGCCCCACTTACAGTATATGTCCTATGTTCAGTGAACCATGAAAGCAGGATCATAACTGTACTTAATTTAAAAAGTTCATGTCATAATGAACATGGGTACACAGTTTCAAGTTGATTTGACCACAATTTCATTTAATACTACCTTAACCAAAAGCTTGAACCCTGGTACAGGATGGACTTATGGATGGACACATACAAGAAAACATAATACCCAAAAATTCTAGGGGTGCATATGAAACCCCTTTCAGCAAGAAAATAAATAAAATGTAATGCTATCAAGACTTTGAAAGTTCTTCTGAAATCAATTCATCGAGATGTTTGATGAAAGAACATGCAAAACAAGAATGTGACAATAGTACACGGATGCCCAACTCACATTATCATTTTCTATGTTCAGTGGACCGTGAAATTGGGGTCAAAACTCTAATTTGACATTAAAATTAGAAAGATCATATCAAAGGGAACATGTGTACTAAGTTTCAAGTTGATTGGACTTCAACTTCATCAAAAACTACCTTGACCAAAAACTTTAACCTGAAGCGGGACAGATGGACAGACGAACAAATGGACGCACAGACCAAAAATTGTAATGCCCCTAGGTGTGGCATAAAAAAACAAACAAATGGAAAAAGTTACTGCCTCAACTTACTCCCTGCAAAAGAAGGATATAAAATAATGGCTACTTGAAATGCATACCTTGAGTATAGATCTATGTATAAACAAGGCTAACAGCAGTATAAGATCCACAGTAGCGTATCCATCAATCTGCTCTATTCCAATAATCCTCGGTGGATAAAATGGTTCTAAATTGGTCTGGTCTTTGTTCCAAGGCCAGAAACCAAATTGGAACAGATACTTCACCACAATTATAGCCTGAAATAATATGGTTGTTTGTTAAAAATGATTGATTGATGTTTGATCTATGCCGCATCAGCGTTGTTGAAAATGTATCCCCACTGCTATTATATTCATGATATTAGACCAAATGTTCACTAAAAATATCTAGATGTTATTAAAAAACTAATTGCAGTCTTAGTTATAAGTTAGCTCTTATCAGCAAACATGGGAATCACTATTTGATAAATTGCCAGCAGTTTTCATTACTAAATTATTCATCTTTTTTCATATCTAACATCTACGATATTAATACAAGCAAAAGTGAATGAAAGAAATAAACAGTTTTAACTAAATAGTTGAATGGGTGTGAAAATTTTTCCAATGTCAATGTAGGATTTTTCTTAAAAATACAGCAAATACGGGTGTTAGCACTTAATGTAAAATTCCCCCCTTTTTTTAAGGCAGTAAACAACAAAACGAATCATATTTCTTTGATTTTAGTGTAATTTTTCCTGAACATAACAATACCTCTGTGTAAGTTATTGCAGTAATCCAAAAGCTCTTCGATGGGCGTGGCACTGACAGCATGCCCCAGAGGAAGACCATCAATGGAAGTGGCAAAGACAACAAGCTGGCATAGACAATCTGGTCCAGTATCATCAGGAAATAACAGATAAGTTCTGTTCGTGAGATGAGGAGGTAATACAAAGCTTCCAGGAGGAGGTAAACCTTGGATTTACTCTGTTCAAACTTATCCTGTTTCTTTCCATCCAGAGAATCATCACTGAAATTACAAGGAAATGATGAAATTCAAATTACATAGTATGACTGAAAGAAAGACTTAGGATAAATAAATATTATAAAAACTGCAATAAATTTTCTATTGGTTAAACTTTTTTATCTTGTTTCTTTCAAAATTCATTCAAAAGTTTGTAATAATATTGAACAATTAATATTATAAACTCTAATAACATTGAAATTCTCTCTTGAAAATGAAAGTTTAAATGTCAGACTATTATCTATCATATAAACATGACAGTTACAACAATTCTAATTCTAGGTCATACTCATGTTAGGTATAAACAGTAAAGATTATTTAGATTACCTGGGTATCTTCTTGACATCTTCATCAGCAGATGAGATCTGTATTTCTACAAGATCAGTACTTCTATAAATATAAAAGATCAGACAATAAAATCAAATTCCTGTATGTGCAGTCAAAGGAAAAAAGGAAAATAGTACATTGTAATAATTTTCAAGTTGTATAAGATCCTTATTTTCCATAAGACCCATTCTCTGTTAAAACAAACTGATATTAGGTAGCATTATCACTTTCCTTACTGGACTGTTACCCCCTGACTTTGTGTGGCCTGTTCAAATTTCTATGCACAGTTTGCCTGACCTAAATTAATTTAACATGTGCAAGGACAAAAAGCCACGTTTTGGAAATACGTTCATGGTTTCAGGTATTCATAATATTAGCTGTATGACTTGAAGTTGTCTCCTTGAAAGCATTTCTAAAATATAATTGAAAATTGTTCACCGTTACCATAGTAAAACAGCAGTAAGTAAAGTTGCTGTTGGGTGCTCATTAAAATTAGGGGAAACGAACAACAACAAAAAAACACTCTTATTGAACAGAAGACATTATGAGACAGAGTGATTCTTATATACCCTCAATACTTTGTCATGGGGGAAAAATACAGTAAAATCATGATTCTCCATGTTTAAAACTGGCTGTAATGTTACCATTGATCAATTGTTGTTTGCTTAACATCCACAGGCATTTATTTCATGCATATTCATGAGAACTTTTATGATATGGAAAGTAATACTTTATTATGGACTTTGATTTCTTACATCTTTCAATAAACAAAGAATCAGGCCTCGAAATTCCAATGATTAATTCTAACGCATGCAAGTCTACAATAATATCTACAGAATTCTAAAAAGGCAATTTTCACTTGAGCACTTACAGGAAAAATATTTTGAGTTATTGATGAAATATTAAAATATCTTTTTTGTGCAGCATACAACTGATAATCTCTCTCAAAGTAGCATTTGTTACTTAATAAAAGAACAGAGTTCCAATGTCCCCCGCATTGCACATATTTTATCTATCCAAAGTACAAGGGCAATAATTAAAAAATACACTTTTTTTTTCCTTTAAGATGTTTATAAATATCTAAGAGAAATGAATGCTTCAGAGCAAATTCAATGTGATTTCAGCTCTTTTTAAAATAATTGATCTGCAAAGATTTTCAAAACTATCCAAGACATTGATGATATAAACCTATAACATAAATTTCATAAAAATCTGGCAAGAATTGTACACATGAGAGCACTCACAAGGCAATTTTCCATAGAATTAATATTTCCGAGAGTCATAACTCTTTTTTTAAAAATAATTGATCAGCACAGATTTTCGAACATATATATAAACCTGATATAAACCTACAATATAAGTTTCATAAAAATCTGGCAAGAATTGTACACATGAGAGCGCTAATGATGCAATTTTCCATATAATTAATGTTTCCAAGGGGCATAACTCTTTTAAAAATAGTTCATCAGCACTGATTTTCGAACTTGTCCCAAAACATGGCTGATATAAACCTATCATATAAGTTTTATAAAAATCTGCCAAGAATTGTACATGTGAGAGTGCTAATAAGACCGGACGGATGCCAGGCATTTCAATGTCCCAGCGCAACTAAATAAATACTAAAACTTGGGAGATAAAATTAGCAACAGTCTGTGTATGAACAAAAAATAACAATGGTTTTGCTTATCATGTATCTTACGTAGGTTGTCCATCCTCAGCTGATCCCTCGATTGGACCTTCTAATTCAATAGACTGGTCCTTCATATCTAAAGCTTTGTGTTCTGACTGTCAAAAAACAAAAGAAACTCATTGTTTACCACTTTTCACAAATTCTAAAAAATCAAGTTATGTACTTTTAAATACAGAATACATTTCAAACTTTAAATCTTCACATTTACCTATTACAATCTTACTTTGCATAAATCAATCTGAATATATTTTAAAACATGCAGTTGTGTTCATAGAATTCAAAATGGTATACCGGTAAGCAAAGAATGAAAAAAACTCACATATTATGGCAAAAAGTCAGCGTTAAAGTTAAGTTCAACATAAAGAAAAAAGCTTAAAGAAATAAAAAATGTCCCTACTCCCTTGTAACCAGTTTTTCACATTTGTTTTGTTTTCAAATATTTCAAAGTGCAAAATTTGATATAGAACTAGATGTGTCTATATGTTTCTAATGCCCCCGCCAGCAGCCTTGTCGCAAAAAGCATTGGTCAACTAAAACAATGTTAGTGTGACCCAATAACTCAGCTCTAGTTCTACAGACATAACCAAAAATAGTCTCAGGTAGGACAATTTTCATAGAAGTTTCAAAATCAATGGGCTGTAATTCTTCCAGGTCAGTCAACAGGAATGAATCGCAAACTTGTATGGTAAGTCATATTTATACACTTATATACCAATAATCAGATAAATACCTGTAGGAAAACAAAAGAAATAAAATCTGCTTGATTTCAATGGAAGCAGGAATGGACAGAATAAAGGAACGACAGGATTGACATGGGTAACACTTTAAGGCTGTTTGGTGGCAGGGGCATAAAAAAAATATCACTAGAAAGCCATACAACCATTTTGGTGCCATGAATTGCTGCAAAAGATCCTAAATTGCATCAGCATTAAAAGTATTAATTAAAGCCATTTCTAAAGGTAACTTCAGATGATTCAATTTAATGAAACTGTATAAGTAGTATTATTCAAGGGGTCAAACTACTGAACAAAAATCACTCACTTATTTCATCAATATTTTTATTTCCCTACCAACAATAATTTTACAAAATTCTTATTCTTTTTCTATAGTTACCAATATACTTTTCCCACCCTATTCATATACTCAAGAAAAATACTATTTATACAGCATCTGTAAAATCATAAAATATATTTCAATAACTTCTCTCTTTGCAAGTAAGATAAACACATCGAAAAAATTAGCAAAAAAAAAAGAGAAAAAAAAAAGAAATTTGATTTGCTAAAAAGCAGAGTTTTTTGTCGTCTTCACCTTTTCATTATGCATCATGACATGTCATTCCATAAATTTCTACAGCACATAGCTACTCACAATTTATGTGTTATCCAAGACCTACTCTGATATTGCTCTAATGTCTGATGGCCTGTTTTGGGGACTTGTATGGGGCATGGGATCTTAAGAGGACAGTCCAGTTCGATGACATGGAAATTGACAACTTATCCTTGGGGTCATAAATTTCTGCCTCCACTGATCAATTGTGAAGCAGATAAACCATATAACATTCCATTTCTTATGAATTTTTTCTCCATAATTATTGCTTTATTCATCAATTACCTACTGTGGTTTTATTTATTTTCATGGGTACCAATTTTTCGTGGATTGAGGGAAAAATGTATTTTTATGTATATTTGATTTTGCGGTTTTGTCAAAGTTTTCATATTAGCCTATAGAAAATTTGTACTTCGCTGAACATTAAAATTCTTGGTTCACTTATACCCACGAAATTGATATCCCACGAATAATAATGAGTTCACAGTATAGCAGTAAAATAAAGCTTGTTAAGAGTAAGTCACTAAAACTGTAGTTTGAATCAAGTATTAGTTATCTACTTGAAAACAGATATATAATGATTTCCAAACAAAGTTTTGCAATGCCAAGTCTGGGCCTGTCATTTCCATGTTTTTCTATATGCACTGCCCTCTGATGTCCACAGCCACAACAAGTCCCTTACACAAGGTATAGCTATCCTAGACATATTCATTTTCATTATGTATACAATGTTAGTGGCATATTCATTTTCATAAGACATCCTTGTTGTTGGTTAATTTGCATAAAAAAATACTGATGGTGCAAAAAAAAAAAGACATTGCTTCTATTTCCACGAACAGGACACACCTCTAAAAGTCCTCTATTCCCTATTGTGCATGACCATTTTATCAAGGATATCAGTTTTGTCTAAAATAGCATTTTACAGGTATATAATATTTTCTTTGAGGTTAAATAAGGTACTAATCCACCAGAGGAGTATTACTGTGGATTAATTTTTTTTTGTGAATACCAAATTTTCATGGATATTTGATTTTGTGGTTTTGCCAAAGTCTGCTAATAAGCATAGAGAAAATCAGTACCTCATTGAACATTTATATTTATGGTTAACATATACACACAAAAATTGGTATCCAACAAATAATAGTGAATCCATAGTAATTGGTCTTTTCTTTTCTTCCATGAGAAGGTCAAGGGAGACTTTACTTAAAAATTTGAATTCAGAAAAGCAGAAAATTTCATCCTATATTTTTTTCTTACAAAAATAGAATTTTAGTCACAGAGAATGGCTTTAATGGACTATCATGTTGATAATTCTAGTACTAGCAAATTTCAATGCCCAAAAATTTTTCTTTTTTTTTCAGTAAATGTTCTGCTTTCTTCCTTCCTACAGTCTGACAAACAAACCAGATACCATATTTTTAAATTGTGATCATCATTATTAGTTTAGTGAGCAGACGGCATTTTAACTACAATGACATCAAACATTAAAGCAAACTTAGAAAAGAACACAAAATTTGAAATGGCAAACTTTACCTCATGATGTAACTTTAGAGATCGCTGTAACAAAATGTGCAATTAAAACAATTTAGTGATCGAGACTTAACATTCCATTAATAATGACCTTGTACTTGATAAAAATTCTGGTACATTTTGCATTTGATTAAAACAACTTGGTAGGCAACTTAACTGCCCATTTTATTCTTCAAAACATTAATACTATGACAAGTCTTATATATCCAGTGCTGTATATTACGCAATTTTTTCAATAAATGAAACTACACTATCAGAGAAAGCGATCAAATATGATTTGTTAATCTTTATTTCTGTTCAAACATTAAATCTATATTAAATAAGCTCCAAGGGATAAATTGTAATATATAATTTCCATATAATACCCTTTTTGTTAAAATAGTTACAAGCGTAAAAAACAGAAAATGTTAAATTCTTTCTTTCTCCAAATCTTAAAGAAGATAAAAATAAATTTCCCATCTTACTCTTATTCCTTGTCTTTCCTTGTTCATCTCATCTTCCAACTGGTCAGCAACCATTCTGTAGTTCTTAGAAATACCATTACACACTTCTATGATTGAATCAAACAGACTTTCCAATAGCTTTTGTATGAACTTCAGAACTGTTCCAGTTTTGTCAATGATATCTAAAATAAAATCAGTCAATTTAAGATTACACCAAACATATATGTGAATTCTAAACCAATAACTAGAGAATTGCAAATTTTAGTTAACACTTTAAGTTTTTCAGCTAAAAATGTTCTTAATTTCATCTGGCAACTAAGATTGTGCTTCCAGATTGAAGAGGTTCAAATGAATTTCTAAAAAGGAACATTCAAGTGCATGTCACAGATTGCATAGCATGTACTGGTAGTCTCTTTCCATTGTTATTCTCAACAAAACTATTAAAAAGTGGTTATCTATAGAACAATTACAATTACAATTGTGTAGCAAACTGATCTGTAAATAACCGATTGATGACAAAACAAATTACACTCTAAATCTTATCAAACAAGGCAGTAAGACTAGGATGTGCAGAGTTCTCAAAAAGTTGTAGTCAAGTTTTGACCACCAAAATGTTGCCAAGGAGTGATCCAATTTTGGTATTTTGCAATAGAAACAATATTCAGGACAAGCAGATTCAATGACCATAAGGGAAAAATTTTGCAATCTTTCGATTTATAAAGGGGCATAACTCAATAATGGTTAAAGTGACACTACCCAAATTCAACTTGATCTGTGTTTTATCAGTGGAAGTCAAAATTAAACATTGCATTGTATAAAGCATTGACTGTAGATGATTCAACTATAGTCATGGAAAAAGGAAGACAACTCCAATTTTAAAAATTACTTGATATTTAGAAGAAAATAAAAATGCTGCAATTTTTCCATTTATAAAGGGGCATAACTCTAGAACGGTTAAAGTGACGCCACCAAAGTTCAAACTTGACCTGTGTTTTGTGGTAACAAGCAATGTGGATAAGTTTCATAACATTTGGTTGAGGCAAACTTAAGTTAGAGAACGGAAACTAAAAATTTAGCAATTTTTCCATTTATAAAGGGCATAAGTCTAGAACGGTTAAAAATTCAAACTGCATCTGTGTTTTGTGGTAATAAGCATTGTGTATAAGTGTCATAACATTTGGTTGAGGCAAACTCAAGTTAGAGAACGGAAACCAATGTTGGGACGTACGTACGTACGTACAGACGGAGAAGGGTAAAACTTAATGCCCCAACCGCTCCAGCAGGGGCATAAAAAGAATTAGAAAACTTTGGATGTGCAGTAATTGTGGTGCTTGCATGACTAGTTGTGATTACATTTAAAGGAGTAGGTAGTTAGGATCCTATATGGTCCCCCCAACATTAAATCCATTATTTAAAGGTGAAGAGTGTCAAGCTGATACATATATAAGTGATAAAGTGAAAAAGAATGATTGTTTTGTCAAGATTTTCTTTCAAAGCTTTGATATTTACATCAAAAATTGGTGAAAAAGAGGGATTACAGTGATTTATAAAATTCTTTGGATTTCAACTACATTAAGGCCTAAGAAACAGAGAGCAGGATTTAACAAACTTAATATTCATGTTAGTAAATACATTTATAAAGCTAACATAATGTCAAATCATCTTGTTTTGTTGACACATGTTTGTATGCTTACTGTCAAATGAAACAATTGAAAATGGCCTATTTTGCTTGAATTTTGTGGAATATTGAAATTTATGCGAAATTTGACATCATTAATATATCGCTGATATAGTCAAAATACTTAATTCCTATCTAGTCATTATATTAGCTATGAATCATCGTGATACTGGCCATTACATCCTAATATAAAATTTCAGCTAGAAATAGGGGCTTATTGATTCTTATCCAACCTACTGCTTCAAATCTTATCAAGATAAATTCATTGTTAAAAAGGAGGTATCAAAAGATCCATTACTTACTCTCTGAGACTGCAAAAAGAGTATTATAAAAGAATTTCAAACCTTTCAAAATTATATCAATTTTATTGATAATGGATCAGATCACTGGTCACTTCTGTACAGAAATGCCATTTGTGTGCATTATCAGTTTGACGTCATAAACATGAAATAATCAACATATTTGACAAAAAATGGATTTTATCTATAATTTTTTTGTAAAAATTTTAGCAACGACTTTATTCAAAAATATATCTAACATCTAATTCTAAGTACAAGACATCTTGTGGGAAAACAACTTCTCTTGTAAGGCTGTTGTCCATTTAACTATCAATTGGAAAACATAAAATTAAGCCAAACTTATGTCCGTTTTTCCTTATATAAATGCAAGGTAAATTCAAATATATTATTATTGGTGCCACCTGAGAGACCTCGGAAGTATTTAATTGAATAGATTTAATATACTTTGCAAGAATACTAATTTTACCATAAAAAGTGGCCTCATCATAATACATTTCTCATTAATTAAACAGAAAATGTTTACACAGATTTTATGGCTCTCCTAACGATGGAATTTCCGAAGAAACACCTTCTTTTCACCTGTTTCTGTACTTAAGACCCTTGGCTCTGAGCATTGCTGATGAAAGTAAATCCAGAAAAACACTTCAGACCCATAAAATTTATAAATTTCCCACCAGATCATTGCACTTGCAAAACTCCCAACATTACAAACCTTCTTCTTCATCTTCAACCCCTTGCTCCTTATCCTTGGTCTCTTTATCTTTGTCCTAAATTGAAGTTTAAATAAAAATTACTAACAAAAGTATACACTAATCCATGTACATTTACTATTGTTTCTGATGAAATATTGATAAAATATCAAAAGTCAAGTTAGTTATTACATACAGTCAAATCTATTACTACTTTCTTTTAACTAAGGCCATCTAAAAATGCCTACTTTATTTGAACTTTGGTGGATAGTTGTCTCATTGGCAATCATACCTCGTCTCCTTATTTTTGTACTAGTTCTCAGACAATTGATTTTACAAAAGTAGTACATAAAGAGAGGTTTTGTGTTATAGCATTCATCAGTATAAAAAATAAGGAGAAATACTGTCTTTCAAGGCACTTTATTGATGGAAGGTGACTTGAAACGAAGGAATTTCGGTAAATTTATTTTCATTTTCATCCCCAATTGCTAGAATCTTCCTCTCAACTTATTATATCCTTCCTTACATCCACTTTCCACTTTTCTCCAAAACAAACAAAAATGTTAGAAAAACACCTATGCCCTTATTGCTTGCCAGACAGAACTAAATGCAAACTTGATCCATAAGATATCATTATACAATATTGTACCAAAATCAGATTAATATGTCACTGATACAGGAAAAAAGAGAAAATTGTTTTATTTCAAAATGACAGGAGAGACATCTGTAACACTTTTTGCCCCCACCGCTAAGTTGTGGGGCATAAATATCATATGATGCATCTAAGCTTGCTATAACAGATAATAATTCCATCTCATTAAACTGACCTTATCTGCAGCATCTTCAGCTTGATCTATAGCTGCATCAGGTCCAGAATGTATTGCGGTTGATATCAGCTGCAACAAAAATCCATTTTTCCACATTAAACATTTGAATTTTTACATAATCTAATCATAGTATAATACGTGAAAAGTTTGGCTATATTTTAACACAAATATGTCCATTTCAATGTCTCTCAAGCACTTTTTACTCGATTTCTCAATGCATCTTTTTGTAAGAATGTCTCCATCAATTTTTATAAAAAAAAGTTGTTTTTATCATGACAAACAACTATTTATGAACATACTGTGGGGAAAATATACCTTACATTAATTTCCTCTGACATTCACTTGCATTGTTTTAAGGTGGATCATTGGTATATATTTCCACAGATAGAATTTTCTTATACTTTGCTAAAATGTAGATTTTCCATGCTTTTTTCAAAAATATATAAAAAGTATGGGTCACCGTGCTATTTTTCAAGCTACAGGTCATGCAAAATTGCTCAAATTTGCATAGATTGATCTTGGAAAAACACTTTTTTGGGAGTAAAAAGAAATCTATGAGATAGAATTTTAAAATAAAACATGAGAAGATAGGTTTCAAAATATGCTTTGAGAAAATAAAAAGAAAAAATAGTGTCACCGACCTTGTATTCTTGCTACAAGTAAAAATTTGAAAATTTCTCTATCATTCCTTTATAAAAATTTTACTATTTGAGTTATTTTCCCTTGAATGGCTAAGTTGATAATTTGATTCGAACAAACACAAATGTTAGATGTTTGATAAATCAGTCTGAATAATTCAATAAATGACTTATTTTTCTTAGTTCCAATGAACAGTCTAACCCATTAATTGCCAATCGGTCTCAAAATTTGCAGATTTAAGCAAAGAACTATTACTGACCGTCCAAAACCCTCATGGGTAGTCAAGGTCGTTAAAAAAAAAAACCTAGTAGTAGTACACCTAATGTGAACTGCTACTTTACAATCCAAGATGGCAGTATACAGTTAATCTACCTTAAGTTTAACACAAAAACTTAACATTGACCAATGAACCATGAAAATGAGGTCAAGGTCAGATGATACCAGCCAGCCAGACATGTACACCTGACAATCATTCCATACACCAAATATAAATGACATATTGCAATTAGTACTTGAAAAACAGACCAAAACACAAAAACTTAACATTAACCAATGTACCATGAAAATAAGGTCAAGGTTAGATGAAACCTGCCAGACTGACATTCACCTCTTTCAATGATTTCATACACCACATATAGTTGACCTACTGCTCATAGTATCCGAGAAACGGACCTAATCTTTACATAAACATAACTTTAACCTTGACAACTGATCCATGAAATGAGGTTGAGGTCAGGTGAACTCTGTCTGATGGACATGTAGACGTTGCAAAGAACTATTTGTCCCCTATTTAGTAAGTTGAAAACAGCAAAAAATATGTCCATTTTCAAACTTTTACTCTATTTTCTTTTTTAAATTATTTACCTGTAACGGATTTGGTGTATCATCTTCTTCTTCATCTTGACCTATAGTTATACTGTCTTTGACCTTTTTGCCTCCAGTTTCCTCTTCTGATTCACTTTCCTCATCAAACAAATAGTAATCACCAGATCTGATTGCTGAAATCATATAGCCAAAAGTAAAATCTTAGGCGTGACCTCAAATATTGATTTTCATATTGTCTTCAATATGCAGAATAAATTATTGAATCTATTTTATTCATTTAAAAGATTAATACTTCTGTTTTTAAATCACCTTTTTTTTTAAAAAGATTATAGTGTTATTAAATATGAACAAATAAAATAAAATCACAAAGTTGTACATATTATAAAGTTTGACTTACACAGTAGAAATGACACAACCCTTGCCTTAAAGTATCATAGATTGATTAATAGTTGGTGTTGAACACCACTTTCAACACTAATGAATATAAAAGTGGCAGTCAGTTTTCATTGGTGGAGGAATCGAGAGTGCCTAAAGAGAACCTTGACCTTCCACAGGGAAATGGCAATCATAGTCAATTAAGATTGTAGTCAAACACACCTGCATAGTGTGTGCAGTTTGAACTCACAACCTTAGTGCTGACAGGCTAGTGATACAATTGATGAACTACTTTGATCACTTGACCGACAAGGCCTCAAAAAAACTTTTGAGTGACTCTTATACTGCTAGATGTAATAATCATACTGCTAGATGTAATTTAGTCAGAATGTTTCCTAAAAAAGGCCTACTTTAACCAAATCTGATAAGCCTATCTATGTCTTCAAATAACAGCTAAAACATGTTTTGAAAACTTTTATTCAGACGTTAAAAGAAAGCTACCAAAATGAATCATCTGGTCCAGGTGAGCTTAAAAATCCTGTACATGCTATATGATTATGGTTCTTAGCTCCAAAATGGCCTGAAATTGCCATCACACATTAAAAATTGCTGCTTGTTGTTGTTTTTTTTTCTTTTTTGGTAAGTCTATTTTCAGGTTCGTCAGGTGTTGGTGGTAATAATGGTCTGTTGAATCATGGGAAGTTTTAGGTAATTCCTGTTATACTTTGTATGTACTACTTCAATTTGATCTCATTAAACTGACATCATAAAACACATCATATATACATAAGTAGTAAAATACTTCCCAAATCTATGGACTAAAAGTAATAAGGAAGAAGGGCTTAATAATCTGCATGATGATAAAATACCTGTATCGAGACAACCAGACAAGATTTCTTTTTTGGGGCAATAATAGATGAACTAGATGTATGGGTGTCTTGATAAAACTCCCAGTATATATATATATATAGCTACATGTCTGCCAAAATGATGCCTTTAATAAAACAGAAACCATGAAATGTCTCTGTAAAAGCATTGTAAGAACCAAACAGAAAATATGTAATATTTTCAGGGCTCACGCTAGCAGGCAACTGGGGCAAAGAAGTCGTTTTCCCATCCTTTACTTAGCTTTGACCGACCTTCAAAAGCAATATTTAGTCCCCCTGGTGTTCACAATAGTTGCTTTCAGTCCCTTTCGATTTTCAATTTTTACTAAGTCAATGAAAAAGCAATTTTTCATTTTTAAGTAAAGAAATTCAAAAACAATTTATTTCTTTCGAAAAGAGGTGAAAGCATTGACTGTAGATAGGTTGTATGTTATTTCAATCAGACAACTTTAAATGAAATATTTTCTTTCACTTCCAGTACTTGTTACTCGAGAGCGTACATCAAAACATTCTGAATTTCCCGCAAAATAAAGTTTTACTTCATTAGAACGTGATGAAAATTGTCTTTAGTTAATGTTTCATCCATTTATTGCATTAAAAGCATCATATTCTTTTCCAAATAGCTTGTAAAACATTGTTTATTTTTGTAAATTTTTCATTGTCCGCCATTGAAATATTTGTTCGAACTACAGATCAGGGGCGTGATTCATTGGAAGAGGATCAGCTATGACCAAAATCCGTATTCTTATGATAATAACTAAATGTCTTCCTTTTTATTTCTGGCCTTTTGCTATATTATGCATTATTATATATAGCTGCTATTAAATGCCAGTGCTTAATTAATTTATTTATTTATTCGTTTTAGTTTGTTAGTATTTTATGAGATTTCAGTGATAGCTGGTTCCCCCATTCAATGCACATAGAGATGTTTGCTACATGAGCATTGGCCCCGGAGGTTCAGAAATCAAAAATAATTTGCTTTCATTATATTTGCATGCTTTTTAAAATTTTTATTTATTAGTATTTGCATGAAGCTGCATGATTTTTATATGATAGTCGGTGTCATAGATATAAGAAGATGTGGTATGAGTGCCAATGAGACAACTCTCCATCCAAGTCACAATTTGTAAAAGTAAACCATTACAGGTCAAAGTACAGCCTTCAACACGGAGCCTTGGCTCACACCGAACAGCAGGTGTCATGTTTTCTCTGTTATTGTGTACATATATGCCGACTTTAAATACAATTTACTTACTTATCTCCTTGCTAAATGTATATATTTCCATGTAAATTCATTGTTTCAATTTATTTATTAAAGTTGCTTAATTCTGAAAAATTTATATATCTTTCTAATGAGAAACAATGAATTTCATAAACATGATAAGCAGATTAGTTATTTAATTGAATTTTAAATGATATATGATACCTTTTTTCCTTTTTGAAAAAAAAAAAGTTCTTTTTAGTGCTAGATATTTAGTTGGTAGTTTCTTAAAAAGGAAAAATATAATTGTGTTACTATAAATCAGTGATTATTCAAACCATAAACTGAACGAACTGTTATTTAAAATCTATACTCAGTATCAATTGAACAAAATTCAATAAATAGGATACATATGGCCCATTATCATAGTAATAAAATGCTCCGCAGGGCGCAGCTTGATACGACCGCAGAGGTCGAACCCTGAACAGTTGGGGCAAGTATGGACACAACATTCAAGCTTGATACAGCTCTGAATTTGGATTGTGATTAAATATTTGACACAGCATAGGTTTCTGACACAGAATGAATGTGGTCTAAGAACTTAAAAATTTTAAATTGGACATTCACCTATTATGGTCCAATATCCAAAATCTAAATACATGGTTAGATTCAGCATATCAAAGAACCCCAAGAATTCAATTTTTGATGAAATCAAACAAAGTTTAATTTTGGACCCTTTTGATCTCAATGTGGACAAAGTTGATAACGGGGCCCAAAAATCAAAAATCTAAATACATTGTTAGATTCAGCATATCAAAGAACCCCATATATTCAATTTTTGTTGAAATCAAACAAAGTTTAATTTTGGACCCCGATTTGGACCAACTTGAAAACTGGGCCCATAATCAAAAATCTAAATACATGTTTAGATTCAGCATATCAAAGAACCCTAAAAATTCAATTTTTGTTAAAATCAAACTAAGTTTAATTTTGGACCCTTTGGACGTTTATGTAGGCCAATTTGAAAACGGAACCAAAAATTAAGAATCTAAATACACGGTTAGATTCGGCATATCAAAGAACCCCAATAATTCAATTTTTGATGAAATCAAACAAAGTTAAATTTTGGTCCTTTGGACCTCAATGTGGACCAATTTAAAAATGGGGCCCAAAATCCAAAAACTTAATACACGGTTAGATTCAGCATATTAAAGAACCCCAAGAATTCAAGAATAAAACCCCATTGAAATTGATCAAGAAATAAGCAATTTATAGGAAGTATCTTCTTTTGCACAATACTGTGCAATTGAATATATCTTGCTATTGCGCAATACTGTACAATTGACAATTTCTTGCTATTGCGCAATATTGTGCTATTGGATATTTCTTGCTATTGCGCAATACTGTGCAATTGAAGATTTCTTGCTATTGCGCAATTCTGTGCAATTGAAGATTTCTTGCTATTGTGCAATACTGTGCAATTGAAAATTTCTTGCTATTGCACAATACTTATTATATAATAATTTACACATCCTGTTTGGTGTGTATCTCCTACCATATCATTATTATTTGCTTTTAAATATAAATAATCAGAAATAACCAACTTAAAATGGAAAATTTTAAAAGAAAATAAAATGCTCCGCAGGGCGCAGCTTGATACGACCGCAGAGGTCGAACCCTGAACAGTTGGGGCAAGTATGGACACAACATTCAAGCTTGATACAGCTTTGCATTTTGATTGTGATTAAATATTTGACACAGCATAGGTTTCTGACACAGAATGAATGTGGTCTAAGAACTTAAAAATTTTAAATTGGACATTCACCTATTATGGTCCAATATCCAAAATCTAAATACATGGTTAGATTCAGCATATCAAAGAACCCCTAGAATTCAATTTTTGATGAAATCAAACAAAGTTTAATTTTGGACCCTTTTGACCGCAATGTGGACAAATTTGATAACGGGGCCCAAAAATCAAAAATCTAAATACATGGTTAGATTCAGCATATCAAAGAAACCCATGTATTCAATTTTTGTTGAAATCAAACAAAGTTTAATTTTGGACCCCGATTTGGACCAACTTGAAAACTGGGCCCATAATCAAAAATCTAAATACATGTTTAGATTCAGCATATCAAAGAACCCTAAGAATTCAATTTTTGTTAAAATCAAACTAAGTTTCCAAAATTGGACCCTTTGGACCTTAATGTAGACCAATTTGAAAACGGAACCAAAAATTAAGAATCTAACTACATGGTTAGATTCGGCATAACAAAGAACCCCAATAATTCAATTTTTGATGAAATCAAACAAAGTTTAATTTTGGACCCTTTGGACCTCAATGTGGACCAATTTAAAAACGGGACCCAAAATCCAAAAACTAAATACACAGTTAGATTCAGCATATTAAAGAACCCGAAGAATTCAAGAATAAAACCCCATTGAAATTGGTCAAGAAATAAGCAATTTATACGAAGTATCTTCTTTTGCACAATACTGTGCAATTAAATATTTCTTGCTATTGCGCAATACTGTACAATTGACAATTTCTTGCTATTGCGCAATATTGTGCTACTGGATATTTCTTGCTATTGCGCAATACTGTGCAATTGAAGATTTCTTGCTATTGCACAATACTGTGCAATTGAAGATTTCTTGCTATTGCGCAATACTGTGCAATTGAAAATTTCTTGCTATTGCACAATACTTATTATATAATAATTTACACATCCTGTTTGGTGTGTATCTCCTACCATATCATTATTATTTGCTTTTAAATATAAATCAGAAATAACCAACTTAAAATGGAAAATTTTAAAAGAAAAAAAAAAGGAAAAAAAGAAAAAAAAGGAAACCCCCCCCCCCCAAATTTTTTGAACCCCCTTATGATTCATCACCCCCAAACTCAATCCCAGCCTTCCCTTTGTGGTATGGTACCTTGCAGTACAATTTCAGAGAGATCCATACACTTGAACACAAGTTATTGTCTGGAAACTAGAACTAGAGGCTCTCAAGAGCCTGTGTCGCTCACCTGACTCTACTTTGGTTTTAGAAATCATGTAAAGATAGATAAAAATCATAACAGATACCCAAATAATGATTGAGGCCAAATTTTGATTAATATTGGTCCCGTTATTTAATAAAATATCATGGTGGCCATCTTGAACAGTAAATCGGCAACAAAGTAGCAACACTTGGTCAGCACTTCATAAGGAACATTCATGCCATGTTTGGTTTCATTCCATTCAGTGGTACTCTAAAAGAAGACATTTGTATGTATTTCCCATAGGGTCCTATGTTAAACTAAGCCCCCCCCCCCCCCCCCCCTAGCGGCCATCTTGGATGATGGATCGACTGCAAAGTAACAACACTTGGTCAGCAACTCATAAGGAACATTCATGCCATGTTTGGTTCAATTCCATTCAGTGGTTCTCTAAAAGAAGACAATTGTATGTATTTCCCATAGGGTCCTATGTTAAACTAAGTCCCCCGCTGTCGGCCATCTTGGATGATGGATCGGCTGCAAAGTAACAACACTTGGTCAACATCTCATAAGGAACATTCATGCCATGTTTGGTTCCATTCCATTTATTGGTTCTCTAAAAGAGGACATTTTTATGTATTTCCCAAAGGGTCCTATGTAAAACTAAGTCCCCCCGCTGGCGGCCATCTTGGATGATGGATCGGCTACAAAGTAACAACACTTGGTCAGCATCTCATAAGGAACATTCATGCCATGTTTGGTTTCATTCCATTCAGTGGTTCTCTAAAAGAAGACATTTGTATGTATTTCCCATAGGTCCTTTGTTAAACTAAATCCCCTGCTGTCGGCCATCTTGGATGATGGACCGACTGCAAAGTAACAACACTTGGTCAGCACCTCATAAGGAACATTCATGCCATGTTTGGTTTCATTCCATTCAGTGGTTCTCTAAAAGAAAACATTTGTATGTATTTCCCATAGGGTCCTATGTTAAACTAAGTCCCCCGCTGGCGGCCATCTTGGATGATGGATCGACTGCAAAGTAACAACACTTGGTAAGCACATCATAAGGAACATTCATGCCATGTTTGGTTTCATTCCATTCAGTGGTTCTCTAAAAGAAGACATTTGTATGCATTTCCCATAGGGTCCTATGTTAAACTAAGTCCCCCGCTGGCGGCCATCTTGGATGATGGATCGGCTACAAAGTAACAACACTTGGTCAGCACCTCATAAGGAACATTCATGCCATGTTTGGTTTTATTCCATTCAGTGGTTCTCTAAAAGAAGTCATTTGTATGCATTTCCCATAGGGTCCTATGTTAAACTAAGTCCCCCGCTGGCGGCCATCTTGGATGATGGATTGGCTACAAAGTAACAACACTTGGTCAGCACCTCATAAGGAACATTCATGCCATGTTTGGTTTCATTCCATTCAGTGGTTCTCTAAAAGAAGTCATTTGTATGCATTTCCCATAGGGTCCTATGTTAAACTAAGTCCCCCGCTGGCGGCCATCTTGGATGATGGATCGGCTACAAAGTAACAACACTTGGTCAGCACCTCATAAGGAACATTCATGCCATATTTGGTTTCATTCCATTCAGTGGTTCTCTAGAAGAAGTTCAAAATGTAAAAAGTTTACGCCGACGCCGGACGACGGACGCCAAGTGATGAGAAAAGCTCACTTGGCCCTTCGGGCCAGGTGAGCTAAAAATATGTTTTTTTGGCCCCTTTTTGGCCCCAATTCCTTAACGTTTAGGGCAATTACCCCCAAACTCAAACCCAGCTTTTCCTTTGTGATATGGAACCTTGTAGTACAATTTCAGAAAGATCCATACACTTACACACAAATTATTGTCCTGAAACTAGAAAAATGCTTGTTTTTTTACCCTTTTTGGCCCTTAATTCCTAAAATATTGAGGCAATTACCCCCATCATCAATCCCAGCCTTCCCTTTGAGGTATGGTACCTTGCAGTACAATTTCAGAGAGATCCATACACTTGAACACAAGTTATTGTCTGGACACTAGAAAAATGCTTATTTTTGGCCCCCAATTCCTAAACATTTCGGCAAATACCCCCAAACTCAATTCCAGCTTTCCCATTGTGATATGGAACCTTGTAGTACAATTTCAGAAAGATCCATACACTTACACACAAGTTATTGTCATGAAACTAGAAAAATGCTTGTTTTTTGCCCCTTTTTTGGCCCCTAATTCCTAAAATTTTGAGGCAATTACCCCCAAAATCAATCCCAGCATTCCTTTTGTGATATGGAACCTTGTGGTACAATGTCAGAGAGATCCATACACTAACACACAAGTTATGTCTGGAAGTTACAAAAATGCTTATTTTTGGCCCCTTTTTGGCCCCTAATTCCTTTACGATTGGTACCATAACCCCCAAAATCAATCCCAACCTTCCTTTTGTGGTATTGAAACTTGTGGTAAAATTTCATAGAGATCCATTCACTTAAACTAAAGTTAGAGTGCGAAAACCAATGTGTCTTCGGACGACGACGAAGACGACGACGACGACGCCAACGTCATACCAATATACGACCACAAAAATTTTTTTGCGGTCGTATAAAAAAAGGAAAAAAAGAAAAAAAAAGAAAAAAAAAAAAATCTCCCCCCCAAATTTTTTGAACCCCCTTATGATTCATCACCCCCAAACTCAATCCCAGCCTTTTCTTTGTAGTATGGTACCTTGCAGTACAATTTCAGAGAGATCCATACACTTGAACACAAGTTATTGTCTGGAAACTAGAAAAATGCTTATTTTTGGCCCCTTTTTGGCCCCCAATTCCTAAACGTTTCGGGCAATTACCCCCAAACTCAATTCCAGCTTTCCCTTTGTGATATGGAACCTTGTAGTACAATTTCAGAAAATATCCAAACACTTACACACAAGTTATTGTCATGAAACTAGAAAAATGCTTGTTTTTTGCCCCTTTTTTTGGCCCCTAATTCCTAAAATTTTGAGGCAATTACCCCCAAAATCAATTACAGCCTTCCCTTTGTGATATGGAACCTTGTGGTACAATGTCAGAGAGATCCATACACTTACACACAAGTTATTGTCTGGAAGTTACAAAAATGCTTATTTTTGGCCCCTTTTTGGCCCCTAATTCCTTAACTGTTGGTACTATAACCACCAAAATGAATCCCAACCTTCCTTTCGTGGTATTGAACCTTATGGTAAAATTTCATGGAGATCCATTCAGTTAAACTAAAGTTAGAGTGCGAAAACCAATGTGTCTTCGGACGACGACGACGACGACGCCAACGTCATACCAATATACGACCAAAAAATTTCAATTTTTGCGGTCGTATAAAAACCAAAACATAGCAAATATTGCCGCCCCACAAGCGAACTAGCACTTCTCTTTCAAGTCTCAACACTTCTTCTTATCAGTTTAAAAAATAGAAGTCACTTCTCCCTATGATTCTGAAGTGGTATGATATTTCAGATAATATTTTTTACCAAAGAAAAATATATTTTGTACACTTACTCTGAAAATGTTCATCAGGCACAACAAAGTCTTTCTTGACATGTTTCTGTTTTTCTTTGATGGCATCCATTTTTTTCTTAATGTTGTCTAACACTTGACGTTCCTCTTCTTTTTGTTTTAGAACACTCTCTATCAATGTTTGGTTAATCAGTTCTGCTCCTCTAATGAAGTAAAATGTATTGGTGTAAAGTAATTCTAATAGATCTGTCTTACATATAAATATATATATATATATATGTGTCTTAGGTAAACATGACAAGAAACTGTTTTCAAACTTTATAAAAATGAGGTTTTCAAAAAAATAAAAATTGAAAGCAAATTAAATCATCATGATAAAATACATGACATCATTTGATTTTAATAGGTGTGTTGGATTGCTGTCTTATTGATTCAAATCTCCTGTTTATTAATTTCATACATATAATTATGAAAGCAGAAGAAAAACAGTGAAAAGAAATTTGCATCAAAATTTGTAAACACAGCTTTTATTATTACATAATGAAAAAATAATTATAATAAATCACACTTTAAAATTAAAGTTTGTTAACTTGACGAACAAAATTTATCCCAAAAAATGTTTTTGTTGACAAAACACATTTTGTATGTGTTGCGTAAGAGCATTTGGCCTACAAATGACATCATGCTTAAATCAAATCAAATCTTACAATTTTCCTTTGCTAATTCTTACCTAGAAGCAAGATTGTGTTGGGCCTGATTCATAACTACAACATGTCTGAAATAATGACTGTTATATATCCTCATTTGTAGCAGAAGGAATGTGAAACAAATTACATCCCAAGCTAGCCCAGTGTCATCTTCTTCAACCTTACAATCACCTAAAATATCAAACATAAATAATTAATTAAAAACAAATTCATACCTAACCTGTCAACCTCTTGAGTCAAATTTGAGGTCATGACTTGCATTGAATAAACAAGTAAAAAATTGACACTGACAACAGATGTTCCCCAAACTGCACCTTTATTGAGAAAAAGCTGTGCATATGCCCCATATTATTGTTAAAACTTAAAAATATATTTCATCCAAAAAACATTCTCATTTTAGAATTATCTTTAATCTATATAATATACAATTGTGTTTTTACAGATTACGGCAGATGATCTTTCCTTTTCACAGAGAACTTTTATACCAAGTCAAGACTAACCTGTATTAAATATGGGTGATAGATTTAAACAAGTCAGGCATAAAAGCTGTACTCAGTCAATACTAACCTGTATTAAATATGTGTGGTGGATTTAGACAAGTCAGGTCTAAGAGCTGTACTCAGTCAATACTAACCTGTATTAAAGATGTGTGATGGATTTAGGCAAGTCAGGCCTAAGAGCTGTATCAGCCAACATTGGTCTGTATATAGCTTGTCTATATACACACAACCCAGAAGCTGTAACACTGCTTTCATAAACAGTACAAAAAACGTGTAACCAATCAGCATGTTCCACCTGGAAGTAAAATTCATCAAATGTAGCAAGTAAAATGTAATATGCTTTCATAAACAGTACAAAGAATGTGTAACCAATCAGCATGTTCCACCTGGAAGTAAATTCATCAAATGTTTAGCAATCAGATTTTATACAATACAAAGTTAGGATCTTACTTTGGTAGTTGAAATTCCTATAATGGTCACTGTCATCTGAGAATTTTTCTTTTTAATTGGGTTCTTTTTAGTGATGAAAAGTGTATAATTCCAGTCTATTCATAGGCACAGTGACCTTGATCTTTGATCTACTGACATGAAAATCAACAGAGGTCTTTTTCTTTCCAAATAGTATTTTAAGTTTGGAGAAGTTTTCACCTACATGTATGGTCCAATTTCAGTCTATAAATTGGTGCTGTGACCTTGCCCTCAAACTTAGTAATCTCGAAATCAACAGAAGTCTTTTCTTCATTGAATGAAAAATTGTCAAACAAAATTTGGTCAAAGATATCATCTTTAACCAAAGTTGTATCCATATTTCAGTGTATCAATAACTGCTGTTTCCTTGACCTTTGATCTAGTGACCACAAAATAGTAGCAGCCTTCTTCATCAAGTTTGGTAGGAAATTTTTTATGGCTCAAAAGATTTTGTCCAGAAACCAAAATGTTTGACTAAACTCAGCTAAAAATATGGATTTGTCTTGACCACTTGGCAACAGAAATATCTTCTTAATACATTCCTCATCCTGAATATGCATGAAATATTTGCCACTTGACTTTAAGCAAGCAACAATCAATTACTCATTTTAAACATTAGTTCTTACAATTTTAAAATGTTGAAGTAAGTTAACACATTAACTCAAACATACCTTCGTGTTGAAGGCCTCATTGTGACTTGATGAACAGCAATAAAAACACTGTTTCTTTGCTTTTTGTGTCATGGATGGATACCCCATATCCTTTGTTTTTCTATTACACTAATACTACATAGCCTTTCTCAGAAAAAAAATATCCTTACCTTCTTCTGATAATTCTCAGAGGTAGAAGTAAGAACTCCTGTCCATACCACATAAACACAAACACAGCTATCACATAACCCATACTGAACAGGTTTATCCTTGTAGCACCAGTAATAAACATAATAAACAATGTTACCCAGTACATATAGGTGAAGAATCCTATTTTCAACACATCAAGATATGACCTGAAAATACATTATTTTTTTACTGCAAAACTGTTATATATAGATTCTACCACTGCATCGAGTGTGATACGATATTTATCCACTTGAGACAGTTAAATTTTCAAATTTAAAACGCGAGGCTCGCCGAGCGTTTTAAATATTTAAAATTTAACTGTCGAGAGTGGATAAATATCGTATCACACGAGATTTGGTGGTGGAATCTGTTTCTCTAATGATTTGCAAACAATATGCAGGCAAACTTATTCCTTCTTTTTGAATGATCTGCAAAAAGATGTGTTCTTTCTATGTGACGTCATCAGGCATGGTCGCCTTTTTTCATGCCGTCACAATAGGAAATTCAGAGGAAAACAAGAAAATTTGACGTCATAATCGGATTTTAACCAATGAAGAACTGAGATCAAACGAACCACACGTTGATTAAATTTTTTTTATACAATGGTTGCAGAAAGGGATAAATTGACGAAGAATTAGAGAAACAATTATATACATGTATCAAAAAATATAAATATGTTGATACAAAAATTTGAATTTCAAAGACAAGTTTATCTGCAGCAAAAAGATGCAAATGTTTTTTTGGTGGTCCTCTACACATTTTTATATTATAGTTTAAATACATGTCTGTGGAGCAAGTGTCCAATAATATTGCTTCCATCTATGTTTTAGAGATACTCAGGTCAATATCCGAAAACCATTTCTTTCAGCATGAATATATGCTCCTAAACTTTAACTGTAACTTTCTGACAAGAAATGACAACTGATAAGCAGACTGTTCTTACTTGGCATGGCCGGTAAAGTCAGGCACTAGTATTGGAGTACTGGCCTCAACTTCTTCTAGGATATCCTTATTGGAACCTCCTGGGTGTAAATCTCCTTCACTTGATTCACGTCTGAATACTTGCCACTGTAGACAAATCAACAACAGTTGAATTGTATCAGCTGAAAAATTAAAATATATTCAGTTAAGGTGGTACCTAACACTACAGGGAGATAACTCTGTAAAAATCAGCTAAACGTTTTAATTATGTTGTATTGTTAAGGAAATATTAAGCTTCTCAATGATCAAAATTAGTGTTTGTCAAACTGCTATATAACCAATGAAATTTTTCTGATAAAGTGGTTGGTTCAAATTTTTGAAATTTTTATATTTTTGTCAAAGGGTCAAAGTAAACATTTTGTCAAAATTTTATGAAAATTAAACGAGCCAAATTAATATTAGTCAAGGTGTTGGGTACCACCTTAATTACTCAATTTTTTCAAATCATAATTATGTGTAATTAATTAAATATGTAAGAAGAGGCTGTCAGAGTGACAGCAAACTGGATTTCCTGCAGAGGTCGAACCCTGAACAGTTGAGCAAGTATGGACACTACATTTAAGCTTAAAACAGCTCTGAAATTGGATTGTGATTGAATATTTGATACAGCATAGGTTTGTGACACAAAATGAATGTAGTCAAAGAACTGAAAAATTTGAAATTGGACATTTACCTACTGTGGTCCAATATCCAAAATCTAAGTTCATTGTTAGAATCAACATATCAAAGAACCCCAAGAATTCATTTTTTGATGAAATCAAATAAAAGTTTAATTTGGGACCCTTTGGACATCAATGTGAACCAATTTAATAAAGGAGCCCACAATCCAAAATCTCTAAATACATCGTTAGATTCAGCATTTCAAAGAACCCCATAAATTCAATTTTTGTTGAATCAAACAAAGTTTAATTTTGGACCAACTTGAAAACTGGGCCCAAAAATCTAATATTTAAATACAGGTTTAGATTCAGCATTTGAAAGAATCCTATATATATATTTAATCTATGTTGAAATGAAACACAGTTTAATTTTATCCATATAATTTTCTGTTCAAAGGGAAATAACTCAAACTGATCCAAATATTTGTTCTTTCATTTGTCACAAACTAATATAAATTTGCAAATTATCTATCAATGTCAACAACTTTATCTACACAACGTAATGTAATGAAATATATCCTTCAATAAAAATAGATTATTATCTAATTAAAGGAGTTCACTTCATCAAAATTTTTTTTATATATAGCATTCAGAAAATTAGTTTATACAGAATAACAAACAAACCTACCACAAAATTCTTCAAACAATTTACCAAAGAAAAGAAAAAAAATAATCCAAAATGTCATTTATCATTCATACCATGTCTTTTAAAAATCTTTTAAAAACTGAGATATTTCCCTTTGAACAGAATGAAGTAATTAATAAAAATTTCATCAAAAATTGAGTTCTTGGGAAAGGGCTATAACTCAACAACGAGAAAAGCTAAAATCGTGAAAATTGTACTTGACCTTCATTTAGTCACAGGAAACAACATATCTAAATTTAAAAAAAATTTCGTCAAAGTGTTTTCATGTTAATGAACAGACACTGTTTGGCAGCCGCCCGCCGTACATCCCAAAATCAATAACCGATTTTTCTTTCGAAAAGCCGGTTAAATATGCAAGAATCCATATAGGCACTCAACAACACTCTAAACATAGGAACAACACTTATTGCCGTTTATCATTTCAAAATCATTATTAGGCCTTCATTTCACAGCAAAGCTCATTACAGCCCTAGCACCAGTTTCAATTCTCTATTGAAATTTGATTATATTACATCTGTGCGTTAAAGACTGAACTAAATGCTTGGTAATTTCAAAAATTAAAGAAAATGACTGGCAAAGAAATCTAACAAATGCAGTCATAATTTGCCTGAGAATGTAAAAAAAAAAAAAAATCAATACAAATTTAAAAGACCACTGGGTACATTAATGTATCTGTAGATAAAATGCTCCGCTGGGGCGCAGCTTGATACGATCGCAGAGGTTGAACCCTGAACAGTTGGGGCAAGTATGGACACAACATTCAAGCTTGATACAGCACTGAATTTGGATTGTAATTAAATATTTGACACAGCATAGGTTTCTGACACAGAATGAATGTGGTCTAAGAACTTGAAAATTTTTAATTTACCTATTCAAACCATATCATTATTATTTGCTTTTATATATAAATCAGAAATGACCAATTTAAAATGGAAAACTTTAAAGAAAAAAAAGGAAAAAAAAAAATCCCCCCCCCCAATTTTTTGAACCCCCTTATGATTCATCAACCCCAAACTCAATCCCAGCTTTCCCTTTGTGGTATGGTACCTTGCAGTACAATTTCAGAGAGATCCATACACTTTAACACAAGTTATTGTCTGGAAACTAGAAAAATGCTTGTTTTTTGGCCCCTTTTTGGCCCCAAATTCCTAAATGTTTAGGGCAGTTACCCCCAAACTCAAACCCAGCTTTCCCTTTGTGATATGGAACCTTACAGTACAATTTCATAAAGATCCATACACTTACACACAAGTTATTGTCCTGAAACTAGAAAAATGCTTGTTTTTTTGCCCTTTTATGGCCCCTAATTACTAAAATTTTGAGGGAATTACCCCCAAAATCAATCCCAGCCTTCCCTTTGTGGTATGGTACCTTGCAGTACAATTTCAGAGAGATCCGTACACTTGAACACAAGTTATTGTCTGGAAACTAGAAAAATGCTTGTTTTTGACCTCTTTTTGGCCGCTTATTCCTAAACATTTAGGGCAATTACCCCCAAACTCAATTCTAGCTTTCCTTTTGTGATATGGAACCTTGTAGTACAATTTCATAAAGATCCATACACTAACACACAAGTTATTGTCATGAAACTAGAAAAATGCTTGTTTTTTGCCCCTTTTTGGCCCCTAATTCCTAAAATTTTGGAGGCAATTACCCCCAAAATCAATCCCAGCATTCCCTTTGTGATATGTAAACTTGTGATACAATGTCAGAGAGATCCATACACTTACACACAAGTTATTGTCATGAAACTAGAAAAATGCTTGTTTTTTGGCCCCTTTTTGGCCCCAAATTCCTAAATGTTTAGGGCAATTACCCCCAAACTCAAACCCAGCATTCCCTTTATGATATGGAACCTTGTGGTACAATGTCAGAGAGATCCATACACTTACACACAAGTTATGTCTGGAAGTTACAAAAATGCTTATTTTTGGCCCCTTTTTGGCCCCTAATTCCTTAACTGTGGGTACCATAACCCCCAAAATCAATCCCCACCTTCCTTTTGTGGTATTGAACCTTATAAACTAAAGTTAGAGTGCGAAAACTAATGTGTCTTCGGACAACGACGACGCCAACGTCATACCAATATACTACCACAAAAATTTTTTTGCGGCCGTATAATAATTAGACAGTTAATAATGTATGATTAGGGCTAATGTTATCAGCATATTCAACAGCTCCACTTCCAGTAGAAACTTTCCTATCTACATCTTTCAAGCAGTAATTGTTGTGCTGTTACCTAGAAGTCTGTTAGCTGTAGGATAGTAACTATAGTAAGATGTTTATAAAGTCTGAAAGTTTTAGAAGAGCAATAAAAAATCTCTATCTGGACAATCTAGATTTATCAAAAATGATAGGTTTTTAAAGGAGTAATACCACCCTTGTTTTTCCCCTATTAGTCTTTGTTAAATTGGGACTTTTAAAAAAATCATGCAGAATTTATCTCTGTTTCAAATAGAGAAATACTTGGCATGAGTAAAGTTTTATCCTGCCCATTACTACAGTGAAAATTTCAAAGGACATTTCATTGCATATAAGATATTAACCATCACCGGAAGTAAACCAATCAAATTTTCACCCCTTTCTTTTCTGTTTACAAGCTTTAGTAACCATGTCATCTCAAGTTCCCAAAATATTTAACAGGAACACCAAAAAAAAATTAAATGTGGATAGCATCCACATGTGGACACAGATGATGCCCCCGCTTGCATATCATATAGTTATAAAGGGACATAACTGAAGAACGGTAAAAGTAACGCTACCCAAATTTGAACTTGATCTGAGTTTTGTGGTAATAAGCATTGTGTGTAAGTCTCATAACATTTGGTTGAGGCTAACTTAGGTAGAGAACAGAAACTTAAAATTCAGCAGTTTTTTTCTATTTGTAAACACGCATAACTCTAAAACGGTTGTGTATAAGTTTTATAACATTTGGTTGAGACAAACTAAAGTTAGAGAACAGAAATGAAAAATTCAGCAATTTTTATGTTTATAAAGGGACACAACTCAAGAATGGCAAAAGTGTTGCCACCAAATTTCGTACTTAATCTGTATTATGTAGTAATAAGCATTGTGTATAAGTTTCATATCATTTGGTTGAGGTACTAAAGTTAGAAAACGGAAACAATAAATTTGTATTTGATCTTAGTTTTGTGGTAATGAATATTGTGTATAGGTTTCATAATGTTTGGTTGGGGCACCTTAAGTTACAGAATGGAAACTAAAAATTTTGCAATCTTTCGATTTATAAAGGGGCATAACTCAATAATGGTTAAAGTGACACTACCCAAATTCAACTTGATCTGTGTTTTATCAGTGGAAGTCAAAATTAAACATTGCATTGTATAAAGCATTGATTGTAGTTGATTCAACTATAATCATGGACAAAGGAAGATAACTCCAATTTTAAAAATAAATTGATATTTAGAAGCAAATAAAATATTTGCAATTTTTCCATTTATAAAGGGGCATAACTCTAGAACAGTAAAAGTGAAGCCACCAAAATTCAAACTTGATCTGTGTTTTGTGGTAATAAGCATTGTGTATAAGTTTCATAACATTTGGTTGAGGCAAACTCAAGTTAGAGAACGGAAACCAATTTTGGGACATACGTACGTACAGACGGACAAGGGTAAAACTTAATGCCCCCACCGCTACGGCGGGGGCATAAAAAATGGTGCTTTGAAACAAGATATATGTTTATGGTTTACAATTTTTTTTCTGCAATCAAATGCATAGTTAATTTCCTACAAATGTCAAATTCAAGGGAATATTTCTTTTCGAGCCTTTTTCGTATGAAACCTGATTTGACGAACTATAATTCAGCGGTATTACACCTTTAGACAGTTAAGAGATTGTACTTACCGATAAGTTTGATAGCTCTTGGTGGGAAGTTATAGTCAGGCAGATACAGCCATTTCTCTAAGTTTCTCTCAAAGATCTCAATGTAAGACCAAGGATATTCTGAAACAGAAATGTAATGTATACAGACTTCCAGGAGTATGTAATTAGTCATGCAGGAAACAAAACACTATAGCTACAAGGTTTTGTAACTTTGTTTGAACCTAAATCAAGAAGTTTTTCATGCAATATTTTCATGGATCACTGATTGCTTTGTTGCAACTGGTTATTGTGATGTTCATTTATATTTTTACTTTCAATATTCTTATTGCACCCTTTAGTATCTAAACATTTTCTTTTTGTTAACCCAAAGCATACTTGGTTAAATTCATTTAAAAACTATTTTTTGTATATTATATACGAGGAACTCTGCACCATGCAAATTATTTTGCATTCATCTACAATCATAGCGTATTAATGATATTGCTTCACTTTCACATCTTTCATAGATTCTTACATGACAGACATTTACACAGCTTCATAGATAACATCTAACCTTCACTCTTAAATGCATAAAATATATTGTCATTACTGAAACTTTTTTATTTAAATCACAACTAACATTTTTAATCAGAGTCACTTTGAGCATGTTTTATTCCACAAGTTATACTTTTATAATTAATGAACATATATGCTGAAATTAATATAAGTATTTTCATACCAATACACAATCCTTTAGGTAGCCCCAGACAAATGAGGAACTCCACAGGTAACATAACAGCTAGAATGATGGTAATCAATGGCCATATCAAAGCATTCCCTCTCCTACTGAGGACCAGAAGTATCCCCAGAATGACGGCATAGATGACACTGTAGACATCCACCCTTATACAAATGGTTACTGCTAACATGATGTAACACAACTGAAACATAAAGCAGGTAATTATATATATTAATGATTCTTTAATTTGTCATGGTATAAATAAGATGAGATGTGAGGTAAATTTCAAAGGGACAGCAATCTAACAACACAAAATAACCCCAATTAATTTAAACAAGAATGCATAGGTTGTTGTGCTAAGCATTACCCCACTCGTAATTCAAAGAATCAGAAAACAGGAAGTAGGTGTCTGACAGATAGATCACAAACGCGATCCCTGCCAAGCTGAAGACAAAAAATGAAGTCATTCTGTTCAGTAGTACTTGAGAAAAAGTTGCTGAAAAATTTAAATTCATTCAACATACATAGTGTCCGGTAATTCCGCCTGTCCGGTAAACCCGCCCACTCCCATTTACTTCTGTAATTGTCACTTCCGTGAATATTTTGTCTGCTATTTTGTTCATAGAAACTGTACTAATCACCACTGCATGTCAAATTTTAAAGAAAAATCCTTTATTACGAAAATATCTAGTGATATATATAATACAGTTCCTAAAGCTAACAATAATCATATTATTGCTTACAAAACTCAGTTCTAACTTGAAATTTTTTTTGGATTATCTGGAATCCCTTTATAAGTGGTCTATTAAAAAATATATCACCTTTTCCTTTCATAAATTTGTGATAAACTGACCCTCCATACATATTTACTGCGCATGGGCGGATTTACCGGACAAACACATTTCCGATAAAAACATGGATGACCCACATGTTTTGTTGATTTTAAAATTTATATAAGATATTTTTGGGGAAATGAGATAAACTACTTAAAGTTGATTTGTCAGTGAATCAATTAAATTAAATTTGATACAATTTGTATTTAATTAAGCAGAAATACTTATGATTAAAGCCTTATGTGGGCGGATTTACCGGACTGCATCATATTGGAAAAAAAATTAAAAGTATAGGCAAACAGGAAGTAGGTGTTGGACAGATCCTAAAAGTGCTCACACGTTACAACTCTTCACTGTAATGACTGTCAAGATCCAAACCAAATATGTTGTCATACCCGAGAAAAGTATGATTGAGAAATATTTGTTGCCCAAATGAATGGATGAATAGACAGACAAGGTGAATGCACTATAGTCCTTGCTCCTAGTAATAGCTGCAAATGAAAGTTGTCTAACTCTTCTGTAGATATGGCAAAGTCCATGAATTGCTTTGGGTCACCCTCAAAAATTGATAGAATCAAAAATAAAATAGGTGCAAAATGCCATTTTATACTAAAATTTCTGTTAAAGTTTAATTGAAATCTAGTTTCTAGTTCATTAAGAAATGAGAATAGAAAGTGCAGACAGACAAAGGAGCAAATCAACAAACCAATAAACGAAGGGACTCAAGAATCATTATAAACCACTGCTTCTTTAAACATGGGCAAAAAATAAAGCATATATTCAGTTATAACAGATACGAACTTCAAAATTAAACTTTCAAATTTTCTAACTACTAACTTGTGATGTAAAAATAACTTACCTGCAGTCCAAACTTATAGAAGAAGAAGTTGGCAAAGTATTTAGAGCAACGAAGTAAGCCTCTGTCTGCCTCTGGTCTTTTGATATCAGGAAAGATAACTCCTGGTGGTGGTCTTTTTTCACTAGGTCTCTTATAATGTTGTGACTGATGACATTTTATTAGCTTGTACAGAACAAGTATCAACAGAATTCCTATATAGTTCTGTACAAAGAAAGAAAAAATTCCAAAAAAAAGACTTTATGTATGTTATCAAAACAATTAAAAGTTTAAATAATTGTAATCACTTTTATAGAAAATAGAAAGTAAAATTTTCAGTGTTGAGTATATCTTTTTAGTCATTAACTCATTTCAGTATGAATTATCCATAGGATTTAAGCAAGCTAATATATTTTTTTTCTTAATGTGATAACAACAGTTTTCTTTTCTTTTCTGCTTTTGCCATTTTTTTACTATTTCCAGTATAGTTAACCCTTGACATTAAAGGCTATTGTTTAAGGTATGTTTTTGTTAAATAGGTTACAATATAGTAGAATTTATAACAAACTTGAGATTTTCCTAACTATTCTTTATGAAGTGTGATTTAAAAAAAATTTCAAATTAAGCACATTTGCTATCTTTCATATATCACATTAAGTAACAGGAACATTGGCCCTACCATAGCACCTGCGTTAATGTAGCTCAGTCTTTTATTTTTTGTTGTGGCTTGTTGATTGCTGTTTGTTTGTTTGTCTGTTTGTCTTTTGATCGTGGTGATGTCTGCCTCCTAGAATCAGCTCCCCCCTTTTTTATTAGTCTTTTTTCTCAATTATAAAAAGATAAAAGGAACTGACTTTTTTCCCAATATAACTATTGTCATATCTATAACCTACTGGTAATAAAATGGTTCTTACTGCAACACACTATAGTGTACTTTATTTACTTATTTCAACTTACACTGAGATAATGAGACAGGTGGCTTGTCTTATCAAATCCTACCCACAATGCTTGGTTGATTGTTCCATTAGTATCTGGTTTTAAACCACTCGAAGCAGAAAAACCTGTTCTTCCGCTTATACTGTTATATCCGGATGAATTGGCTAATACCGGGGAACCAGTTGTATTTACAACACTGGATGAATTCACTGTAGGGACTAAAGGTATGATAGTTGGTTCCATACTGAAATTTGCCTGTTAAAAAAAAAAAACATTCAATTAAGTCATGAAACATAATATAAGTTTTCATATAGTATATTAAACAGTATCATTATAATTTATTATTTATTATTTTCCATCAAATATTGACACCAGATACCATTCACATTATTTTCTTGCAACTGGTCAATTCCATTTTACTTCTTTTAAAAAATAACTTTTGAAACCTAAATTCTCCACATTTTCCCCACTTAATCACAGAGTTCTTGAAATCTTTTTTTTTCCCTAGTGGTCTTTGAAGAAAATCTGATGGTCCTCATCATCATTTCTATACCAAAATAGTGTTGGCCATTTGCAAATTTTTGGTGGTCAGGAGATTCTGACCACCACTTTCCCCAGAACTCTGTATCAAGCTGATGGTCTGAGCAATGCTGATAGGAAAACATAACATTTTTTAAAAATATAAATTGAGCTGACCAGAAACAAGAAAATTAGTTAAAATTAGAACTGTTTTTACTAAAATCTGATAAATTGCTTCATTATTCGTATTTTAAATGCTGAATAAATAATATCTCATATTTTAAAATGATTACTGGATCTAACTCATTGAACCATGAAATCAAAATTGTAAGAGTTCTCGAAAAAGTGATGGTCCGAAGGTTGTGACCACCAAAATTTTTCAAGGATCAACACAATTTTTGTATTTTGCAATAGAAATAATAGTGAGGACCAGCAGATTTTCTTCAAGGAAAAACCAGGGAAAAAAAGATTTCAAGAACTTTGAATGGGCCTGGCAACCTCATAACTGCTATTTTGGCTTATTCATGTTAGAATTCAAAGTTAAGAATCATGTTAAATCTTTTTTTTCATACTGAACAGCTTAATGGTGTAGCACAATTGGAGTGATTCTCCTTTACTGGTTCTTTGACATATATAGTGACTGCTTAAGACCATACCGTTGTCATCAATTCCACACAATAGATATAATATGGATTTTCGTCTCATATACCCAGTACATTATCAACAATGACATTTAATAATGCAAAATTAAATTAAATAAAATGCTCCGCTGGGCGCAGCTTGATACGACCGCAGAGGTCGAACCCTGAACAGTTGGGGCAAGTATGGACACAACATTCAAGCTTGATACAGCTCTGAATTTGGATTGTGATTAAATATTTGACACAGCATAGGTTTCTGACACAGAATGAATGTGGTCTTAGAACTTAAAATTTTTTTATTTACCTATTATGGTCCAATATCCAAAATCTAAGTACATGGTAACTTTCAGCACATCAAAGAATCCAAAGAATTCAATTTTTGATGAAATCAAACAAAGTTTAATTTTGGACCCTTTTGACCTCAATGTGGACCAATTTGATAACGGGGCCCAAAAATCAAAATACATGGTTAGATTCAGCATATCAAAGAACCCCATATATTCAATTTTTGTATAAATCAAACAAAGTTTAATTTTGGACCTCAACTTGGACCAACTTGAAAACTGGGCCCATAATCAAAAATCTAAACACATGTTTAGATTCAGCATATCAAAGAACCCCAAGAATTCCATTTTTGTTAAAATCAAACTAAGTTTAATTTTAGACCCTTTGGACCTTAATGTAGACCAATTTAAATAAAATGCTCCGCAGGGCGCAGCTTGATACGACCGCAGAGGTCGAACCCTGAACAGTTGGGGCAAGTATGGACACAACATTCAAGCTTGATACAGCTTTGCATTTGGATTGTGATTAAATATTTGACACAGCATAGGTTTCTGACACAGAATGAATGTGGTCTAAGAACTTAAAAATTTTAAATTGGACATTCACCTATTATGGTCCAATATCCAAAATCTAAATACATGGTTAGATTCAGCATATCAAAGAACCCCAAGAATTCAATTTTTGATGAAATCAAACAAAGTTTAATTTTGGACCCTTTTGACCTCAATGTGGACAAAGTTGATAACGGGGCCAAAAAATCAAAAATCTAAATACATGGTTAGATTCAGCATAAAAAAGAACCCCATATATTCAATTTTTGTTAAAATCAAACAAAGTTTAATTCTGGACCCCGATTTGGACCAACTTGAAAACTGGGCCCTATCAAAAATCTAAATACATGTTTAGATTCAGCATATCAAAGAACCCTAAGAATTCAATTTTTGTTAAAATCAAACTAAGTTTAATTTTGGACCCTTTGGACCTTAATGTAGACCAATTTGAAAACGGAACCAAAAATTAAGAATCTAAATACACGGTTAGATTCGGCATATCAAAGAACCCCAATAATTCAATTTTTGATGAAATCAAACAAAGTTTAATTTTGGACCCTTTGGACCTCAATGTGGACCAATTTAAAAACGGGGCCCAAAATCCAAAAACTAAATACACGGTTAGATTCAGCATATTAAAGAACCCCAAGAATTCAAGAATAAAACCCCATTGAAATTGGTCAAGAAATAAGCAATTTATACGAAGTATCTTCTTTTGCACAATACTGTGCAATTAAATATTTCTTGCTATTGCGCAATACTGTACAAATGACAATTTCTTGCTATTGCGCAATATTGTGCTATTGGATATTTCTTGCTATTGCGCAATACTGTGCAATTGAAGATTTCTTGCTATTGCGCAATACTGTGCAATTGAAGATTTCTTGCTATTGTGCAATATTGTGCAATTGAAAATTTCTTGCTATTGCACAATACTTATTATATAATAATTTACACATCCTGTTTGGTGTGTATCTCCTACCATATCATTATTATTTGCTTTTAAATATAAATCAGAAATAACCAACTTAAAATGGAAAAATTTAAAAGAAAAAAAAAAAATCCCCCCCCCCAAATTTTTTGAACCCCCTTATGATTCATCACCCCCAAACTCAATCCCAGCCTTCCCTTTGTGGTATGGTACCTTGCAGTACAATTTCAGAGAGATCCATACACTTGAACACAAGTTATTGTCTGGAAACTAGAAAAATGTTTGTTTTTAGGCCCCTTTTTGGCCCCTAATTCCTACAATATTGAGGCAATTACCCCCAAAATCAATCCCAGCCTTCCCTTTGTGGTATGGTACCTTGCAGTACAATTTCAGAGAGATCCATACACTTGAACACAAGTTATTGTCTGGAAACTAGAAAAATGCTTATTTTTGGCCCCTTTTTGGCCCCCAATTCCTAAACGTTTCGGCAATTACCCCCAAACTCAATTCCAGCTTTCCCTTTGTGATATGGAACCTTGTAGTACAATTTCAGAAAGATCCATACACTTACACACAAGTTATTGTCATAAAACTAGAAAAATGCTTGTTTTTTGCCCCTTTTTTGGCCCCTTATTCCTAAAATTTTGAGGCAATTACCCCCAAAATCAATCCCAGCATTCCTTTTGTGATATGGAACCTTGTGGTACAATGTCAGAGAGATCCATACACTAACACACAAGTTATGTCTGGAAGTTACAAAAATGCTTATATTTGGCCCCTTTTTGGCCCCTAATTCCTTTACTGTTGGTACCATAACCCCCAAAATCAATCCCAACCTTCCTTTTGTGGTATTGAACCTTGTGGTAAAATTTCATAGAGATCCATTTACTTAAACTGAAGTTAGAGTGCGAAAACCAATGTGTCTTCGGACGACGCCGGACGACGCCAGACGACGAAGACGACGCCAACGTCATACCAATATACGACCACAAAAATTTTTTTGCGGTCGTATAAAAACAGGACCAAAAATTAAAAATCTAAATGCTTGGTTAGATTTGGCATATCAAAGAACCCCAATAATTCAATTTTTGATGAAATCAAACAAAGTTTCATTTCGGACCCTTTTGACCTCAATATGAACCAATTTGATAGCTGGGCCCACAAATAAAAAATCTAAATACAAGGTTAGATTCAGCATACCAAAGAACCCATTATATTCAATTTTTGTTGAAATCAAACAAAGTTTAATTTTGGACCCCAATTTGGACCAACTTGAAAACTGGACCCAAAATCAAAAATCTAAATACATGTTTAGATTCAGCATATCAAAGAACCCCATATATTCCATTTTTGTTAAAATCAAACTAAGTTTAATTTTGGACCCTTTGGACCTTAATGTAGACCAATTTGAAAACTGGACCCAAAATTAAAAATCTAAATACACGGTTAGATTCGGCATAACAAATAAATAAATGTGGTCAAAGATTTTACAAATGTAATGCGCAATACTGTGCAATTAAAGACTACTTCTCGAAATTTTTCAATATTTGAAATTTGAAAAAAAATAAATGTGGATAGTGTCCACATGTGGACACAGATGATGCCCCCGCTTGCATATCATATAGTTATAAAGGGACATAACTGAAGAACGGTAAAAGTAAAGCTACCCAAATTTGAACTTGATCTGAGTTTTGTGGTAATAAGCATTGTGTGTAAGTCTCATAACATTTGGTTGAGGCTAACTTAAGTAGAGAACAGAAACTTATAATTCAGCAATTTTTCTATTTGTAAACACGCATAACTCTAAAACGGTTGTGTATAAGTTTTATAACATTTGGTTGAGACAAACTAAAGTTAGAAAACAGAAATGAAAAATTCAGCAATTTTTATGTTTATAAAGGGACACAACTCAAGAATGGTAAAAGTGTTGCCACCAAATTTCGTACTTAATCTGTATTATGTAGTAATAAGCATTGTGTATAAGTTTCATATTATTTGGTTGAGGTACTAAAGTTAGAAAACGGAAACAAAAAAATTGTACTTGATCTTAGTTTTGTGGTAATGAATATTGTGTATAGGTTTCATAATGTTTGGTTGGGGCAAACTTGAGTTACAGAATGGAAACTAAAAATTTTGCCATCTTTCGAGTTATAAAGGGGCATAACTCAATAATAGTTAAAGTGACACTATCCAAATTCAACTTGATCTGTGTTTTATCAGTGGAAGTCAAAATTAAACATTGCATTGTATAAAGCATTGAATGTAGTTGATTCAATTATAATCATGGACAAAGGAAGATAACTCCAATTTAATAACAAGAGTGCACACGCTGAAATGTCTCGCCTTCTTTACTAATCATTGATATTATGTTGATAGTCCTAAATATAAAGCTTTATTACAACTGTCACATAAACTTAACATTAACCAAGTAAACTAAACATTGACCAATGAACCATGAAAATGAGGTCAAGGTCAGATGAACCATGCTAGGCAGGCATGTACAGCTAACAATTCTTCCATACAACAAATATAGTTGACCTATTGCTTATAGTTTAAGAAAAACAGACGAAAACACAAAAACTTAACACTGAGCAATGAACCTTGAAAATGAGGTCAAGGTCAAATAAAACCTGCGTGACTGACATATAGATCATAAAATATTTCCATACACCAAATATAGTTGAACTATTGCATATAGTATTAGAAAAAAAGACCAAAACACAAAAACTTAACTTTGACCACTGAACCATGAAAATGAGGTCAAGGTCAGATGACACCTGCCAGCTAGACATGTACACCCTACAATCATTCCATACACCAAATATAGTAGACCTATTGCATACAGTATAAGAAAAACAGACCAAAACACAAAAACTTAACTATAACCACTGAACCATGAAAATGAGGTCAAGGTCAGATGACACCTGCCAGTTGGACATGTACACCTTACAGTCCTTCCATACACTGAATATACTAGACCTATTGCTTATAGTATCTGAGATATGGACTTGACCACGAAAACTTAACCTTGTTCACTGATCCATAAAATGAGGTCGAGGTCAAGTGAAAACTGTCTGACGGGCATGAGGACCTTGCAAGGTACGCACATACCAAATATAGTTATCCTATTACTTATAATAAGAGAAAATTTAACATTACAAAAAATCTGAACTTTTTTTTCAAGTAGTCACTGAACCATGAAAATGAGGTCAAGGACATTGGACATGTGACTGACGGAAACTTCGTAACATGAGGCATCCATATACAAAGTATGAAGCATCCAGGTCTTCCATCTTCTAAAATATAAAGCTTTTAAGAAGTTAGCTAACGCCGCCGCCGCCGCCGGATTGCTATCCCTATGTCGAGCTTTCTGCGACAAAAGTCGCAGGCTCGACAAAAATTACTTGATATTTAGAAGAAAATAAAAATTTTGCAATTTTTCCATTTATAAAGAGGCATAACTCTAGAACCGTTAAAGTGACGCCACCAAAATTCAAACTTGATCTGTGTTTTGTGGTAATAAGCATTGTGTATAAGTTTCATAACATTTGGTTCAGGCAAACTAAAATTAGAGAACGGAAACGAAAAATTCGGCAATTTTCCATTGGTAAAGGGGCATAACTCTAGAACGGTAAAAGTGACGCCACCAAAATTCAAACTTGATCTGTGTTTTGTGATAATAAGCATTGTGTTTAAGTTTCATAACATTTGGTTGAGGCAAACTAAAGTTAGAGAACGGAAACCAATTTTGGGACGTACGTATGTACAGACAAGGGTAAAACTTAATGCCCCCTCCGCTACAGCGGGGGCATAAAAAATATTTGAAGAATAATTCTTTTTAATTTCTGAAATCTGAAATGAGAAAAAATTGACCCCCACAATTTCTTTTTACCCCCCCCCCCCCCCTTTTATCCTCAAAAAAAATTCTTTCTCTCCAGATATGGTCATAATTGCAATTCAAATTTCCAATTACCCATTTAAATTTACCATAGTGCTAACTTAATCTATTTTATAATAGAATTTAAAATATGGTGTCAAATCTTTCATATGGATTTTTTTGTAAAAAAAAAATGATGCAACATTTGCAGATATTTTTACTGGTCTTCCTTTATAAATATGCATTTCTTTAAACATAATTAAAAAGCAGTGCAAGGGAAGTAATCAAAACATTGTATTTGGATTACCTCCCTTACACTGTTTTAAATTGTCTTAATTATTCATTAACCATTACTTTATACATAATTTAAAAGCAGTGTAAGGGAGGTAATTCAAATATTGAATTTGATTTATCTCCCTTACACTGCTTTAAATTATGTTTTGTACTAAAGTATTTGTCCATTAACCAGGACAACCTTGTTTTTCCCCCTTTTTTGCCCCCAATTCCTAAACGGTTTGAGCCATAACCCCCCAAAGCAAATCCTAACCATCCCTTTGTGGTATGGAAACTTGTGGTATAATTTCAGAGAGATCCATACACCGTTCCACAAGTTATTGTCTGGAAACTAGAAAATGCTTATTTTTGGCCCCTTTTAGGCCCCTAATTCCTTAACTGTTGGTACCATAACCCCCAAAATCAATCCCAACCTTCCTTTTGTGGTATTGAACCTTATGGTAAAATTTCATAGAGATCCATTCACTTAAACTAAAGAGTGCGAAAACCAATGTGTCTTCGGACGACGACACCGACGCCAACGTCATACCAATATACGACCCCAAAATTTTTTGGGTTGGTATAAAAATTAAGGCATAATATTTTTTCATGCAAAATTGTGTAAGGTTCTAGGTCATATTCAAAGATTGCAATTTTATTTAAATCATTTGTGTATTTTGTGTTTTTATTTGTGTTATTGATGTTTATCCCCATCTTATTTAATTCCTATCTTTGCATAACAGATCTGTGACACATTCATTAATTTCACTTCAATCTACTTTTGATGGAATAAATGGATGCATGCATACATTTCTGAACTTACAGAAAAGATATGTTTGAGCTACACACAACTCAAAAAGAGTTGAAACACAAAAATATATGACCTGTTGCAATCTTGGAATTTTGTTTTAAAAAGCAATGAATTCTCAAATTTTGACTGGGAACTTACAGTGCAATTTGTGATCCAGTAATCTTTCTCGACAAGATTCAGCTGGTAGATGGTCTTTGCCAGCAATACTATGGCAGTCCAGAACTGACAGATCACTGCCATACATGGCCATGCTCCAGTGATTGGAAGGAATATTGCTAGGAAAATTACATATACAGCACTCACAGCAGACACCTGTAAAAGAGACAATACATGTGTTTAGAATAAAAATTGATTCAAGGTAGGAATAGGGAATAACAATGTACTAATATCAAAAAGTAAACTCTTTTCTTTTCTTTTGGTCTGGGAAACATGGTTGATTTATTAGTTGAAATTGGACTTTTAACCAGCTTTCATGAAATGTGAGTACTCTAACTTGGTATTGCAAATAAAAACTAACATTTCTGATTTTGAAAGCATTAGTTGCAGCATAAGTTTTGGTTCAATGTTGAAGGCCATATGATGACCTGAAGTTGGTCACATCCTTGTCCCTTTGGGTATTTGGTGGAAAGTCATGCCATTTGCAAACATACAACATCTACTTACTTTATCCATGGTATATTTAAACAGCAAACTTGAGGATACATTCAATCCCCTAATGGGGGCCAATTTGGGAGGAAATCATTTTAATATAAAACAAGAAGATGCTGTATGATTGCAAATGAGACAACTATCCACCAAAGAAGTGGATGTAAGCAATTAAAGGCAACTGTACGGCCTTCAACAATGAGAAAAACCTACCGTATAGTTGGCTATAAAAGGCCCTGATGTGATAAATATGAAACAATTCGGTTGAGAAAAATAACGGCCTAATTTATAATAAAACAATTTACGACAAACAAATATGACAGACATGAACCAATGACAACCATTGAACTACAGGCTCCTAACTTGGGACAGGCACTTAAAGCATGTGGCAGGTTAAACATGTTTGAAGGCGCCAACCCTCACTATTGGAATAATTGACTCTTATATTGTACAACTCTTCACATTAAATTCAGATATCAGCAAACAAGAAGTAGGTGTCTGAAAGATTCTAAATGTGATCGCACATTACAACTCTTCACTGTCAAGTATTTCCTGAGAAAAGTGTGACAAACATTTATTTGTAGGATGGTAAAACAGGGTGATATTGCACTTCCAAATTTCATTTAAGTGAAGAATTTTAGAAAGAGAGGCAGACAATATCAAAGGGATATTCAAACTCTAAAGTTTAGGCCAAACTGACTACGCCACTGTAAAAAGCAATAAAATGGGGCGCAGCTTGATACGACCCTGAACAGTTGGGGCAAGTATGGACACAACATTCAAGCTTGATACAGCACTGAATTTGGATTGTAATTAAATATTTGACACAGCATAGGTTTCTGACACAGAATGAATGTGGTCTAAGAACTTGAAAATTTTTAATTTACCTATTCAAACCATATCATTATTGTTTGCTTTTGTATATAAATCAGAATTAACCAACTTAAAATGGAAAATTTTAAAGAAAACCCCCCCCCCCCCCAAATTTTTTGAACCCCCTTATGATTCATCACCCCCAAAACTCAATCCCAGCCTTCCCTTTGTGGTATGGTACCTTGCAGTACAATTTCAGAGAGATCCATACACTTGAACACAAGTTATTGTCTGGAAACTAGAAAAATGCTAGTTTTTTTAGCCCCTTTTTGGCCCCAAATTCCTAAACGTTTAGGGCAACTACCCCCAAACTCAAACCCAGCTTTCCCTTTGTGATATGGAACCTTGTAGTACAATTTCATAAAAATCAATACACTTACACACAAGTTATTGTCCTGAAACTAGAAAAATGCTTGTTTTTTTGCCCCTTTATTGCCCCTAATTCCTAAAATTTTGAGGCAATTACCCTCAAAATCAATCCCAGCATTCCCTTTGTGGTATGGTACCTTGCAGTACAATTTCAGAGAGATCCATACACTTGAACACAAGTAATTGTCTGGAAACTAGAAAAATGCTAGTTTTTTTGCCCCTTTTTGGCCCCTTATTTCTAAACGTTTTGGGCAATTACCCCCAAACTCAATTCCAGCTTTCCCTTTGTGATATGGAACCTTGTAGTACAATTTCATAAAGATCCATACACTTACACACAAGTTATTGTAATGAAACTAGAAAAATGCTTGTTTTTTGCCCCTTTTTGGCCCCTAATTCCTAAAATTTGGAGGCAATTACCCCCAAAATCAATCCCAGCATTCCCTTTGTGATATGGAACCTTGTGGTACAATGTCAGAGAGATCCATACACTAACACACAAGTTATGTCTGAAAGTTACAAAAATGCTTATTTTTGGCCCCTTTTTGGCCCTAATTCCTTAACTATTGGTACCATAACCCCCAAAATCAATCCCCACCTTCCTTTTGTGGTATTGAACCTTATGGTAAAATTTCATAGAGATCCATTTACTTAAACTAAAGTTAGAGTGCCAAAACCAATGTGTCTTCGGACGACGACACCGACGACGACACCGACAACGACAACACCAACATCATACCAATATACGACCACAAAATTTTTTTGCGGTCGTATAAAAAACCTCCAAAAGACAAGCAACAGTTTAAAAAACACAACATAGAAAACTAAAAACAGAGACACTGTGTCTGTATATGTCCATTTATTTTTCAAACTGTGCATTTGATCTGCAGTTCTATAGAAGAGTTAAATTGAAATGCTTAATTCTATATATTTTTTCGATGATATAACTGCAAGGAAATGTAATTGTATATATTATCTATAGACTTTGTTTAATTACAATTACTTTTGTTCTATTTTATCAATCCTTTTGAAATTTCCCTTCCAAAATTAAAGGTTTAGACCAATTTGTGCAATTCTTGTACTGCATTTTTGTTTTTTGGTATGTGAGTTCAAATGGCTGAAGTGAAACGGACTATATATTCTGAAAACACTAGCATAGCAAGGTAAACCCATTTTTTAAAAATAGTGCTTGTGTACACAAATTTTAAAGTAAAGCAATAGGGCCTTCTAGGTGACAGGCAGGATTTTTGGTCAATTTAATAAAAGGAAAGATATGGATTAAATATGATGCAGTTATAACATCTGAATAAGGTAATAATGTTTTAGCCATAGTCATTATGCGTAACAAACTACTATGCAAAAATGTTAAAAAGGTATGACCTTGTTTCATGGTAAAATTATTTGGGAAGTATGACTAAATGAACGAATGAAGTTATAAAAGTTATGATGTATAATCTTTTCACAACACTGTGTCTTGTCATAAAAAAGAAATTTTATCTGCAAAATTGAAATAAAATATAAATGCATGCTAGAATTTCAACATAATTTTATAAAATAATAGAAACACAATTGTAATCAAACAATAATTATCAGAATCAGAAATGTCTTTCATTCTTTCAACATTTCAATGAACACACAATAATAGATATATTCATGTTCATTCTACTTCAAGGTGAATTACAGTTAATTAAAAGGGCATAAGCTACGAATTCTACAAAAATATACATAATGATTTGTTTCGTTTCAAACATTTATAAAAGCAGAATAAAGAAATAATATTTTCCTTTTAGCAGTCAATACTTCAGGTTCAAATTCATTGAAATCAGCTGAACAAAAACTGGTGTATTATTGGCTTGCATGTCAATAATTTACCTCATTTTTACGTATTATGTCTGTTTGTTTTGCTCACACATTGTTGTCAATATAATGGAATTCTATGCAACTGTCATACAAGTCAGAGTTTTAGCTAGCTTTAAAACCACGTTTTATCCACCATTTTCTAAACGAAATGCCTGTACCAAGTCAGGAATATGACAGTTGTTTTCCATTTGTTTCATGTGTTTGAGCTTTTGATTTTGCCATTTGATAAAGGACTTTCTGTTTTGAATTTTCCTTGGAGGTTGGTATTTTTGCAATCTAATTAAAATTAAATCTCCGCACTTGCTCCTCGTTGTTTATATGTCGCGCGACATATAAACAACGAGGAGCAAGTGCGGAGATTTAATTTTAATTAGATTGGTATTTTTGTTGTTTTACTTTTTTTTAGGTACCATGATACACTTCACTTTTCAAAATTTTCTGTTTTTAATTTTCTTCAACTGTTAGTATTTGATTTTGCCTTTCAAGTGAATTAAGTTTTTTATTGTATATGAATCTTTTGATGCTTATTTTTTAACTGTGTTACAAGTCCAAACTTTGTATAATAGAAACAAGATCTGTAAAAAAAAAATAACTAGAGGCTCTAAAGAGCCTGTGTCGCTCACCTAAGTCTATGTGCATAATCAACAATGGACTCTCTCCAAATTTGTAGACAAGAATAGTTCATGACAAAAAGTTCTTTCTTATTATAATTTTTATCATAAAAGGTAAAATGCAAAAAAAAATTGAAAAAAATTGTCATTAAAGGGCAATAACTCCAATAAGGAGTTGTTGGAAAATTTCCTCCATATGATCTTAAATGTAGATCTTGTCTTCATGATCATTTTGCTTATTTAAGTTTCTATCAATCTATCAAAATTTATAAGGTATAAGGCAAAAACACAAAAAAATTGGTAAAAAATGTCATCAAAGGGCAATAACTCAAGTTTTTCAACCATGCCATACTTATTCGTAGATCTTGTCTTGCTGATCATTTTTGCAACTTCAAGTTTCTCTCCATCTATTATAGTTTTCAAGATAAAAGGCAAAAATTTTAAAAAATGCTCAAATTTGTCATGTAAGGGCAATTACTCTTAAAAAAGTCGCCTGACAGTTTTGATGCCAATGAACAATCGGTAGAGCTCAAGATTCTGAAATTTTTGCCCCTGTCAGATTTTCTCTATTTATAGCAGTTTTCAAAATCGGACACATTTTTTAAACTAGATACCCCAATAATGATTGTAATCAAATTTGGTTAAATTTGGCCCAGTAGTTTCAGAGGAGACGTTAACGACGACAGACAACGATGGACGACCGACGCCAAGTGATGAGAAAAGCTGACATGGCCCTTTGGGCCAGGTGAGCTAAAAAAAAAGCTAATAGGATTATCAACAGTTTTTTAATATAAATTGCAATGTGTGTGCTAAATAATTTTTTGAGTGTGCAAAATACCTCAATAACAATATTTCTCAACTATCAAAACCAGATGTTCACTCAGACTTCAACTTTGAAACTGACTATATTTTCAGAAATCGTAAGCATGACAGTACCCAAAGTGAAAGTAAACCAATAGGCTTTCTATTTAAGACAGGCAGGAATTTGATTATGCAGTTATAACATCTGAATAAGGTAATTATGTTGTAGCCATAGTCACAACACATAACAAACTACTGTACAAAAGAACAAAAAAGAATGACCTAGTTTCATGGTAAAAGTATTTGAGTAGTTCAATTGAAATGAATGAATGAAGTTATTACTAAAAAAACTAACATCTATAATCTTTGCACAACAAAGGCATACAGCATTTATTTTTTTTGTCACATTTCTTTTACAGTTTTTCTTTTACTTTTTATACAATTACAACATATCTTGTACCATTTAGTAATTTCGAAGAGCATCATCTTATTAACTATGTGTTGTATAGATTAAAGAAGAGCCCTTTTTATTTGGCCCATGAAATTGCAAAAATATCAAACTTTTTCAAGACTTTCAAAATTATGTTAATTTTATTGATAAATATAGTAGGTTAATATAACAGGTCACTTGTGATCTTACCATGATGTCTTAACCATGTTTAAATTGACATGTTTGACCAAAAAGGGAAATTTTACACATAGTTTTCAGACAAAACATAGGCCAAAGGCTTTACCCAAAAAGATATTTTAAACACGTTGACATGTTAATACAAGTGTGCACACGCTGAAATGTCTCGCCTGCTTTACTGACCATTGCTTTTATGTTGATAGTCCTAAATATAAAGCTTTACTACAAGTTTCACATAAACTTAGCATGATCCAAGAAAATGAGGTCAAGGTCAGATAAACCAAACCAGAAATACATGTACACCTTACAATCATTCCATACACCAAATATAGTTGACCTATTGCTTATAGTTTCTAAGAAACGAACTTAACCAGGAAAACTTAATATTGATCAATGAACCAAGAAAATGAGGTCAAGGTCAGATGAACCATGTCAGACAGACATGTACACCTTACAATCAATCTATGCATTAAATATAGTTGACATATTGCTTATAGTATCTAAGAAACAAACTTAACCATGAAAACTTAACATTGACCAATGAATCATGGAAATGAGGTCAAGGTCAGATGATACCTGCCAGACAGACATGTACAGCTTACAATCATTCCATACACCAAATATAGTTGACCTATTGCTTACAGTTTAAGAAAAACAGACCAAAACATAAATAAAATGCTTCGCTGGGGCGCAGCTTGATACGACCGCAGAGGTCGAACCCTGAACAGTTGGGGCAAGTATGGACACAAAATTCAAGCTTGATACAGCTATGACTTTGGATTGTCATTAAATATTTGACACAGCATAGGTTTCTGACACAGGATGAATGTGGTGTAAGAACTGGAAAAAATTTAATTTACCTATTATGGTGGAATATCCATAAACTAAATTGTTTGTTAATTTCAATATATCAAAGAATATGTAGAATTCAATGTTTGATGTAATGTAATAAAGTTGAAATTTGGACCGTTTTTGTTCAATGTGGACCAATTTGGTAACATGTATAAATAATCAAAAATCTAAATTAAAATAGAAAGTGACATCATAGTCATGGCTAAAAATAAACAAAAATCCTTAATCAGCAACATTTAAAGTAATATCTAAAAATAAAATTCCTTTGTAACCATAAAAGCCCATTTAAATACATCATAAAGGTATTAAAATAGAAAGTGACATCATAGTCATGGCTAAAAATAAACAAAAATCCTTAATCAGCAACATTTAAAGTAATATCTAAAAATAAAATTCCTTTGTAACCATAAAAGCCCATTTAAATACATCATAAAGATATTAAAATAGAAAATGACATCATAGCCATGGCTAAACATAGCAAAAAACCCGTAATCAGCATCATTTAACAGTAATATCTTTCCCTTTGTGAAATGAAACATTGTAGTAAAATTTCAGAAAGATCCATACACTTACACACAAGTTATTGTCATGAAACTAGAAAAATGCTTGTTTTTTGCCCCCTTTTGGCCCCTTATTCCTAAAATTTTGAGGCAATAAACCCCAAAATCAATCCCAGCATTGACCCTTTGTGATATGGAATCTTGTGGTACAATGTCAAAGAGATCCATATGCTAACACACAAGTTATGTCTGGAAGTTACAAAAATGCTTATTTTCGGCCCCTTTTTGGCCCCTAATTCCTTAACTGTTGGTACCATAACCCCCAAAATCAATCCCCACCTTCCTATTGTGGTATTGAACCTTATGGTAAAATTTCATAGAGATCCATTCACTTAAACTAAAGTTAGAGTGCGAAAACCATTGTGTATTCGGACGACGACGACGACGCCAACGTCATACCAATATACGACCTCAAAATTTTTTTGCGGTCGTATAAAAATTAACACTGAGCAATGAACCATGAAAATGAAGTCAAGGTCAAATAAAACCTGCCAGACTTACATGTACATCGTAAAATATTTCCATACACCAAATATAGTTGACCTATTGCTTATAGTATTAAAAAAAAAGACCAAAACACAAAAACTTAACTTTAACCACTGAACCATGAAAATGAAGTCAAGGTCAGATGGCACCTGCCAGTTGGATATGTACACCTTACAATCATTCCATACACCAAATATAGTAGAACTATTGCTTATAGTATCTGAGATATGGACTTGACCACGAAAACTTAACCTTGTTCACTGATCCATGAAATGAGGTGGAGGTTAGATGAAAACTGTCTGACAGGCATGAGGACCATGCAAGGTACCCACATACTAAATATAGTTATCCTATTATTCATAATAAGAGAGAAATTAACATTACAAAAAATCTTAACTTTTTTTTCAAGTAGTCACTGAACCATGAAAATGAGGTCAAGGACAATGGACATATGACAGACGGAAACTTCATAACATAAGGCATCTATATACAAAGTATGAAGCATCCAGGTGTTCCACCTTCTAAAATATAAAGCTTTAAAGTAGTTAGTCCGCCGCCGCCGGAATCACTATCCCTATGTCGAGCTTTCTGCGACAGAAGTCGCAGGCTCGACAAAAATACAGTTTGCAGCAAAATATCTTTTTGGGTAAAGCTTTTGTTCATATTTGAATATAAATTATAAGATCTTTATTACAATGAGGTTTTTTCAGCCGTTTTCAGTTATGCACAATACTTGCATTTTACACCTATGTTCTATAGCCTTGGCAGCCATGTTAATAGGCAGACGGGATCATGACATATTTTTTAAACTAGATACCCTTAGAATGAATGTAGATCAGAGGAGAAGATTTTTTGTAAAAGTTAACAGATGATGGACACCAAGTGATGGTAAAAAAGCTCAAAGAGGCATCAATCCACACACAAATAACTGAAAGATTTTTTTCTGTACATATATTTACAGGGATGATCAGACCAAAATCATTTCAAATAACTTCTGTTTTATTTTATTTACAGGGAAATGATAAAACTAAGATATTTTTATCAATCTTCTATAACTAAACTTATGTCAACATTATTGCAAATATTTGAATCCTTATTTTTTGTATTGCCTTCAATGAAAGTTGCAGAAGGTGAATCTTAGGTGTCAATTTGCAAGTAATCTCCCTACTTTCATGGAGAAAAAAAGTGTATTTAAGTACAACATGTAGATCATGACGAGACCTTGTCTAATTTGGAAAAATTACAAATATTGTTCTGCATCTGAAACTCACAATGTACACATCATTGTATTTAAGAAAATACAGTACTGATAATAAACATTTTCTACCTAAACTTAATTTTATAATAAGCTATGTGTTAAACTGTTTTAGGTTGATGGCATTTTCATCAGCATTTAAAACTGACAGTATAGAACAAACTACAGCAGTATGCCATCTTTGTGAAATAGAACCCAATCTCAAATGGAAATGTAGGGAATGCAACCTGTTAATGTGCCAAAGATGTAAGGACAAAATCCATCCTAAATTTCCATCTGCTATTTATCATGATGTCGTAGACATAAAGGATATCGGGAAAGATGAAGATGATCAAGTAGCAGAACTGATTTTCACAAATCTGAAATGTAAATTGCATAAAAGTCAAATCTGCAGTCTTTTTTGTAATACCTGTCATGAAATTGTTTGTCCCACTTGCTTTACCAAGCGACATAAAGCGCATAATTTGATAGAAGTAAAACAAGGTTATAATAAAATTGTAGACAAACTGAAAGATGTTGATAAAACAATTGATCAACAGTTTGACACTTCCAGCATTAATGAAGAAAAAATAAATGCAGCCAAGTTTGTAGGGCAAATTAACAATGCTAGGGCAACCAAGGAAATTGAAAGTCAAGCTGAAGAATTGCTAAAAGCTGTTGAAACATATAAAGACAAGCTTTTGACTGACCTAAGGCAGAAATCCAACAGTCTGTTTCTATCTTTAGAAGAAGAAAGAAAACAAACAAAAAGAACAAGAGAGAGACTTATGGAACAAAAGAAAAAGGTCAACGAGGTTAACGAGGTAATTCAGTCTAAAGATATGCAAGAAGTTTTTGCTGCATCAAAACTTTTGGAAAATATAGCAATACCTAAAGCTGCAATAAAAAATAACTTTGACTGTCTTCCAACAGTTATCAGGGGACAAATTAAAAACATTTCTAAAGTGTTTGGATCAATTCAAGAAAATGATTTGAAACCAAACCTTAAGTATAACATAAAACAACTGGTTCTACCGAATTTTGATCTTCTCTTAGAACTGAACAACTACAAAATGATGTTTAGTCCTGATGGTACCATGCTGATTTCTGACCTACAAACAATACTGAACCTTGATATAACAACAGACCCTGTATCTATCATATCCGAAATAAAAGCCAGAAGCAACTGCATGGCAGTAGATTCTTCTGGAGATATTCTGCTGTCTAATGGTTCTTCAACATTAGAACTTTTATGTAAAGATACCAAGCAAATTTTACCAACAGGATTTAACATTTCTCAAATGAAAATGACAGCTGTCCATGTATCATACAATAAGGACATTATAGTAGCAGGTTTTCTTGATCAAGCAACTAAACTTGTAGTTATGAATCCAACAGCAGAGGTAAAGAAAGAATACCAGTTTGACAATAACAAGAAACTGCTGTTTACGGAAGTGATCTGTATTACAAGTAATCAAAGGAATAGCATTGGCATAATAGATATAACTTGTGAAGGTGGTATTGGACGCGTTCTTATAATATGTCTAGATAGCAACTCTGTCACTGTTTACACAGGGCATTCTGCATTTAAATTTCAAGGGATTGAATTTAAACCATATGATATAGTCTGTACAGCCTTAGATAACTTTATAGTATTAGATAAACAGAACAAGTCATTGCATATAATTAACAATAAAGGTCAGGCAATCACAACCTTTCTTACTGACCAGTTAATCGCTGAAAGTCCTGATGCATTATGTATTAGTGGCACTAGTCACTTATATATTGCATGTCATGCTATTGAGCACTACTGTAAAACCTCAGTTTACTCTGTAGATATCTGTGGTTGGTAATGTCATAAGAGGGCTCAAGATTTATTCATTTATTAGTTCCTTCATTTGGCAATTGAATTTACTTTAATTCTAATACTTTTAACCAAGTCCTTTGTTGGTCAAAATTTGAAGAAAGACTTTACCAATCTATAAGCACTTAAGTGATAATTTTCGTGCAATTTTGTTCCAAGAAGCAAATTACAACTTTTTAGTCTTTGGTTTAATCAAACTGTGGTGCAATCCAACAAACCCATCACTTGATGCAAAAATGCTACCAGTTAAAGAGTTTCCCTGACATATGCAACCATTATCAATTTTAGTATTCCATTAAGGTAAAAGACATAATATGTCTGAAATGTATGAGCTGTTTGATTCATCATTAAAACAAGAAATCATTTGACGCTTGAAAAAATTGGAAATCTTGAATAATTTATTTCTGAAACTAATCTGACTAAGGGGGGTCTATCCCATGGCTTCCAAAATGGATGTATTGTCCCAAAAAGTCTGGGAAATTTTATTTTTCAAACCTGAACTAGATAACATAATTCAGGAAAAAAATTTGAGGTTTATGCAATCTCTTTGACCTGACATTTTGCGTTGATTTTATGTTGAAAGTCTTAATAATAAAGTTTTTACTACAAGTATCACATAAAATAAACACTATCAATGATCCATGATAATGAGGTCAATGTCAGATAAACCCTTCCAGACAGACATGTGCGCCTTACAATCTTTCCATAAATTAAATATAGTTTATCTTTTGCTATTAGTATCCAAGAAACAGACCAAACCATGAAAACATAACATTTTGAAAAATGAACATTGGAAATGAGGTCAAGGTCAAATGATACATGCCAGCTAGACATGTACACTGTAAAATCATTCCATACATCACATAAGTTTGCTTATAGTTTTTCAAAAACTGATCAAAACACAAAAGATTAACATTGACCGATGAACTATGAAAATGAGCTTATTGAGTCAAAGTAGATGAGCCTCGACAGACTGACATGTACATCTTAAAATCATTCCATACACCATATTTAGTTGACCTACTGCTTATAGCATCTGAGCAATAGATACATAAATTAAACCTTGAAAACTGATCCAAGAAATTAGGTCAAGGCCAGGTTAACCCTGTCTGACCTCGCATATACGCCTTGCAAGGAACCATTATACCAAATATAGTTATCTCATTTCTCATAATAAGTGAGAAATTCACATGACAAAAAAAAAAACATTTTGTAAGCAGTTGAACCAGACAATACGGAAACTTTATAACATCAGGCATCTGTATACAAAGTGTAGCATCAGAGTCTTCCACCCTCTGAAATATAAAGCTTTATAGGAATAGTTTATGTCATCGTAAGATTGTAATCCCTAAGTCTTGTCTGACAGCTGAAATTTACCTGTTCAGGCAATGACAGGTAAATTATATTGTACTGGACATTGATCCGTCTTTTAAAAGTTCTTTTCTGAAATTTCACTGGTTTGCATTTTAATAAAATGATAACAGTCTATCAGAGATATCTATTAAAATATGAATAGTTAAATCTTAAAAGTGAGTAAAATTTTTTTTAGAGAAGAATCGACAGAACTACCTTGTTTGAACTAATACAAAAGAGGACATGTAAGCATGTGAGAGATTTAATTATGCAGTCAAATTCTTCCAAAATGTTAAAAATATCAATGTTACTTGTATCTTACATTCATTTCAAGTAGTTTCTTGAAGAAATAACATGGAAAGAACTACTTAAACTCAATTGTGCTTGATAAACTTACACATACTTTTACGTATTCATTTCTTGTCCGTGTTTTACCATTGTCAAGTCAACATCTGGTACAGGTAATAGGAAAATGTGCTTTTCAAAAACAAAAGTAGTTTCTGACTGCATGTTTTTGCATAAATAAAGAGTCTAAGGCAGATGTTAGCATGTTTATGTCGCACATTTTGAATAATGCACTGCCAATGTAACAGTCGTGTCAAAACATCCAATTTATATCAGAAGTCTGGAGTTTAATATCAATCATTGTTATAATGCCCAAACTATTACCTTGATTGCCTTTTGTAAATCTAAAGGGATTCAAAATGGGATACGAAAAAATGTCTGGCTGGTTCAAATATTTTTTGGGAAGGCCTCCATGGCTAAGGGGTTAGTTAGTTTTATATTTACTTTTTATTTATACCCTGAGCCTTGAATGACTTTCTATTTTTCAAAAATTATTCCTATTTTGATTAATTCCCTGTTTTGACGACTGTCCAGCCATTTCCAATACGAAGAACAGAAAAAATTAGTATCATTCCATTTTCATTCTAGTTATTTACTAATGTATCATTGAACCATTATCTTGGACTCCATTAATTTTCCATTTGAACTTATACAATATGCACTTACTTAATTTTTTGTCAGAAAAGTTGAAATATTTAATAAAAAATATTATGGGTCAAGGAACAGTAAATTGGCAATGAAACAGATTTTTTCAATAGTTATTTTTCAAATACAACTATTGAAGACCTGTTAAAATAAAACTGAAAAGAAATATAAAATAGTCCATTTAACTGTTATATTTGAATTAGTATTAATGATAAAGATTTAAAAAAATTTAAACCTAATATAAGAAAGGAACTGAGGTAAAATTGGCAATGAGACAACTTATCTCTAAAGAACAGCCATCATCTATAATCAAAACTCAAACTGTATTGTAAGTAAGATAATTCATATCTGTATATAAATGATGTAAAAAAAAATGTTCTAACATAACATGACTCTCTTCTTCTGCTTTGTAGACACATATAAGGCTGCTCATACTGATGAAGGATATTTGTTATCCGAAATATTTTGTAGTTTTTGTTTCATATTTTTTTATCATTGTTTAGGTGTTGTTGTACACTTTTTAAGATGTATATTTAATTTATTTACTTTGTACAGTAACGTTCTCCATCGCGATCCGACACCCTCGTAAGAATGATTGATTTGATTTTTGGTGTTTTAACGCCACTTTTAAGCACCGCTTTTGGGCTATTTCGTGGCGGCCAGTTTTTATTGGTGGAGGAAGCCGGAGTGCCCGGAGAAAACCACCGACCTTCGATAGGAAAACTGACAATCCTAGTCAATTAAGATTGGAGTCGAGTGCACCCGCACGAGCGGGGTTCGAACTCACAACCTCAGTGTTGACTGGCTAGTGATAACAGTAGTAACTACTTAGACCACTCGGCCACCGAGGCCCCTTCCCTCGTAAGAATGATTGTTGACTACAATCTAGACATTCTTTATATATATATACACACAGGCAATATTAGTTTTATGCTAACTGTGTAACCCTCTAGAAATAAAGTCATACCTACTTATTTATCTACTTACTATTTAACCCCAGACTTCATCTTAATGTTTAGGGAGGGGGGGATATAACCAAGTCCACTCATCAGTAAAATACAGAAACAGGAAAATGAAATTTATAAAAATTTGGCTCTGGATGCTATCTCTTGATTATGAAGAAGCTTCTGTCCACCTTTCCTAAAATTCCAAGGTGTGACAAAGTTACAGAAGTCAAAGAAATAAATGGAGAATGTGTCCATGGGACACAGATGATTTTCGTGGATTAAGGAAAACTTACATGTTTGTGGAAATTTAATTTCGTGGTTTTACCGAAGTCTGCTAACAAGCCTATAGACATTTTGTTATTCGTTGAACATTTAATTTATGGGTTAACTGGTAACCACGAAATCCACGAAAATTGGTATCCAAAGAATAATAATGAATCCACAGTAAATATTAAAGACAAGAACATTTCTAATAATTAACTGCTTCTACAACTACAACAACCTTGACTACCCATGAGGGTCACGCAGAGTCAAAGGTTAACTGTTTTGTTCAACACTGCTGACCTCCAAATGACATCAGAGAACGATCAGCTATTTTGGGAAAGTGTGATATGCAATCTGAAAGAGACAAAAACCTGACCAAAGAGCAGAAAACAGCCCAAGGCCACCAATGGGTCTTCAATACAGTGAGAAAATCCCGCACCCGGAGGCGGTCTTCAGCTGGCCCCTAAACAAAAATGTATACTAGTTCAGCGAAATGGAGACCACTCTAAATTGCAAAACATATAACTGAACCAAAATTAAAAAATACACAAGACTAACGAAGGGTAGAGGTTCCTGACATGAGACAGGTGCATATATGCGGCGGGGTTAAACATGTTTTATGAGATCTCAACCCTCTCCTATACCTCGAGCCAATATGGAATAAACAAACACACAGCAATATGCACAGTAAAATTCAGTTTAAAAGAAGTCTGAGTCCGATGTTAGAATAGGTAACAGAAGAAACTAAGCAAAATAACAATGATCAACATAAATTAACAAAAGACTACTAGCAGTTACTGACATGCCAGCTCCAGACCTCAATTTAACTGATCGAAAGATTATGTTTTCATCATATGAAAATCAAGCACAATCCCTCCCATTAGGGGTTTAGTATCATGCCATCATTAATTATACGAGAAGAACATAACCCGTATCATGCCAACAACTGGTTTTAGAATAAATGTGTTTATTTCCAATGAAATGAAAAATTTATTCTGCAAATAATATTAGGTACTGTAGATTCGTTATTTTCGTGGGTACCAATTTTCGTGGATTAAGGAAAAATTGTAGTTTCGTAATTATTTGATTTCTTCGTTTTACAAAAGTCTGCATACAAGTCTATAGAAAAATTGTACTTCGTTAAACATTTAAATTCGTGCTTCATATGTACCTACGAAATCCACAAAAATTTGTATTCCACAAATAATAATGAACCCTTGAAAATTTTGTGTACTGTCACAAACCTCATGAACAGCCACCATAATAATGACAAAGACAACGATTTTAAAGATGTGAATTTCCATCAGTCTCCAGAAATTTTCAGACAAAATCTTCCACCAGTCACTACACAGCTGCCATAGTTTGTTCCAACAGTCTGTTAGCTTCCTTCTCCATCCTAAAACCAGAACACATTGGAGATTATCACTGCTGGTGAGGTAAAAGTCTTAATTTATTATCACTTGAGAGGCACCAATTTTCACTAAACTTTGAAGAATTTAATACTAAACAAGGTCTAGTGTTCCCAGATTTCTGTGTGCAATCTTTAACTATGAATTATAACAAGATGAGCTGTTGCTCACTAATGATACCCCCACTATAAGTATATGTGATGTGCAATGAATCATATATCATTGTCAGAGTTGATCATAACTTACTTTTAGTCTTGGTATAGACCACATGATCAGTATCCGTTGTAGTACCCCCTTCTGTATCAGAGATTGCAGGACCAGGAGTTTCTACTTCCTCTGAGTCTTTCCTACAATAATGAATTTCATTTTTGTCCAAATATTTCTAGCAATATATCATATACTATTTCAAATCAAAGATTTTTAGCATGGCATTTGTTACCTACTAACTTATAGAATTTTTCGTTATTCCATTAGTGATATTATTGTTATGGTGCAATCATTTGTGTTTCCTTATAAATTTTAAACAGTAAAATGTATTTCTGCACTAAACTGTCAAAATCTGAGAAGTTCACTTGCATTAAGCATCCCTTCTTTAGTATCCACACGCTTTTTCACTTAAAATGCTTTTTTTGCTTGATATTTATAAAGTTAAGGAGATGAAAAACCATTTCAAAATCAAAAGCATTATAGGTAATATTTTTAGAAGCCTACACAAAAACCTTCTTGCTTGGTTAATAAGGTTCAAAACAATGTATTTGCAAACAGATGTGGTAACAAAACTTTCATTTTGATGTTCAACCAATATAATTACTCATTGTCCTTAAACTTTAACATGGAAGTTTGACAAGAAAACTGGCACTTAAGGACAGCATTTTGTATCTAACACTTCTGAATAAATTATTTTTTCTTCAACTAAACTTATCATTTATGATAAAAGACTTACGCATATCTATTTAAGTCACTGATTGTAAGGAATTCCTTGTGGAAATAATGGACCTGCAATATGATAACAATCAGGAAACTTGTTGGTGTCAGTAGCTTTACAAACAGGGTGGCTGTGTTGAACTGTTCTAGTCCTATATCTTTCAGCCTGTAAACATATAAAAAATTCAAATCTTCAAATATGTAATTCCTGGTACATAAAAGATTAAAAATGTTATCAAAGGAACTTCAGGAATATATCAGTATTCAATTTCAAGGCCATAATAAAGATCAATAACTTGATTAGATTTTTATTTAAATTGTCTGAAGACCTAATGATGACCATGATGAGCCTATTTTTATGAGCTTGATTTAACCATGTGATTCTCATGAACATTCTACCTACATCTCTCAAGAAGATTCACGCCAAAGCAGTACATGTATTTCAATTTACAATTCTATATAGAACTTTTTAAATGAGAAAAATTATCAAGCTTCTTCATCCGGCTTTAACAGACAAGATATATTAGTAGATTGTATTTACTTAAAATAGAGTCTATTTTGGGGCATATGACTGGTCAACCTGTCCTTTTTCTGTCTAGTTTTGACAGAATAGTGGTAACAAAAGTAGAAAATTGACCAGCAGAACAAGTTTTATTCAAATCATACTATACAGCATATCATAGCATGTCATAAATGACATTTGAGATAATATAAACAGATCTTCATGTCTTAGACAAAAATAAATCTTAAAACAATAATGTAGTTCTTGCATACTTTTAACTGTCATATTAAAATATCAGGCCTTGCGGTCATGAAAGTTCTGAGTACTATAATTCAACCAATCAAAATAATGGATTTTGTATTTGGAGCACAAATTTTGTACTCCCGAGTACTGAGTAAAGTTTTATGACCGAGAACCCTGGTTTTTGCTTTTGATTTATTTCTAAATATAACTTACACTTCATCTGACAGATGTGTTCCATTTTTCCAGTACATTGGGAAGTCACTAAACTGATAGGTATACAGGATAATGAGTACAGCCATAGAATAGATGATAACTATCCACCAGAATAAAAACATGGTTAGCCTCCATAGCCTGTAACTCAACTGTGAAAATAAAATCATGTAATCAGTATAATCATCGTTGTTTAAAGTATCTCTGGTTTAAATAGATACTAAATGACACTGTCACAAATGTATGATACACATTATGTTACATTTTTGAAATGCACTTACTATCTTAACCAAATAAGTACTGCGAAGACATGTTTTTTCAAGATATAAATCTAAATTTTAAATTTAACTTTAAATTATAATATAAATAAGAAGATGTGGTATGAGTGCCAATGAGACAACTATCCATCCAAGTCATAAAAAAAGTGTAAAAAGTAAACAATTATAGGTCAAATTACGGCTTTCAACATGGAGCCTTAACTCACACCGAACAGCAAGCTATAAAGGGTCCCAAAAAGACTAGTGTAAATCAATTCAAACAGGAAAACCAATGGTCTAATCTATATAAAATAAACTGTTATCACAATAATATGTCTCGCCTTTTTGTAATTTTGATAATGCAAATGTTGAAATTAAAATTGCAATACTTTAACATGTAAGTAATGCAAATATTCAAAGTCGATGAACCATGACTGAAGGTACATGGCTAAACAATCTCCATGGAATGAGATGTGCCAATGCTAATACAACTGCATACCAAATACCATTGACTTATTATAAGTCGTTCCCTTTAATCAAACCTAAACACAAACATTAACATGTAAACTATGTAAAAGTTTCAAAGTCAATGAACCATGATCAGGGGTGGGGCTATATAATCTCCATGAAAACGATACTTGCAAATGCCAATAAATTTGCATACCAAATATCAATGACTTAACATTAGCAGTTCATCTTAAACTGACCTAATCACAAACTAATACATGTAAACTAAGCAAAATTTTCAAAGTCTATAGACCATGACTAAGGGGGCGGAGCCAAATAATCTCCATGGAAATGAGATATGCCCATGCTTATACAACTGCATACCAAATATCATTGACCTACCACTAGTGGTTCCCTATAAATTGACCTAATCACAAACTAATACATGTTAACTATGAAAAGTTTCAAAGTCAATAGACCTTGACTGAGGGGGCAGGGCCAAACAATCTCCACGGTAATGAGATGTGCCAATGCTAATACAACTGCATACCAAATATCATTGACCTACCACTTGTGGTTCACCATGAACTAGACCTAATCACAAACTAATACATTGTTGTCGCCGCCGACGCCGGAAACAGCATACCTATGTCTTGCTTTTTGACTCTGTCAAGGCGAGACAAAAACGAAAAACATAGTCTGTGTAAATTCTTTTATCAAGGGATCAATATCTGAATGCAGGCTCAATCCAAAATAACCAATCCGAGCCCTCCTCATCCCCCTAAAAAATATCGTAGAATCAACATATGATTCCAAATCTGACATCTCGTCTAGTAAGGGAGACAATCTTACCTGGAAGGTCAGTACAAAGAAGAGGAAAAGGATCATATAAATGATTCTATAAATAACCACTTCCTGTATGGAGATCAGTAACATCATCACAGCACATACAAATATCCAGTACTTAGCTAGCACACTCCACAAGTATTTCCCTGTAAAATATACCAGTTAAATTTACAATACTGAAAAAGTCTTCGAAAACTGTAAGGTGATGAGTAACGGTACTATTTTTCAATATTCCCTCAAGTTTCCTTATTCACCGACAATATTCAATAATGTTTTTATTAATAATGGTTTCAGATTTTTAGAACTTTTTTTAATGGTAAGCAGGTTTGCTAGCACATTCTCCAAATAAATCAGTCAGCAATTTCACATGGTTTGAAGTTGGTCAGTACCATGTACTAAGCACCTGCCAGAATGAGGCGGACTAAGTATAGAAAAAGCATTTATTCAAGAAATGAATATTATTCAGTTAAAATAGTTGAGTTAAAAAGCAAGAAATTTGAAAAAATATGAATGTGTGAATGTTAATTAGACAATCAGTTTTCAAACTTAAAGTTTAAAAGAAGCATGTACAAAGAACAAAAAAGTGAGCATCAGGACTTTTCCAGAATAATATGTGGGGGTTGTCAAAAGAAATATTTCAAATAGGCAGATTTGTTCCTTCCCAGAAAAATCAACCCCGACCTAATTTGAACTCTTTATGTACCAAATTAGGCAGGACATGCTGTCCGAAGAAAAAAAACTTAAAATTTGGAACTGATATTTCAACTCCTTCACAATGATTTCTGGAAAAGCCCAATATAACATGCTAAACTGTGAACAAAAGACAATATAAGTACATTTAAACTTAATGGAAAATGACCACAGATATGTAATTTTAATTTGGGAAGTAGAAAAAAAAGGTTTAGTATATACTGAAACAATTGTATTTTTCTACCACTGAATCTTTAATGTCAATCTGAAATAAAATATTCAGTGTTCTTCAAAACAAAAATACAAAATTCATACTTTATAAACAGAATTTTCCAACATAAATTTCAGAAATTAGGAATATTTTCAACTAAAACAAAACCCTTTCTTCATTAAAATCATTCATGATCTTGTAATATTAAATATTAGTATAACATAAGCGTGAAAACAACTCAAAATCTAGCCAAGCTTTTTGGCTTCAGTCTGATATGTATTTTTAAAAAGACAAATACGACAAAAACATGTTGGTTTTTTTTTTCATTTGTAAACAAAACAATAGAGAATCTTGAGATTTCATAGACACAACTGACATGAAGAACTCATACCTATTTTTTTCATAGTACTACTGTCATAACCATCAATGCTATCCACTCTGGAAGGAAAACCTGTAGGAACATGCATTATTAATATACTGACACAAAAAAAGTTTTCTATTCTCAAAGAATTAATTTTCCCAAAAATTCTACTTTATGCATTCAATTTAATGATTTATCTAAGCTTTCAATAACTTTCAAATAAGTTTTTTATGGTAATGTTGTTTATAGAACCTGTAAATCTTAGATACTATCCATGTAAACTTATTGATCCTTTAAATAAACTTATTCTTAGAGGTCATCTATCTAATATTGTAGTAAGATCTTTGAACATTGTCTTTATCAGCACTAACATAGATTTTTTTTATAAGTCAAAACATTTGTTATACAATTATGCAGAATTATGGTCCGACATCCTGTTGATACTTTTATTTAGGCATTGCAAAAGGTCATGTTTTTCTCAGATTGAATTTACTTTATGACATCTTTACACTAAATATGTTGGAAGTGTTATAAAAGATGTTTTAGTTTGAGAAAAAATCATTTATTTATAAGTTGAAATTAACTTTGAACTAACTTTCTGAGGCTGTGAGTAATCTTAGATCAGTAAATTGTGTTTTTGATGTTTACATTGTGTTTCGTGTCGATCTGATGAGTCAAGACTTTCCAATTGAATTTTACAAGATTGCTTAAATGTTGTGCTGTTTCATCACTGTGAGCACTGACAAAATTGTTTAACCCTGTCTCATTCTTTACCTGTCCATCCCCAGTCAGGAGCCAGTAATTTACTGGTTTTTCAGTTCCTGTCTGGCATATTCGTTTTTCATTCATTGTTTTTTTTCATCATTAATCAGAAACATTGGTTTTCTCTTTTGAATGGTTTCACATTTTGTCATGCTGTGGCCTTTTATAGCTGACTATATGGTATGTGTTTTGCTCATTGTTGAAGACCATACGTTGACCTATAGTTGTTTACTTCCTCGTCATTTGGTCTCTGATGGAAAGTTGTCTCAATGGCAATAATACCACATCTCCTTATTTTTATTTTCATATAAAAATTAAGGATATCTTATTCCATTAAGATCTTGAATTTTATAATTGAATGCATAAATATTTTAAAACAATGTTGATCCCCAACCCCCACCCTACAAAAATGCATAACATTTAGAATTCTTTGAGAATACAAATCACAAACTAATTTCTATTGGTAGTTCAACTGCAGACAAAACTTTGAACATAAAGTACCTATTGCTAGCTACAAAAGGATAAAAGAATGTTTAATGTTAAAAAGAGGTCTGATGCAGAAGATCGATCTTGAAATTCTTACAAAATTTCTTTGAAAAATCGTAAACTTCAAATGAAATTTAAATGACATTAATTAATTTGAAAGTTCAAGACATATTGCTTAGAAACATACAATCAAGAATGCTCATTTTAAAAACACTTAAGAGAATCTTTCCCATGCCAGTTTTCAGATGACTGTTTAGCCGAAGATCACATGCTGTAACAAATATCTCTTTAAAATAGATTTGGCATGCTAGTACAGAAATTTTTATTCAGTTACCAAAAACTTGTAAATGTTTTTTTTCTTCTTCCAATTATTTGCATCAAAACTTATAATAAAATAAGAAATCCGAATTATTTTTACATTAAAACAATTAAACTATATCTAATTAATGAATAAAACTAGATCTGTTTTAAAAAGTAAAAGATAAACAAAAGTGAATAAATTGCCAATTGATTTTTTATATATACTTAAATTTTTCAATCTATCAAGTATCCTATGATTATCATTTATAAAAGTTTGCATGCATATCTGATGATAATATTTGTTTAAATCTATAAAAGTTTGACCTATAAAAAAAAACATATTATGCAGAGCAAACACTTTCCACTACACCAAGGCATACTAAAATCACATGAACCATACCAGAAAGTATTTAAAAACAATTCCAAATAACCTCTAAACTGAGCCATTTCTACCTAAACACTTTTTTTTACATTTTTATCTTTAACCTCTAATTTTCTATCATTTCAATACAAAACTGTGTCAATATATTCTAGCAATTTGATCCCATTAGCCATTGTAAAAGTTATTAATAGTCCTTCACCTCAAGCTAGTAGCAGTTTTCTCTTTTTACATGCAGATAAAATTATGCTATACATTTAAAAATGTTTGCTGAAGATAAAACTGATTCATTTCCAGGGAAAAATGGATTTTTTTCTTTGTATGCTAATCAATTCATAAACATTTCATATTTTTAAATGGAAAGCAAAAGTTTTATTTGTGCAGGTGCTTCCTCATAACATCATATTTAAAAGAATCTTGTGAGCTTTAAGAACACACAGAATATTTTCTATAAAAAAATTTTAACAGAGAAAAAAATATGAAATGAGGTAGCATTGCAGAAGAGAAAACTTTTCCCTCTAATTCATTTCTTCTTAAGATACTTATATAAAAACAAGAATATGTGTTTAAATGACACCATGCCTCGCTCGCACTATCACATTTTTATGTTCAATAAACCATAAAATCTGGGTCCAAATCCTTACTTGGCATGTATTAAAAAGCGAAATTTAGTTCACATGTTCATTATTTTGTGAACTAAATTTCAAGTTTAAATTTCTGTGACCAAAACAGAAATTACCTTAAACAAAAACTTTAATATTCTTTTAACAAAACCTTTAACCTGATAACTTTGTGGACAGATGAATTGACTAACAGACAGACGGATGGATGGACAGACCGGAACGCATATCTTAAGCAGGGAATAAAATCAAATATTTGGCAACATCTTTAGAAAATTTAAATCTGTCTGGAAAAGGGTAAACAAATCCTTATGAATTTAAAACCTTTGAAATGAAAATTATCAATATTCTTAAGAAGAAAAAGTTAAGTTTGTTAGTCTTACGTTTATAATCTAAATTCTGCAGCTGCATCCAACCACCTAAGAGTTTGCATGTACAGATAAAATTACTTGTAATGTTTATTTTCTGTCTTTCATCAAATAAATCAAATTTTGTTTTGCATTTAAAAACTTAACCAATTATAATTGTAATTATAAAAAAAAATTCCATACTCAAACTCAATTGGGAGAGTTACCCAAACATCCAACAAGTAAAGCCAAAGTTAATTAGATAAAAAGATGGATAACAGATTGATTTTTGCTTGTTTCACATCCAGTGGCAAAAATGTCATGCATATTCAGGACAAAAATAATTCAACAATTAATACAGTAAGAAATTGGGTCAACTGGGATGAAGGGCTGGAAAATAGGACTGCCACTGGAAAATAACAATATGTTGGATAGAAATTTTGCCTTACAACAGGCCAACTACAGACCCATCAATGAGTTGTTGCAACAAATTTTTACCTTGCTGAGAGCCTGGTGCTCTCCCTACACAGGTAATAGAGATAGAAAAATTACAAACCCTAACAAACCAGGCTGACAATACAAGGTAAAATATTGAAACGGGGAAAACATGTTGTTAATCACGACTTCAGATACCTTTAACCTTTGAGACTCAAAAAGTTCTGTTGTGTCCCTTCGACTTCAACTTATAGAGGTTCGATTGTATTTACACCCATTTCTAAATCTCTTGTACCAATAGCATGTTCAACAACAAAAGGTTAATAAGTTTGATTGTCAAGTTTATTATAAAGTTTATTCATGTACTGCAATCAAAATTTACATATGAATTATATAATTTGTCAAATCAAATTTCTGTTTTTTAATAGCTAGACACAAATTCTGCCAATGTTGTAATGCTTGAGCAAAATTTCTAAACAATCTTAGAACGCAAATTACTTAATTTTTGTTGAGCTTGCTATTGTAGAAAAGTTCTATGAAAGAATTAAATTGTGTAATTTATGTAAATCCTATGACTAAAAACAGGTTTGGGAAACACAAATAGGCATTTAGCTTTACAGATAGGATCAGCCATTTATTTACTTAATATGAATTTGTTATTGATACAAAACTATCGAGTCATGGCTGCTTATACTAATTTATAATTTTGTCAACAACTGCATCCCAAGAATATTGTTTTACTATGTTTTCTGACTAATACTATTTGCATGCTCTAAATCATGAACGATGCATGTTACAACCTATTCATTTTTCTAATATATATATTGGTATATTAATTCTTGTATACTACTTGTGTGCAAGTACCTGTTGATTCAGTGTCTAACAATTGAGAGTCTAACGATGTCATCAAAAAGAAAAAAATACTTCTGTACTGATTATTATATAGCAGAACTTACTTGAAAATAGAATTCAAATGTCAAGACTTGTAACTTTGGCTTTTTTTATAATTACTAGTAACTCTAAATATATATAACATCCTAAAAACCATGAATTCATTTTATTCGTGGTATACCAATTTTACGGTTTTTATGGGTCAAAGCAAGCTATCAAATTTCAATGTTTAATATATAAAAAATATTGCATTGAATAGTATAACAGTAGGTTTCCTAAGGGTTTGGAAGCTGAAAATGAATGTATAATATAACTCAAGTTAATTTTTAGAGACGAAAATTGATATTCACAAAAATAAATGAATCCAAGATATTTGAATGTTATCTAAGAATTATCTGAAGACAATCGTGCATAATACACTTACAACAATGACTAGTAGACTATCAGCATAAATGCATAATATTTCAACATAAAAAATAAAGTTTATTTACATTGCTGATTAAAAAGAGATGTTTGGGTTTGTACATACTAAAGAATGACCGAGCAGACGGTGATTGGGATTCATGAGTAGTAGACACATCTTCCAATTGATATCCACTCTGGTACTTTCTTTCTTTTCTTTCTCTCATAAACTGCCGTAGTGTCAACCAAAACATAGCTGTAAACAGGATCTACAAACAAAAATCTTTACTTTAAACAATTCTTTTGTTAAAAGTACTTTTTCTCCGTACAAAGGATGTTCAACAAAAAATTGTGAGACTTTAAAATGCTTGCAACATCTATAATTCATAAATTACTTTCCATCAGATATACTTCTTAAAGCCTTTGAAGTGAAAAAAAAGAAGAAAAAAAAGAAGGGTATGTGTCCTTGTTTTCGATATATAAGCTATGAACATTTGCCGGGAAATGATTTTCTCTAGATTTCAACATTTGGACTTTTTTTCTTTCAAAAACTGAAAAATAATAAGGATTTCATAGGATTTTCAAAAATGGCTGTTTAAACTATACGTAATAAAAAAGAAAAATAGGACTTTATAGCGTGGAAAATTTTTAATGACACGACATGGATAAAACCAGAGGATTTTGAATACCTTGACAAAAATTCAAAAACAAGATTCGCAAACATCCTTTAACAGTTTTAGTTTAAATCCGTAAGCTACTAAAGACTATTCCCTGTATGTTACTTTACACAGGATTCAAGTTTATGCAGGTTTGATATAGATTGGCTTCTCTGTATATTTACAATATGCTTTTTTTGTATACCTGTACAGCTAGTTGTAAACATGGGTAAGGAAAGGTCTTCAGTCCAACCTCATACAATTTCACTCCATTCACTACTTCTGGTAGCTCAGTTTTCAAATTCATTCCAAAGACATACTGAATTATCAGTAGACATTCTCCATAGACTACCAGCAATGGTGATATACATAAGGTCAGCTGACGAGACTTTGGAATCATCCAAATTATACAGGCTCCCAACAGTAATACAAAAGTCAGCCAACTGTGGAAAGTGATACTCCAGGCCTGAAAATTAAAAAAACCTTATCATTTGAGTCTTCCAATGAAAACATGTTATGATGACTACTGTCTCCAAATAATATAGGCAAAAATGGCAGTGTACGTTTTTTGGTCAGGGAAACCCCAAATATCACACAGGTACACAATATCATAGTCAGTAGGAGAATCTGTGATGTTTGGTTGAATTATTTCAAATGGTTTTCAAGGAGTTGTGGATTAACAAAGTGTGACACTGATGACAACTAAGACAAACAGGACAGAAGCCAATCTTATGTGTCGCAATGCACAACATTGTCAGGCAACACAAAAATGAATGTGTACCTCCTTCAGGCAAATATTATCGTAAGATGGTATTAGTTTTTTCTTATCATATTCTTTTACCCTTATCATGCTTATTTCAATATTTTAGTTTGGTTGATTGATTTAAACACCACTTTCTAAATATTCATATGCTGCAAATAAAACTAGAGCTGTCCCCATAGCTAGACTTCAACATTGCAACATTTCCCTGTGTTTACATGCTAATGAAATCTACATTTTCCTGTTTTTACATGACGATGAATTCTATATTTCCCTGTTTTTACAAAATAACATGCTAATGAATACTACATATCCCTGTATTCACATGCTTATGAATACTACATTTTTTCTTTTTTTAAATGCTTATGAATTCTACATTTCCCTGTTTTCACATGCTAATGAATTCTATTTTTCTCTTTTTTTACATGCTAATAAATTTTTCATTTTACTGTGTTTACAAACTAATTCATTTTACATTTCCATGTTTTTACAAGCTTATGAATTCTACATTTCCTTGTTTTTACATGTTAATAAGTTATACATTTCCATGTTTTTACATGCTGATTTTTTTTTATTTTAAGTTATCATTTTTGAACTAGCTTTCAGTAACAGCGAGTTCTCTCAGAATGCTACTTTGTGTCTTAAGTTTTTTTGTAAGTTGTTTTTTATGTTTGCTTTGTGCCCATCTGATGAGTCAAACCTTCCTAAACTGGTTGTTATAATTTATTGTTAAGCTGTGCAGTTACACCACTATCCAAGTAAGGCAGATGATTGGGTGCCAACAGACAAGCTTAACCCTGCCGCATTCTGTATGTGCTTGTCCCGATTCAGGAGCATGAATTCAGTGGTTGTTTTTGTTGCTGTATATCATATTTGTTTTGGGTCATTGTTTTTTCTCAAATCTGCCCATTAGTTTTCTCGTTTGAATAGTTTTACATTTATAGCTTGCTATGCAGTATGGGGTTTTTCCCAAAATTGAAGGCAGTATGGTGACCTATAATTGCTAACTTCTATGTGATTTGGTTTCTTTTGGAAAGATGTCTCATTGGCAATCATACAACATCTTCTCATTTTTTGTGAATTCTACATTTCCCTGTTTTTACTTGCTAATGAATTCTAAATTTCCCTGTTTTTACATGCTAATGAATTCTACATTTCCCTGCTTTTACATGCTTAGGAATTCTACATTTCCCTGTTTTTACATACTTAGGAATTCTACATTTCCCTGTTTTTACATACTAATGAATTCTACATTTCCCTGTTAATGTGATTGTTGACCTACCATCATTGCAATCAGAGCTAAAACATAACTCTGTTTCATTGCATAAACAAAAATGGACACCGCATAAGGACGTTTGACATCTTCTTTCATTTGTTTCTTCTTCTTGGCTGGTTTAGTGTCACCATCAGCTTCATCTTCATCAGACTCAAAAGCTGCAGACATAGCTGGAGAACCTTCCTCGTCAAAGGTACTATAAGATGCGTTCTCATTTTCAACCAATCGCTGAAAAGTACAGCATATGAAACTTACTGACAATGAATTGTTATGATATTAAGTGACAAGTATATTTTAACTGCGTCTTGACTTTGACTTTTGCAGTTCATAAAATTCTAACCCCAAAATACTTTATCCCATCAACTTCGTTACTTTTTGAAACACATTTGCCTTGAACAAATAAAATAAATAATGAACTTTTTATTACAATTATTTTTGTAGAAGTAAACACAAACTACCATATAAATACCTCTTCCAACATATATTTACACTGAATTAGTTTTTAGTTATGGTTAATATATTAAATATGTGTATATCTTGTGCAATATCAAGCTTAAAGCAATTCAATACAAATAAATTATAAAAAATGTAACAAGCTAAAACATACACTGTTAATATTAGTACATTAGTAAATAAATAAAAATTAATAAAAATAAAAAAGCAATAAATTTACGAAAGCTAGTCATTCCATACCCAAAATTTGCCATTTCGTACCATATGGGCTGACTGCATATACCATTTTGTACCATAAAGACTAAATACATGTTTACTTTTTCATATCAAATATTAATAAATAGTTGATATTTTGGTGTAAAACACAGATTTATAATTCAAACAAGAAAATATTCTTCATACTGCCTCATATAAGTTTTAAAAATGTTTTATTTCTAATGTTTTACTGTTCCGTTCAACAAAGTAAATTATGTTACTGAATATTTTTAAAATGGTTCTGATTTTTAACAAAATATAAATTTAGTATAATATAAGTAGTAAAATGCTTCCAGCAGTATATAATTTCTTAAGACCAATAAACGATTCAATACCATATTTTGTACTGAATAAGCATGAAAATGTTGCCACTGGATGTTAACCAAGCAACAATCAACCAATCAATTGAGTATTTGATTATACAAAATATAAATCAAAGGACATTATTGTCATGTGGAGTATACATCATGATCAATTAGAAAGGTTCACCATGAAATGACACACATACAAATCTTTCATATGGTTCAAAATAATATGCATACTATTCTTCCTTATGGTATGAAATAGCATACATATAAATCCTTCATATAGTACTAAAGATCTTCCATGAGGTAAGAAATGGTCAAGGTACGAAATGGTCAGGGTATGTAATGGTTTTTGTGCAAAAAGGTACGAAATAACTGTAATTATTTTTTTCAAATTTACCATTTTAGAATCAAAATCAAAAGCAATGTTTTCATTCTGAAAATTTCAAAAGGAAAAACTGTGGTTAAATGTAATGTAAAGTTAATTTCAAATTATCTTAAATGTATGTTATTTTCTAATTCAATATTAAACAGCATTAATTATATTTAAAAAAAAAAAAATTGTTATTAAAATACCCTCCTCCAAAATATCAATTGATAGAGACAACTGTAAAAAAAGTGTTAGACATTTGTTTTTTAACCAATGAAAGATTTGGTGGAATTTCCTTGCTTCCTTCCTTCCTTCAAAACTTTTGTCTTCATTCCTAATTTATTTTAATTTCTTGATTTTGCAACAACTTAACTAATTTTTAATTCATGTACATATTTATCCACATTTGAAAAAAGTATAGGTAAATTCAAATCCAATCGACAACACTCCTTTATACAGTGATATTGTTGTTTTTTTTCAAAACTACCTCTACTGTTTTTTTTGTTTTTTTTTGGGGGGGGGGGGGGGAATGCATAATGCATAATTTTTATTGAAATTGGGAAATTTTTTTTTTTTTTTTTTAAACCCATCTCCGATTTTTGCTAAACTTGACTGTCTTTTTTGTACAGTTTTATCACATATAATTTAATTGTCAGACATTTCAACCTGAAAGGTACTTTTTGGGGAGGGAAAAGAGACGGAAACAATGATGATACTTAATGCATTGGAAACCACATTCTGATCAGAAACCTGGATCTCAAAAGTGCTTTCATAAGATCAAAATAATAACAGGAATATCAAATTTACATTTATTACTACCATTGCCATCACTTTTGGGAAAAACGTAAAACTTACTGGGAGGAATTTTAAACAATTTTTTTAGTAATTGGGAATTTTCTCTAGGGGAAAAAGCCGAATTTGGGATGTAATTTGAGGCAAACAATATCACTGTTATAGTAAATGCACTCTAATGAATGCATGCTAAAAGGACATCCAATTATCTAATCTTAAGTCTACAATTGGAACCAGTTTATAAAAGGTTCCTATTCACTGTGAATTATAGTTGTGGGGTAAACAACCATAAAAGACCAATACAAAAGTTTACAAAAATAGAAATCTAGATATCTCAGTGTCATAGGGATACATATTCTCTTCTCTCAAGGATGCCTTTCATGTTCAAATTGACTGGACTGTAAATTTTCTGAAACAACCAAAATGCTTTCCATTCAAACTGACAGAAAAAATGTGAATTTCAGTATAAATCTGCTTTTTAAGAAATACCTCCTGTACTATCATGAACTGATTCCTTAAATAAACATAAACAATGGAGCATTCCTTAAATAACAATTTCTATTTTTACTCCAAAATCATGAGATTTATGTTAACTAGACAGTCTATTCTTTTTTTACACCAAAAATCATGAGATTTATGTTAACTAGACCGTCCATTCTTTTTTTTTTAAACACTTTTATGAACTTTCTAACCCTACTAACCAGAGCATACAAGGCAAGCTGTTCATGCTTTTGTGTTTTCTTTATATTTCAAGGTACTATCTCAAAATATTGCAGTTTTTCAAAATGGCACTTACTGTCATCAGGGTCTTTTTACAACAATGTTTGAAAAAAAAAAGAAAAATCACTAAAAGACTTTTCTATCACCATAATCATAAAAAGACGAAGAAATATGATTTGACGGTTTGTTCATTAGGTGAGATTTATGATATTTTTTTTTATACATTTGAACATATCAGGACAGTGTGTGGTATTAATTGAGTAAAACCAGAATGCATGTAGAAAACCATAATGTTTACCACATTGACCACCCTTGACAACCACACCACAATATTACTTGAACAGAAGTGAAACATACTACATTTGTTGCACCCAAAATATGTGTAAATACACAGGGAGTTATTGAAACTTAACAGAATAGCTAAAATCATACAAAATTACTTTATCTGATGAACTTTGCAACCTTTTCAGCTGAGAATTGTCAAAATTATATAACATTTAACATAATCATGAACTGATCATGATCGAAGGTAACAGTTTTCAACAATAAAAATAACATCTCAGTTTGAAAAATGCAATTAGACAAATAGCTAAAAAAAATCACTACAAATTACAACATTTTTAATGAATATCCCACAAGTGAACCACTGAAATTTTCATATAAGCAATGACTTTATTTATATGCATCTTTCAGGAAAGATCTATGCTTGGCTGGTCATGCTTTTCAGGGTTTTCCTCAGTTTTCTAATTAAGATTTAAGATTTCCAAGATGCCAAGACAGTACACATTGAAACTAATTTCTCCACTGCATGATGGTCTTGTAGAAATATCAAATAAACAACTTTTCATATTTATAAGTGGTTTTCTTGATGGAGGGATGTTTATCTCCCAGCAGGTAATCTCTCAACTATATTCTGGTCAAAAACATGTTGATGTGATATGAATATGGACCCCCATTTTGTACTAGACTGGAACATTGAGCCAAATTTTTGACATGTTAGCTCATTAGGTAATGTTTTACAAAAAGAGATGTCACCCCTGCTGTGCACAGTATTCTGTATTTTTTTATGATAGAAAAATAATAAGAACATCAAAACCAAAAGGCTGAAAAAGAAAATCCCCCCCACATACAATATATATCAATAATATAAATTGTTAATGGATATAGTATTGTAAGCTGCCACTAATATTTAAAAAAAAAAAATGCAAGGTTGCATTTATTTTCAGGGGCGAGAAGCTTTGCATAGAAAAATAAAACTTTATTCTGCTAATATTTTGAGACAGTTGCTTAGCATGTATGCATTTTTCAAATAGACCTTTACCCTTTCTTTTCTCTGAAAAAAGTGAAAAAAAAAGATTTATTTTTATTTGATAAGTTATATTATACCTAACGCTATGAGTATAAATTATAATAAAATGCTCCCCTGGGGCGCAGCTTGATACGAATGCAGATGTCAAACCCTGAACAGTTGGGGCAAGTATGGACACAACATTCAAACTTGATACAGCACTGAATTTGGATTGTAATTAAATAATTGACACAGCATAGGTTTCTGACACAGAATGAATGTGGTCTAAGAACTTGAAAATTTTTAATTTACATATTCAAACCATATCATTATTATTTGCTTTTATATATAAATTAGAAATAACCAATTTAAAATGGAAAATTTTAAAGAAAAAAAAGGAACCCCCCCCCCCCCCCCCCCAAATTTTTGAACCCCCTTATGATTCATCACCCCCAAACTCAATCCCAGCCTTCCCTTTGTTGTATTGTACCTTGCAGTACAATTTCAGAGATCCATACACTTGAACACAAGTTATTGTCTGGAAACTAGAAAAATGCTTGTTTGTTTTTGGCCCCTTTTTGGCTCCAAATTCCTAAACGTTTAGGGCAATTACCCCCAAACTCAAACCCAGCTTTCCCTTTGTGATATGGAACCTTGTAGTTCAATTTCATAAAGATCCATACACTTACACACAAGTTATTGTCCTGAAACTAGAAAAATGCTTGTTTTTTTGCCCCTTTATGGCCCCCAATTCCTAAAATTTTGAGGCAATTACCCCCAAAATCAATTCCAGCCTTCCCTTTGTGGTATGGTACCTTGCAGTACAATTACAGAGAGATCCATACACTTGAACACAAGTTATTGTCTGGAAACTAGAAAAATTGCTTGTTTTTTGGCCCCTTTTTGGCCTCGAATTCCTAAACGTTTAGGGCAATTACCCCCAAACTCAAACCCAGCTTTCCCTTTGTGATATGGAACCTTGTAGTTCAATTTCATAAAGATCCATACACTTACACACAAGTTATTGTCCTGAAACTAGAAAAATGCTTGTTTTTTTGCCCCTTTATGGCCCCCAATTTCAAAAATTTTGAGGCAATTACCCCCAAAATCAATCCCAGCCTTCCCTTTGTGGTATGGTACCTTGCAGTACAATTTCAGAGAGATCCATACACTTGAACACAAGTTATTGTCTGGAAACTAGAAAAATGCTTATTTTTGGCCCCTTTTTGGCCCCTTATTCCTAAACGTTTTGGGCAATTACCCCCAAACTCAATTCCAGCTTTCCTTTTGTGATATGGACCTTGTAGTACAATTTCATAAAGATCCATACACTTACACACAAGTTATATATATTGTCATGAAATTAGAAAAATGCTTGTTTTTTGCCCCTTTTTGGCCCCTAATTCCTAAAATTTGGAGGCAATTACCCCCAAAATCAATCCCAGCATTCCCTTTGTGGTATGGTATCTTGCAGTACAATTTCAGAGAGATCCATACACTTGACACAAGTTATTGTCTGGAAACTAGAAAAATGCTTATTTTTTGCCCCTTATTCCTAAACGTTTTGGGCAATTACCCCCAAACTCAATTCCAGCTTTCCTTATGTGATATGGAACCTTGTAGTACAATTTCATAAAGATCCATACACTAACACACAAGTTATTGTCATGAAACTAGAAAAATGCTTGTTTTTTGCCCCTTTTTGGCCCCTAATTCCTAAAATTTGGAGGCAGTTACCCCCAAAATCAATCCCAGCATTCACTTTGTAATATGGAACCTTGTGGTACAATGTCAGAGAGATCCATACACTTACACACAAGTTATTGTCCTGAAACTAGAAAAATGCTTGTTTTTTTGGCCCTTTATGGCCCCCAATTTCAAAAATTTTGAGGCAATTACCCCCAAACTCAATTCCAGCTTTCCTTTTGTGATATGGACCTTGAAGTACAATTTCATAAAGATCCATACACTTACACACAAGTTATTGTCATGAAATTAGAAAAATGCTTGTTTTTTGCCCCTTTTTGGCCCCTAATTCCTAAAATTTGGAGGCAATTACCCCCAAAATCAATCCCAGCATTCCCTTTGTGGTATGGTATCTTGCAGTACAATTTCAGAGAGATCCATACACTTGACACAAGTTATTGTCTGGAAACTAGAAAAATGCTTATTTTTTGCCCCTTATTCCTAAACGTTTTGGGCAATTACCCCCAAACTCAATTCCAGCTTTCGTTTTGTGATATGGAACCTTGTAGTACAATTTCATAAAGATCCATACACTAACACACAAGTTATTGTCATGAAACTAGAAAAATGCTTGTTTTTTGCCCCTTTTTGGCCCCTAATTCCTAAAATTTGGAGGCAGTTACCCCCAAAATCAATCCCAGCATTCACTTTGTAATATGGAACCTTGTGGTACAATGTCAGAGAGATCCATACACTTACACACAAGTTATTGTCATGAAACTAGAAAAATGCTTGTTTTTTGCCCCTTTTCGGCCCTCATTCCTAAAACTTGGAGGCAATTACCCCCAAAATCAATCCCAGCATTCCCTTTGTTATATGGAACCTTGTGGTACAATGTCAGAGAGATCCATACACTAACACACAAGTTATGTCTGGAAGTTACAAAAATGCTTATTTGTGGCCCCTTTTTGGCCCCTAATTCCTTAACTGTTGGTTCCATAACCCCCAAAGTCAATACCCACCTTCCTTTTGTGGTATTGAACCTTATGGTAAAATTTCATAGAGATCCATTCACTTAAACTAAAGTTAGAGTGCGAAAACCAATGTGTCTTCGGACGACGACAACGCCAACGTCATACCAATATACGACTGCAAAATTTTTTTGCGGTCGTATAAAAATGAAGTATTGTAAATATTTATTTATTTAAAAGTTTTGTAACAACTAAAGAATTTTATGGTTCAAAACAATTCTTAAAGTGTAAATTAGTAAAACAGAAATATTAATTTCAAACTTAAAGTTTCATTCAAGAAGCTTAAGGGTCCAAAAATAGTATCTATCCACTTTATAAAACAATTAAACTGTTAAAAAGTTTAAGAACATATAATGATTTAAGCAGTCCCTCATTCCCCCAGAAATAAAAATGCAACAAAATCAAGAAATTAAAATGTTAAAACTATAATACAATACAACAGAAACATGCGCTTGTAATAAATACATGGAACTAAAGCGATATTGATAAAAACGGGTAAAATTGGAAATTCCACCCAACCTCTCTTTGGCTAAGATCCTGTAAGGCTACCTGCCGTTCTGACGATTTTCTTGATTTTTTACGAGTTCTTGCTTTTGGTTCCTCTATGATTATGAGTTCCTGTAAAACACGCCAACATGCAAAATGCAAAAAACATGTAAAATTTACTGGTTCAAACATTTCTGTATAGCATTTGTTATTTCACAGCCATAGGAGCTACTTTCTCAATTAAAGACTAAATGCAACCAATGTTCTGAAAAATTGCAAATGCTTTTAAACTTCTGAATTATTTTTTGAAAGTCCTAATGTTTAAATCACAGTGGTTAAATTAAAACATCATCTGTCACCATATTTATATAATTTCCAGAATATGATTTAAAATTTTAAGTTTTCAAAATTGAATTTATAATTCAATTTTCCTTTTATTTTATGATATCAAAACATTGGCCGCTATATTGAGTCATTGTGTAAAAGTATGTTGGTTTTTGTTGAACTAATTTTCTCTAACAAGAAAATTGACTGCAGTGAAAATGAAAACTGCAAATATAAAATGCTTTACAGAATAAACCAAATGCATTTAGGAGAAAAATCACAAAATCAAATCTTAGGAAAAAAAACAACATGCTATTTCATTACAATAGATTATTTATATATTGTACATATTAATTACAAAAGGAAAGAGTCAAATTGTAAAAAAAAAGTATTTCAAAGAAAACATGAAAAACTATTAGCAGAATCTATAAATTTATACACTTTTCCCTTGTTTTGTCATGGAAAGAATATGTTATACTAAAAAAAAACCAAAGCTAAAATCCCTTGAACTAAAATTCAAAAGCAGGTGGATAATGGCATCAGAAACTTCTGATTCCAATGCATCCATTCAGCAGTTTATAGGGAAAATTTGAGGATACAAGATGATAATTTCCTTTTGCATGTTTGTAGATTAACAAAGTCCATACGAGAAAGTAAAAAATATTTGGATAAATGGTGCACAATGCAGTTAAAATGTAACAAAAAAATTCAACCATAAAATAGAAACATGTTATTCATATATGATTTAAAGATATGAGGTGCATGTCGCTGAGACATCATCTATATAGGTCTATACCCCACTTATGTGTATTAACTGATAGATGTAGTTATTTGAAATTGTTAAAGTAAGCCAGCATCTCATTGTAGATGGTGGAAATACCACAAACTTCTAACTTAAGGGGGCTCACGGGTATAAATGCATTTTTTTTTAAATATAGGATTTCCCCATTTTTTTCTATAAATTAACTTTATCATATACTTAATAGAAAAATAAAATAAAAAAATGGGGTCACCATTCATTTAAGCTCACAATCAACCTTTGAAAGAAGCATGCATTTTTGTTAAGGCGCTTTTTTTCTGTTGAACTAATAGGAGAAATAGAGGTAATATCAAAATAAAAAAAGAACTAAATTACAGAAATCGCTTAAATTTTACAATTGTTTAGTTTAAGTACAGCCTATTTGAAAAAAATAATAAAAAAAAAAGGTCACTGATGAGTTTAAAAAGATATTTCAGTTTTAATGCCAAAAAATGGTATTTTTGCATCAAAGGGAGATAATTTGGAGCTTTTTCAATGATATAAACATTTTAAAAGTCATCTGGGGCCAAAACGAATTGATTTTTGTGGTTGATTTTTGTACCATATCATAAAGTAACAACTAATAGTGTAATAAATAAAATTTGTAATGAAAAAAATAATGTTTAAATTTTTGATGAAATTTTTGTACCCACGAGCCTCCTTAAGTCATTAAAAAGATTGTCAAATTAAAAAAAAAAGTTTTTCTCGCGCTTAACAGTTTGGAAGTTGACAAAATACAAAAAATTCAAATGGAGATTTTTTACTACTTTATGTAATTTGATCAAAATAGTTATTCATTATGGAATATTCTTACAAAGCTTTTTATCTGGATAAATAATAAGAGGTTAAGGGAAGTAACTCACCGATGTAAACCATACATTACCTTACGATGTAACCACTGCCTGCTTTCTATAGCCAGTGTGAAGTACAACAGCAATAAGATTCCTGGATTGACAAACCAAGGCCACTGACTAGCATCATGAAATTCAACATACCAAGTTCTTTCACAATCTGTCTTGATAATACCGGTTAGTCCTATTATTCTGAAATTTAATACAAAAATGAGGTGGTTGAAAAATATTTATCACATAAAGCAAGAGTAAAACTTATAGAATAGACATGACTAACCAATTTGAAACAATACTAGGGAATTGTCGTCAAATTATGAAAACCTTATTTTTCAATTATCTCAATCGCATGAGGGCAGGTCAAATACATTAATGATATTATATGAATAACATAATAGCCATGGGTGGTAGAGCAGATTGTTACTCAGAGAAAACATTGTCAACTGAAACGGGGGTGGTAATATGCTCCATTACTCTCTCAGCTATGTATTATCTACTTTATTATACTGAGTGTTCTGTTAATAATGTCTATGAACTATTGATTTTTGTTCTGATGTTTTTAGGTAAGCACAAATCAATCAACCATATGATGTGTACACTGAATAAGTATGAACTATTTGTCCCTGGACATTATACAAGACTCTCATTGATGTATACCTAACATCTTCTTGATAAATATTAATCTATCAAGCAAAGCAAATGCTGTCTCTCTACTTTTTTGTTCAAGTAAGAAGTCATTTTGTTAGATTGTATACAGCAGAGTCCCCTGTAACTGTGAAACTGTGCACCTCTATCTGAGTGGCCTGTGAAACTGCGCACATGCCAGGCAATTCAGTCCTTTTTGTTGTGCAAAAATCCAATAGAAATAAAAATTATTTTCAGTTAAAAAATATATGATATTTGGTGAGTTATTAATAAATAAATGGGGAATCTGTCCATAGGACACAGATGATGCCCCCACTTGCATATAACATTATAAAGGGACATAACTCAAGAACTGTAAAAGTGACGCTACCCAAATTTGTACTTGATCTGAGTTTTGTGGTAATATGCATTTATTTAAAGTTTCATAACATTTGGTTGAGGCCAACTAAAGTTAGAGAACAGAAACAAATATTTCAGCCATTTTTCCATTTGTAAAAGGGCATAACTTTAGAACAGTAAAAGTGACGCCACCAAAATTCAATCTTGATCTGTGTTTTGTGGTAATAGGCATTGTGTATAAGTTTCATAACATTTTGCTGAGGCAAACTCAAGTTACGGCGGGGGCATAAAAAATATATTTAATGTAACTTTTGACCTATTTTTCCCTAAATCAGAAGAATTGTATAAGGCCACCTACCCCACTATAGCAAGAATTGGGGATACTTATTCCTCCTTTGTCGAAAATAACTGATTTTTGAATTTTCATATTAGTTTAGATCCATTTTGTATGAAAACAAAAAATACTAGACTTTGAGTATGTTAAAGCCATTATTCATGAATATAAAATTCAGGTGCATAGATACAGGGGACACCAAACCATTCCATAAAAAAGGGAGGTAGGTCACTTTTATTTAACAAATTCGACGAAATGAGCCCAAACAAAAATAAAACATTCAGAATGCATTTTAAAAAGGAAATATTCAATTTCAATAAACGTACAACTTTTTTTCATCACTTTTTAATTTTGACCTCTTTAAGTAAAGGCTTAGGTGTGCAGTAACACAAGACAGCTCTATACTGTGCAGGCTTCAATTGAGTATTTTCCATTTACAACATGTAGTCTATAAAGGTATGGGGAGGTTTTGATACCCCAAAACTAGTTGATTTCTTTTTATAATATCAAACCTTAGACAAAACTTTTTATTTTTGCAATTCAAGCACTGACTAATGTCTTCTTGATGATGTGAAATGTTTCAAAATGAGAGGTGTACATGATTTCTCTAGCAACCAAACTATGATCAAGTGCCTGCTCCAAGTCAGGAAACCATGTCACTGATCGTCTTGTATTCAATCTTAACATTTTTGTCATTTAAGGTATCTGGTATTGATAGCAGATCTTTGATCATCTCTTTTATATTCATATACAACTTTTCTAGAGTCGGTGCAATCTAGTGCTTGATATATTATAAAGACACTTGTCTATGTTTAACCCCTAGATGTTGCTTTCTCAGTTGTGTATTCCACCACTGCAATAAGTGTGTTAAGATATTTCTCCACTCCAGACAGTTAAATTTTAATATTTAAAGCGTGAGGCTTGCCGAGCTTTGTAAATAATTAAAATTTAACTGTTGACAGTGGAGAAATATCGTAATACACGAGTTATAGTGGTGGAATCTGTTTCTCTAATGATTTTTATCCTTCCTTTTCAAAGATTTGCAGAAAGTTGTGTTCTCTTTATAAGACGTCATCAGGCATGGTCGCCTTTTTTCATGACATAATTATAGGAAAATTCAGAAGAAACCAAGAAAGTTTGACGTCATAACTGAATTTCGACCAATCATTTGCCGAGAACAGATATTTCACTAGTGAGGAGAAACATGTTTCTCACACTGCTCAAGAAATGTGAAAATAGCACAAAAATTAGAGAAACCAACATCTTCTTTATTTATATGTAATTGCAAAATCATGTTTTCCTATCATGTCATGTAAAATTCTGTTAAAATCATCAAATTGCTCTTTTCACTGTAATCAAGCAGGATACTAATAAAATGCTTCCTCTGTTCAACTTAATTTTAAGAGAAATAGACCTACATGGCTGGGTCCAAAAACAGCCCTTTCTGAACATAAGGCTTATCCTACATTATATACATGTTCTAATGTTACCTACCTTGCTTCGAGAGATTGAGGATCAACCAATTCCTGGAAAAACGGGAACTGGTACAAATGTAAGACACATAGGTGAAGACCACTCCACACAAGTACGACAAATCTATACACTGCAAATTTATATCCGAGAGAGTTATAAAAAGCCCACCATGTTGATATGTACAGGAACGACAGGAAGTAAAAAGCTCCCAAAATTGAAGGCACTATAATACCGCTAGCTGCCAAAAATAATAACACCAAGAATGTCCCAAAGAAATGTAAAAATCTTTCAGTTCGTTTTCTGCGGGTTCTGCTGGCTGTGGTTGGTAATTCTGTGTCTTGTCCTTCAGGAACCTTGAGAAGTACGTAACAGATCACAAAGACCAAGATGGCCGTTATCAGAACAGCAAGGTCAGGAACTACTAGTCGAATTATATTAATCACTGGTACACCATCCAACCTGAAATAGAATTAAAAACATTCACTGAGTTACAAAGATGTGTTTGAAAACATGATGATTTTTTTGTTCATTTCAATGGAACACAAAACCTGAATATATTTGCAAGTAAGTAAGTGGGTAGCACTGGGTACACAAGGATATCTCTTTGTATCAATATTACAAAATGGCCTACTGGCCTTGCGGTCATAAAACTTATGAGTACGATAATTGTACTCAGACTCAGAAATCAACCAATCAAAACTCTGGATTTGTTGTTTCGAGCACAAATTTTGTACTCCAAGTACTGAGTAAGGTTTTATGACTGAGAGCCCTGGAGAGAAGATTTTTAAAGAACTTTTTGCTAAATTTTAAACACAGCAATAAAGATGTTTGTGGGTACCAGTTTTCGTGGCATCAGGAATAATTGTATTTCTGCTGATATTTCATTTCATGGTTTTGCCAAATTCTCGCATACAAGCCTATTGAAAATGTATACTTCCTTGAACATTGAAATTCATGGTTCACTTTTATCCATGAAAATTGGTACCCAACAAATAATAATGAATCCACAGTACTGTTCTTTTTGTTCCTTTACCCATGAAAATTGGTACCCCACAAATACTGTAAACCAACTTATTTTCGCGACTTTCGCAAGTAGAAAAATAACGCGAATATAAATCGTCGCGAATATGAAAAACTTGGATCTACCCTGATTAAAATACATCAAGTAAATTTGAAAATCGCGAAATTAAATCGTCACGAAGTGGTCTAGAAAGGGATAAACACGAAAATAAGTTGGTTTACAGTAATAATGAATCCTCAGTACTGTTCTTTTTGTTCCTTTCCAAGTACTGTATAAGGTTTATCTAAAAAAAAAACCTTGTACCAGTAATTAATTTTTAAAAAACTTTTTTTAATTTGGTGAATCATTTGAAGGTGGCTGCATCAAAAACTTCAAAGCAGAAAATCAAAGGTAAAAATAGGACGAGCAGTAATAGATATGTTTATGATATTTCTACAATATCATGGCTTATTTGATCAATCAAAATCTGTACTGCAGAATGTTTGTCAATAAAACCTCTGGGCATAAGACTTAATTAAGACTTTTTATCTGGCAAGGTAAAATTTTATACAAATCAATAAATTTTCAAAAGATATAAATATCTAGACTATGGAAACATAAATTTCATCCGAGTTTTGTGGATTTTTTATTTCAGGTACTGGTAACATTCATGTTTGACAACAGTATTGATAATATAATAATAATAAGATGTGGTATGAGTGCAAATGAGACAAATCTCCACCAGAGACCAAATGACGTATAATTCAACAACTATAGGTCACTGTACAGCCTTCAACAATGAGCAAAACTCATACAACATAGTAAGCTATAAAATGTGTTTAAAGTGGAAGACAGGAGGACAAAAAATTCTCACAAATCAATATAGTCATCAATATCATATACAATGACGTGTCAGTAGAAAATAAAATCACCCTCTGGCCTGGTATTGTAAAAAGATTAAATACAAAAAAGTTATGGCAAATTTCCGAACACTTACTGTCTATGAAAGTAAGAGATTATGCAATACTTGATGTATGATTGTGACAGAAGAAAATGTTTTTCTATCTAAGTATACTACTACATTCTTTCTTCTTTGTCAACATTTCCAATTTTATTAATGTCAAGTGTATAAACCGGTAGTACAAAGATATATACTTTTGACTGCATAGAACTTAATAACAAAACATGTTAGACCACATAAAGAATTCTGCAAGTCTGGTTCAAATTAATGGTATAATTACAAATCACAGCAGGGCTACGAAGTTGCACTAAAGATTTTATACTCCTACTAAAACTTTCATGCTTTCTTAATTAAATCTTTATGACCATTCATTAAAAAATAAAGGCAGAAGGGTTAACAGCTTGACAAGGGAAGAGGGAAAGCTGCATAAAAAATTAGAGAGAGGCACAACAAACATCAAGAGTTTTCCAATATATCCCTTTAAACAATAAGCTTCATTGAATTCATTTATTAAGGCCTAAAATATATGAAAGCAAATTCATTCTTAAACATTTTTCTTCTTTTTCAGATACTTCAACTGATGCAAGTTTGCAAGTGGGAGTCAAAATGATCTCATGGATGATGAATTCAGCTATTTATTTGAAATTAGTACTGTAATGTACACTTATAAAATCAAGGTTAAATTTAAGTATCAAAAAGTACTTATCAGATTTTGCAATATCAAAGTAATCAACTTTTAGTCACACCAAGCATAGTTCAACATTATCAATAATAAATTTAATCATCTTCTTATGCATGGAAGCTAATCACAATTTTTTGGTATCCTGATAATTGCTTTTTCTCTCACTTAATCAGAAAGTGTGTTTCATTATTGTTTAGTTTGCCTGGAAATATATTTGCTTGTTGAATAATTCATAGCAATGTGTGGTAAGGTAATTATTGTGTAAAATATCATATTCAACGGCCTTGAAGTAAGACATTAGCTCCACCTGAAGTAAGACATAAGCTCCACCTAAAATGCTAACGATCATTTTCTAAAATTAGTTTTTATAATAATGTACCATGGTGACCTCAAAATCATCACAGTTACAAGTTTTCTAAAAGCCTTTTAAGCATCCTCTGTCTGCTAATTTACTTATCTTCAAGGGATATGGGTTAGATGTACACGAGATTACACTCTTATGAAATATTACAAAAGGATTTATCAAAAGGATAATAATATTTTGAGAAGTGCACTTATGTGAAGGTCTTCAATCATGTATTCAAGTCCAAGTACCTCACAGTAAGATCAAGAAAGCACTTTTTCATTGATATGAATAAAGGGAGACAACTCCCAAACTACACATATAACCAAACAACATCAAGAGGTCAACAAACACCATATCTAAGTATGCAGGTTGTAATGAATTAGCACTAAGTGTTCTATGTAACTTTGCCTAATTGACTTAGGATTGTCAGTTTTCCTGCTGAAGGTCTTGGTACTCTCAGAGCACTCTGGCTTCATCCACTAATAAAAATTATTGCCACGAAATAGCCAATAGTGCTGATAGTGGTGTTAAACACCAATCAATCAATCAATGTTAGTTTGCAGCAAAAATAATCTCTTTCTGACACCTGATTTTTTCTTACTGAATATAGTCAAAGAGTTGTGTCCTATTAATTCAAATAGCACTTTATATAATAGTGAACAAGAATGCATGTGTTGTCGTGCCAGGCATATCACCATTCTTAATTTAAATAAACTGTTAACAGAGATATGTCTTGCCTTTTTGTTATTTTGATATTAAAATGCAAAGGTTGAAATTAAAATAGCAATACTTTTAACATGTAAGTTAATTATGCAAAATATTCAAAGTCAATGAACCATGACTGAAGGTCCAGGGCAAAAATATCTATGGAAATGAGATGTGCTTATGCTTATACATATGCATACCAAATATCATTGACCTACCACAAACTAATATATGTAAACTAAGCAAAAGTTTCAAAGTCAATAAACCACGACTGAGGGGGGTGAGGCCATACAATCTCCATGGAAATGAGATGTGCCAATGCTAATACAATTTAATACCAAATATCATTGACCTACCACTAGTGGTTCCCTATAAACTGACCTAATCATAAACTAATACATGTAAACTAAGCAAAAGTTTCAAAGTCAATAGACCATGACTGAGGTGGCGGGGCCAAATATGAAGCAGGTCTTTGAAAGTTCCAAGAAGTCCTCATAACTTACAACTCATCACCGTCCAGCAGCTGACCTAATATGATGTCCTTTTATTCAGCAGTTTCTCAGAAAAATTACAAAATATTTTTTGGATAGACAGATGGACAGACGGACAGGGACAGACTGAAGAACAAGGTGATTGCAATATACTGTAAATTCAGAAATTATTGCGATGTTTTTATTATTGCGAAAAATGCGACAGGGTTATAATGGCAATAATTTAAACTCGTATTTTGAAATTTTTTTATATGAATTAAACAGGATTTTTCTCAATATCGCAAAAATTAAAATTGCATTTTAGTCTAAAATGACAAAATCACAATAATAAATGCACGCAATAATTTCTGAATTTACAGTAGAACCTAATCATACCAGACTGTAAATTTTACCTTTCTACAGCAATCTGTCTTGAAATATTATCATTTGTTGAACCTAAAGAAAATAAACAATAAAATATTTTTAAAATATTTTCATCATCACAATGTTTTGTAATACTTCGTGTTAGCTAAATTCATTTTCCGAAGAAAAAATGAAATACATGTAAAACTTCCCAGTTCCTTTCCTGAACTTTCCTTTAAGTTACATGTGCTACTAAATACTAAAAAAACAGAGTTCTGTGACCTAGAGCAAACAAATGAATTTCACATAACTACTTAAATACTTTTATTAACCAAGTTTGGGCTATAATTTGGAGATAAAATTTTATAATCTCTTTAATGGTCCATGGAAAGAATGCACTTTACTGCCAGGTTTTTGCAAAAGTCAATTAACCACATAACATTTGTTCAAATATCAATTATGTACTAGGAACTAAGAAATAGTTTAGTAATACAGCGATATTGCAAAAAACAATTTTGTTTTGAGGAAAACAAAAATTATATGTGCCCTTTATAATTGTCAAGGGATAACATTTATCCATGTTCAGAAAATAACCTTTATTAGGTACAGCAAAATAGAAGCTTAAATCATGTTTTGGCTAACAATTTCTTTACTATTTCAAGTACATAGTTCTGTCAACTATTGCACAGGATATTTTTTTCATATTTTACTTTAACACAAAGATGACATGAATTGAAGAATCTTCATGCCTTCATAACAACCATTTTCTCTTTCAGTAATTCCAAAAACTTAAAAGGTAATCTATCAAAGGAGAACATTGAGAAAAGTACCACAAAAATTTATGCTTTTGACAATAAAACCCCAATGAGCAGAGACTAACAAATGCACAAGTTCTGACAATAAAATCCCAATGAGCAGAGACTAACAAATGCACAAGTTCTGACAATAAAACCCCAATGAACAGCAACTAACAAATGCACTAGTTCTGACAATAATTTCAACACCAAACCATGATTTTCATTCAACAAAGAAAAACTTAGCTGACTGAATGACACATAACTTCATTCCCAATTTTCTTTTACAGCATTCAAAACACCAAAAAGCACTATAAATGCTATCATTTTTAGCACCACTTGTATTGATATATTTTCAAAATCAGCAGCATTTCATGGTATTACAAGCAAATGAAACCATGGAAATGTGCATTAATATTTTAATAACATGTGCTCAATATTTTTAAGTAAAGACAGTTAAACCGTAAAAACTGCTTGCAAGCAACCAAAAAGCATGCATTTAACAAAATGCTCTGTTCAATGTTAAACATCCAAAATACATTTAATTAATGTCTGTGTCCAATTGAAAATTTTGCATGTAGGCTAATGACTAATACTCATTATATAAAAATAAATGGGGAATGTGTCCATGGGACACAGATGATGCCCCCCACCACTTGCATATAACGTTATAAAGGGACATAACTCAAGAACAGTAAAAGTGTATAGCCAAATTCATACTTAATCTGAGTTTTGTGAAATAAGCATTGTGTATAAGTAAAGTTGCATAACATTTGGTGGAGGCAAACTTCAGTTAGAGAACGGAAACGAAAAATTCAACAATTTTTCCATTTGTAAAGGGGCATAACTCTAGAACGGTAAAAGTGACGCCACCAAAATATAAATTTGATCTTTGTTTTGTGGTAATAAGCATTGTGTATATTTGGTTCAGGCAAACTTAAGTTATAAAATGGTAACGAAAAATTCAGCAATTTTTTCCATTTGTAAAGGAGCATAACTCTAGAAAGGTAAAAGTGACACCACCCAAATTCAAACTTGAACTGTGTCCTGTGATAACAAGCATTGTGTATAAGTTTCATAACATTTGGTTGAGGCAAACTAAAGTTAGAGAATGGAAACCAATTTCGGGACGTATGGATGTACGGAAGGATGTACAGACTGACAACGGTAAAACTTAATGCCCCCTCCGCTATGGCTGGGACATAAAAAATGTAATCAGTATAGTACTATTATTGTTAGTGACTGAGGTTCTTGCAATATATTGATGTGCCTAGATGTAATGAAATATAACAAATGGAAGTCTCAAGGGTACAGCATGTAACTCTCAACTATATTCTGGATGAAACTGGTTTAACCATGTTTCATACTACCTTCTTGCCAATGCTTCAGATTTAATCCTCAAGAATTGAAATCCCCTCACTATGTTACTAAATTGGTTTTCAATTTCTACAGAATCAAGAATCGGATAAAATATGTTTGTGTTTAAAATAAGGAGACATGGTTTGATTGCTATGAGACAAATAGTTATCCACCAGAGACCAAAGGATGAGGAAATAAACAACTATAGTGCACTGTACGACCTTCAACAATAAGCAAAGCTCATTCCATGTATTAAGCTTTAATTGACACTAACATGACATGTGTGTTTATTTATTCACAAACAATTGACACAAAAGTTTTAAGCATCTATATATTTAAAGTGTTCCATAGAATAATGACCTGGAAGGGATTCAAATTAAGTTTTACTCTCTTGATCCATTGACTTTTACAAATTTACATATGTCTGACACAGAGACCAAGATAAAATCACCTGCTATAAATCATGTACAAAGCAGTGTGCTTCCCCAGGCCAATTTAGCACATGTAAACTTTTTCTTAAATAATAGGCAAGCAAGTGAGTAGTAATTCATATTTTTGTATTCTGAAAACACCCTAAAAAACTCCTTAAAAAGCATAAAATCATTTTTTGAGGTAATTCACTTCTAAAATTTCATTTTTCTAAATTCATTAAAAGAAAACAAGAAATGTGCATAAATATTAATAAAACAGCAACCCAGTAACATTGGTTAACAAAAATTTCCTATCTACAGGCCAGCATACAGTCTGCAACATACAATCTCTCAACATTTGTGTACAGTCATCTTTAATGTATTTACACATTTTAAAAGTCTGAGTACACTTGTAATCAGTGAATACTCTTCAGTTCTATGAATACATGCATTCAAAATCACAGCAACTATTCATGCCAAAGATTATCATGCACCTTACCACTATTTGAAAAATTTCCTAAACGAGAGGAAATTGCTGAACTTGTAGAGACACCTCCTGTCAGACAAGTTATGGACGGCTTAGAAAAATGAAGATAACCAACATCTGGAGACGAAAAGAAGAATATGTACTACTACAATACATACTAAAATGGTTCCTGTTATGCTTCTTGCAGGAATGTCTGAATTTGAACTATTTCAAATGTTTGCTTTTTAAAGACGACTGTAGCTGGCAATGATGTGAAATATCATGGACATTATTCATCAATAAACACCATAATGAATAATTCAAAATAAGTCACATTAAGCGAGACAAACGTTTCTATTTCAAAAACAAATATGCACACTTTGAGTTTGTGTGCCAAGACTTTAAGTAGGGCAGAAAAACAGCCCCCATGGAACCACCTTGACTAGGAAATAATAACAGGAAGACAAAAATACTGGAAGAATATCTTCTGATTGACTGACTTGAAACAAATGCATTGAGATAAACATATTCAAAAACTTTGGATACCCGACAGCAAAAAATTAAAATGTTGAGAGATTCAAATGAAATAAAAAAAATCTTTCATAGGTTGCTATTTCAATGTAATGCAAAAACAAAGCCACGTTTTCTAACTTGTTTTTATTGCCACAGTTTGAATTGGTAATATCAATATCATATTGAATTTCTAGATTGCTATAACAACATGAACAAGAAACAAAGTGCTTTCTTACAAACTTTTCAATTATAATAGACAATATTTCAAGTTGAGGATTAAAAGTGATACTTTTAAGGCATCAGTAAGTCATTCTGTGCTAATCAAAGATAATCCTTGTTAAAGTTCCAAAGTGAGAAAAGTGTATCATAGAAAATCTAGTCGTATACATGAACTTGTATAATTTTAAAAAGTAAATTTTGGTTCATGTTTTGTTTGGGAATTAAAGAACACAATCAAACATTTTATAAATATATAAAATTGTGTATTTCAAATTCACGCATTTTCCCTTACAATTGCACAATGCTTATGTTATTACGTCACAGTGAGAACAATTAATCATTGAAGTCGTTTACGTCATTTGACATTTGGTGAACCAATGTAGTTCATAAAAAAAAAGAACTCTAGATTGATCTATTTGAGTTGAAAAACATTACTTTTTCAATAATTTAGAAACTAGAACTATTTCTACTAAACACATTACATTGAATACCATGGGTCCATAACATGGGTCCTCCATTAGTGATGAAACATAAAAGTTTATCAAATGGCATTACTTACAGTTAGCAAAATCAAATCCATATGGTTTATCCAGAGCTGCTAACGTGATGTGGAAGATAATGTGAGCCAGAGTACCAAGAGCTCCAAGCACAATAAGAAGCTTCAAATACAGTCCTGTTCCCCCTGAAAAAAAAATTTCAATACAAGTTAATATTACTACAATCTCTACTCCTTACATAATCATTGCAGCTGACATATTCTTGGGATGATTTTAAGCTTGAAATATACTGCCATCTGGTGGTCAAGTGTTTATTTGATGCCTTTGCGATAACTAGAAAACTGAAGTGTCAGCAAGAGACACGCTTGTACATTTTCATCTATGGCAAAGAAATAAATAATTCATACTGATCCAAACAGGGTATAAACATTTATGGGGTGTCAATTTTCACACATTTTGTGGTACATGCAAATCGTGAAATTTAGAACCTAACGATATACACATTTTCCATCAAGGTTCATCTGTACACCTTAAACCAGCTCTACAGGCAATTACTTTCAACCTCTTCTTGCTTTTATACAAGAACAGCAAACATGTAAAATAGCATTATTCCATCAGCATACTTTGTACGTTTGTCGTACATCAACAATTTTTGTAACCACAAAGACTTCAAAAGTATGGTTAGGACACAGATAAAAATATGTTAAGTTGTTGATATTCAAATAATTTTTTTCTTGAAATTGGAAAATTAATTTCGGTGTAAACAATAAATTTGTTTTTAAATCAGAAATTTAAAAAAATTCTTTTTATTCCAAATCTCCAAAAATATATTATGAGTAGGACTGGAAAACAATTTGAACAGTTGTTATGTTAGATGTTCATTTAATTCACAGTGATAATGTGGGGAGAATTTGTGGTAAAAATTAGGTTTTGTTTAATAAATCACTAATTTTGAGAAACATTTCTATGCCAATCTTTTGCTGATGGAATAATGCTATTTTACATGTTTGCTGTTCTTGTATAAAAGCAAGAAGAGGTTGAAAGTAATTGCCTGTAGAGCTGGTTTAAGGTGTACAGATGAACCACGATGGAAAATGTGTATATCATTAGGTTCTAAATTTCACAATTTGCTTGTACCACAAAATGTATGAAAATTGTCAAAAAGAAGCCTGCCACAAAAATTAATTGTTACATGGATTTTTATGCATCTACTCATGGAAACTGGTGTTTAAAAAAAAAGAAGTAAAAGATGTGTCTGAAAAGCTACAAACAGATCACCTATGTTAAATTTCAATGCAAAATATCAAGGAAGTATCGATAATTCTTAAATGATGGTTAAAAAAATTGTACTTCAAAAGGGAGCTCCTCCAAAGGACATATTTAATGTTATACAAGGTCTTCATACAAAAAAAATCTATTTAATTAAATCATTTATAAAGATCACTTTAAAAGCTAACAATGAGTTTCAAAAATGTGTAACAATCAATAAGTTAATTGCTAAGTCCTTCAATTTTATCCCAATAAAAGACTAATAATAAAATTATTATTCATCCTGTACTTGATTCATAGGAAATTATCTCTTTGATCTCTGAGAGTGGATCATAACATATCTAATTCTTCTTTTCACTTTGTAGAAATCAATATATTTCCTTTTAGTTAAAGTTAACTTTTTTTTTATCTTATTATTTGTAGCAATATGAACAGATAAATGTCCATAGGACAAAGCGTACAGATTTCAAACATGAATAAAGGAGATGTCAAGTTAATGTCAATGAGACAGCACACCAAAATTGTTTTTAAAGAAAACCAGCAAAACGATTTAAAATATTTTTTTTATTTTGAATACCATTGTATCATAGATCTATAGAGCTTAATCCCATCTAACAATAAAAATGACATCAAATAGCAGTCAATAATTGTACTGTAAATATAGTGTGTAAAATATCTGCAGATGTTACGCCTTTCTTCCAATTATTAACATCATAAAACATATAAATACATATACATTTTTCATGTGTCAAGGGAGCTAGAAAAGAAAATCATGCTATTTTCCTACATAAAAATATCTTGTATTGTACACAAATTTAACCACGGAATACTATTGTATACCAATTTTTGTAAATGGTCATAAATACATGTATATGATAACTAACGTAAAAGATTAGAAGATATATTACTGGCGACACAAACGTTTAACAGTAATTTAACTCAAATCCTATTATGCTTATTAGCAAATCATTCCAATTCTTATCCTATTTGAATACTATGGAATGCAATACTACTAGACAATCTGTATTCTGACTGGTATATTTAGCCACGATGTTGTAGCAAATTTGAATCAAGCTAAATCTTTTTCTAGACTGATGTACTGTAAGCATAGTCTGCACCATTAGCCACTAGTCCGATGCCCCAAACTAGTAGAATTTTATTTAAACTAGTAACTATTTGCAAATATTTGTTTAGACACATAAGAAAGTTGTTGGAATATTGGTCTTCAGACTAGTAATTGGAAAAGATTTTGGTGCAGACTGTTAGTAGTGCTCAAACAGTGATATATGACGAACAAAAAATAAAATGGCAGGTACATAATGCCATTTGGCAATCAAGGATTTTCTAACCATTTCCTTGTTTAGTTTGAATTGTAGATTTGAGACATGAGAATAATGCTAGCTAGCACTGCTACTAACTTTGCCTAGGGTAGATAGATATATCAATTTATGCATAACTTACTTGTGTCATATGCTCAATATCTCTAGAGAGAAGCCTAGGGTAGATTGGTATATCAATGTATGCATTGCTTACTTGTGTCATATGCTCAAAATCTCTATAGAGAAACCTAGGGTAGTTAGGTATATCAATGTATGCATTGCTTACTTGTGTCATATGCTCAATATCCCTAGAGAGAAGCCTAGGGTAGATAGGTATATCAATGTATACATTACTTACTTGTGTGATATGCTCAATATCTCTATAAAGAAGCCTAGGGTAGATAGGTATATCAATGTATGCATTACTTACTTGTGTGATATGCTCAATATCTCTACAGAGAAGCCTAGGGTAGATAGGTATATCAATGTATGCATTACTTACTTGTTTGATATGCTCAATATATATATCTCTATAGAGAAGCCTAGGGTGGATAGGTATATCAATGTATGCATTACTTACTTGTGTCATATGCTCAATATCTCTACAGAGAAGCCTAGGGTAGATAGGTATATCAATGTATGCATTACTTACTTGTGTGATATGCTCAATATCTCTATAGAGAAGCCTAGGGTAGATAGGTATATCAATGTATGCATTACTTACTTGTTTGATATGCTCAATTTATATATCTCTATAGAGAAGCCTGGGGTGGATAGGTATATCAATGTATGCATTACTTACTTGTGTCATATGCTCAATATCTCTATAGAGAAGTTGTTGATCTTCTGTAAGGTTCTAAGTAACCTTATTCAAGGACATATACCTTTTATATAGGACTCTGTTTGCAAAACTTGACCTTTTAAAGTGATCTTTGATTGCAACCCTATTTAAGGTCAAACCTTACCTTTTATACTGACTTTTATCTAAAATCCTATTTGAGGTCACATCTTACCTTTTATGGTGAGCTCTGTTGGTGACCTGAGCAGAGGACATACTAACAGAAATATCACATACAGGAAGGACAAGGCATTGTACCTCACCACACATGCTGAAAATAAAGAATATATCAGTATCACTTTTCTAAGTTAAGAAACAAATCATAGCAATATATAAGCCTAGCAAGACGTTCCTTTATTCATACAATGTAGGTAGCAAGGAGCAAAATGCTTAAGAAATTTTCTAGCTGATGAAATCACTGTCCTACATCTGTTTCTTTTAAACTGGTAGTAAGTTATCTGGGAAACTTGTTTCTCTGATATATATGGTTATTTCAAGGATATCTTGGGATTTGGGAAACTTTTTTCTCTGATATATATATGTTTGTTTCAGAATATCTTGGAAAAGTTATTCCTCGAACATATGGTCATCCCCATGATACTAGAGTATCTTGGGAGAGTTGTTTCTCTGGTATAATGGAAAAACAAAGGATATGGGGTATCCATCTATGACACAAAATCAGTTCATGCACAGCAAAAAAACACACAAAAAGCAAAGGAACAACACTTTCATTGCTGTTCTTCATCTCAAAGTCACAGTGAGGCCTTCAACACGTAGCAAAAAAACTCTCACCTCACTGCAAGTTTAAGACGGCCCCTAGCACGGTTATTTTCATGATATCTTAGGTAAATTTTTTCTCTGATATATGGCCATTTCCAGGATATCTTGGGAGCAGGATCTGCTTACCCTTCCGGAGCACCTGAGATCATCCCCAGTTTTTGGTGGGGTTCGTATTGCTTAGTTTTTAGTTTTCTATGTTGTGTCTTGTGTACTATTATTTGTCTGTTTTGTCTTTTTAGCCATGGCGTTGTCGGTTTGTTTTCGATCTATGATTTTCACTGTCCCTCTGGTATCTTTCGCCCCTCTTTGGGAAAGTAGTTCCTCTTGATTTTTAGTTATTTCCAGGATATCTTGGGAAAACAACATACTATATATATATGAGAGGAACAACACCATTTTTTTATTCTTCATCTTGCCAGTTACTGTAAGTGATAATTACACATAGTGTGGCTGTCAACTCTTAATGTTGGTTCAGAGATCATAGAATGCCTGAATGGATGATCACATCTCAATTTTTATAATTAAGAAATTTTTTCTTAGTCACCCTAATTATCTGTAATGCTAAATTTGCAAAAAGACAGATACAATCACTCATAAAGAGTTATAAAACCAATTTCTTCTTGAAATATATTTCCTGTGCATTTTAAGCAGACCTTTATAACATAGTTGATGCTTTTATTTACTTTAAAATTCTTGTCTGTGTATGGGTATACTATTGTTACTACACTGTAAATGTTTTGAACACATGTTATTACACTGTATTAGTTCCTAACATGAGTCCATCTTTACTCTTACCCTAGCCATACCTTTAACTTAAACTTAATCTCAGTATTAATCTAAACCAAACCAAAAAACGAAATGGTTCATTCTGTAATTTCCGAATCAGTTTCTGTAACTTAAGAACACTCCAAAATTATATACATTGTGTATACTAGTATATATATATATATATATATATATATATATATATATGCACTGAATGAATTTTTTTCAAATATTAGGAGTTTGCTTTCAAAAATGTGACAAATGCAGGGCTTCCAAAACGGTCATATATTCCGGACTTGACCGAAACTTTCATAAAAAGACCGGCTGCTCTCAGCCTCAAACGGTCAAATAGAATTGGTGTGCCACATTTTGTTATTCAAGGCATTTTCATGAAACGGTCATTTTAATTTTTACCAACTATCGATCGATAAAAATGTCCGTTTGGGGCTTTGGGCATGTCCGTTTGGGCATTTTAGTTTATAATTGTGGCAATCTATTTCACAAAGATATTTCGGTCATAATTGGGTTTAATAAAACAGAAGCAGCATATTTCAGATACTTTGAAGTGTCTCAGTTAGTCTAATCCTCTGGGTACATAAATGTATGGCTTAATTGGTCTTTAGCTTGTGTACATCAATAAAAAGTAGAAAAAACACGTTTTCTTTATTTAAATAACAACAAGCTGTCAAACAATTATCCCTTCAATAAGTTATATTGAAGCCATAAATCATTCACTGATTACAGGTTTGTTACCTTTGATGAGGTGTCCTTAGCTTGTCTTTATCAATAGAATTAATGATGCATAACAATGGACATAAAGGTAATCAGGTAAACGAGGTCAAACATGTAAGCGTGTATGGAACAACATCCTATTTAATTACGCTTTATAGATATTATTTTAAATGAGCATTCAGTTTAAAAAAGTATCCTGATATTTAAAAGTTATTCTTCAAATAAGGATATTTATAAATGAATAAGTATGATATATATTATTTTATTTAACACTGTACATCGTGTTAAATACTGGGGTACTCCCAAGGGGAAAATTTACAAAAATATATAGGAAAAACACCGAGAATAGCTTCGCTTGGGTATACCAAGCTGAGTTGTCCAATAAATAAGGGGGCGTTCTCTATTCTTGTTTTCATATTAAAAACTGTTTTTATAATTAAAATCATAAAGAATAATATCCAATCATGACAATCTCCGACTGTTATAAAGACTTTGTCTCAAATTGAACTTTACAAATCTGCCATCATGGGCAAACGTAAACGTGACGATTCCGATCAAAATTCGAAATCTGCTAAAAATGCTAGAAGCTTTATTCATAAATGGTTACAACTGTTTTTATGGTTAAGATTTGACAGTATGCTAAATGCCATGTTTTGTGACATTTGTCAAAAACATAAACTTAAAAATAACTTTGTAAAGCCTGGTTCGACAAATTTTCGAAAGTCAGCCGTTGTAGAGCATGCTAATAGCAATGACCACATTCAAGCTCTTAAATTAGAGACAGCTTCCAAAAGTAATCCAATTGTATCAGTATTTGAGAAAGTTCATGAAAAGACTGACAACGCAATGTGCACCTTGTTCCGTAATGCTTACTTTATTGCTAAAGAAAACTTACCAATGGACAATTTCAGTCAATAAATGATTTAACTAAGTTAAATGGTGCCGTGATCACTTCTAAATTATATCAAGAGAACAATGCCTGCTCCGAATTTATTCAGACAATTTCCGATGTTATAGAGAAAGAGGTGATGTCCGACGTAAAGTTAAGTCCCGCCGTGGGAAATATGATCGACGAGTCAACTGATCTGGCTACGCAAAAACATTTAATTTTGTACTTATCATACCTCAAAGCTGGTGAACTGAAAATTAGTTTTACAAAACTTTTGAACTTGTCTTCTGGTACCGCCGTGTCAATTACTGCACATTTAATTGCCTATTTAAAGTCATTTGGTGTAGACTTGTCTAAAAAATTCGGCATGGGGTCTGACGGTGCGTCGGTTATGATAGGAAAGCATGGAGGTTGGGAAATTGTACAAAGAAAAATGTTATCACTGTTCGGTAGATTTTACACGGTTTAAAACAATATCCTTCATTGGGCCTCCTCAATGTTATCTATAAATACCGCATCAGTTGTAAAAGTCACGTGGTCAGGTAATCAATACACAAAAAGAAAAGTATCACGTGTATTGATGATCAAGTTGTACTGCAATTAAAGCCAACATCAACAGTTTCAAATAAGATGGCCTTAATTTACAAAGTGTTAAGTACTCACAGAGAGAAGATAGATTATATAAACAGAAACAAAAACATTAGAACAGTCAGGTACTGAAGCTGATTGATGCAATGATGGTTACTGTATTACGATACACAGAAAAATGACACAATACCGAGGATAATATTTTATTTATTTTTAGAATGAAGAAAACAAAACAGTTATAAATAATTTTATTGCATATAACACTACTAATTATTTAGACACTTATATCAATTTATGCATCCTCTCAGTTACATTTAAGTATCCAGCTGATCATTGACCGTCAAAAATATTTCTTTGAAAAATGTCCGGCTGTCGTCAGGAAATTTTGGAAGCCCTGGACAAATGTAACATTTCTTCGGTAAATGTTACAACATTAATACTTTACAACTGCATATTTTTCCTATACAACATATTCAGTCATGCATAACACACACAGATGCTAACTAGTACATTGGCCCTACAGCAAGTATGCAATATTTACACAGGTATAGAATAATATAACTCCCACTCCATTCTGTTGACGTTATTATAACATTGATGTTTCTGGCACATGAATTTTAATTTATATTCTAGATCTACACACTTGACACCATAGGTAATAAAGTCAGAAATATTTGAATTAAATAAGTTGAATAGCTTATTAAGCACTGTCATTACCAGTTAAAAAAATAATTTTACAGTGGCTTTCAATCATCTAAATATGTTATCAACGGCCCTTCACCTCTAAGTGAACAGAGGCATGGGTACTTTCTTGAAATAACAATATTTCAGGTTTAGTAAAAAACTTCTTTTTTTTCTATAACATACATGAACAAGAATTTTTTAAGTCAAAATTTTTTTTAAACTAATTTCAATAGAAACAAACAATTTTTCACCTCCCTTCTGAAAAAAAAATAATTCCCTCCCCCCTCCCCAAGAAATTAATAAAGTCTATGTACATACTTGTATATATATTACTATTGTGCATGTATTGAAACTGATTTCAAATTTTTTGTTAGTTGAAATATTTTGAAATGGACAATGTCACATATTTCACATCCCTTTCATCCAATCCCTGCTGAAATTAGTTTATTTAGACGTCCAGTATGTCATACGAAATTTTAAATTCACTAAATGTGAAGGACATACAAGTAAAAATACACTCCCCCTAGCAATCATATGGATAGTACTTTTACTAGGTGCTATTTACACAAGTGTTAATACCAAATAAATGTAATATATTGTACAAACATTGAATAAAAACAATATTTGGTATTTAACTATATTATTCTACATAAATATAAGACTGTCTATCATGTCTATATATAAAAATAAAAAATCATTCTTAAAGCCCCCTGTGGAATACCTTGTTGGTGGTTTACATTAAATTACTTAAGTTAGAATAAATCACATTATATATCAAAATACTAAAATATTTTGAATTCCTTTTTTTGACTATGTACATATATTAAGTATCAATCATACTAAGGAAAAAGCAATTTAGGTAAATCTTATGAATCTGCTTGATAGTCCAATAATAATTAAAATCCAATATCATGTTTATCATTGATCCATGTTATAAACTTTCATTCATATATAAAATCCCAGTCTTATAATCTTCTCATGTGTAGAAAAGCAGAAAATGAAAACATCTGGTCAACGCCATGGTCTTAGGAGGCACATTGGTATCTTAAACATACCATTAAATACACATTTTCATTTAAAAAGAAGCAGATAATGATAACATCTGGTCAACGCCATGGTCTTAGGAGCCAAATGGAATGGTGACACATTGGCATCTTAAACATACCATTAAATACACCTATGTAGAAATCATATACATGTACAGCCCCATTCATCATCAATAAGTAGTGCAACTACTCAAATGTGTCAAATAAATTTGCGGCAGCTAGCCATTTTCTAAATTCTTTTGAATTTGTAACTTAAAGTATTCAAGTCAAGCAAGGTAAACGTAAGGATATTAATTTTCAAGGACAAGAGAAATTTATTATAACAAATATGAAAATAATTTTTGTACTTGAACAAACTTCTGAAATCCACCACCTTCATGAAAAACCATATCTAAAGCAAAAATTGTTGTATGTTTGAACTTTAGAATATAGTCTATTAGTTCAGGGAATCCCCAACCCCCAAAAATTCTTTAAAAATAGAATATGTCTTACATTACTGGGTAGTCATTTGCAATGTATCTTGTCCTCTAGACTAATAAGACTGATATATTGAAAGGAGTGGTATGTGTACAAGCCATTGATGTTATACATGTAGTACAAAGATACCAATTTATTCTGTACATAAGTACAATGTAGCATTGCATGTATACAAGTTGTCCACACTTGGTTAAAGGGATAGTAGCTACGATTTTGACAAAATTATGACCAAGTTTTAAAGCTGCTAAAATCAAAGATATGTACTTTAAATTAACAATAAGATCGCTGAATGTTTATATAAAGTACAGAAGTGTTAATAATTGATAATTAATATCGTGTAGCGTGCATTTTCATCTCATAAATTATGCATTGGGTTTACTTCCCGAACTTTGCCGACACAGCAAGTGAGATGACCAAGATATAAATAAATATGAACATGTGCTTTTGTTTTCTTACGTATTTGACAATTTCTTTAGATTAAACGTACATATTTGAAACCATTTATCAAATTATGTAAACAACAAAATATACCAAATGCCTGCATATTATTCGAACCCAAGGTTCTCCAACAATGGCGATATTATACACTTGTTTTATATTTGTATGACAAAACAATGCCGATAACGTATACACGTGTTTGTGAATTGAATTGGGGCCTTCATGCAGGGTACACCGAAAGAATAATATTAAATTGTAAGAAGTTGATTTTTAATGTCTTCTAAGTTGTGAGATCACTGCTCTTAAATTTATAAAAATATTTTGGACAATAATGATTTGAACACGTCGCGATTTATTTTCATGTGATCTGGATTCAAAAAGTTCAGAAATGTTTTTTACATTTCGCAAACCGTTGTAATGTCGACTGCTTATATAATGACTTTATCTGTGTGACGGGTGTTTGTAAATGATTCTAATGACCAATCTCATCGCCGTTATTTATTTTCAATTTACAATAACTTGTCTGCACCTCTTTACTGTTTCTTTTTCTCGCAAAAACTGTAAACACACGTTCCATTTCCGCGATAACATTCCTCTGTTCGACATTTTCCCTTCGAGGGACAACTTGCGATTGTGCATTGGGAACTGCGGAGTTAAGGTCAACATAGGTCATATGAATAAGGGTTGGCTTAACATCGAATTTTTGTCTATAGACAAGAATTAAATTTAGGTGTAAAACGTTAAAAAGCTTCTAAATGCTAATTGGAAAGTAAACAGTGATGGTTTTATTCATTCTAAATAAACCTTTTGTACAAAATCCGGCATATACATTTTTGTAGATTAGAAAAATAATTTTAATGAAAATCGTAGCTACTATCTGTTTAATATCAGAGCTTGACATACAATGTATGGTATGGACTCTAGAGCTATTATTGCAAGTTAAGTCATAAATGTTTTTTGTTGTTAAGTTGCTGTCTCATTGACCTTTATCCCACATTACCTTTCATTTATAACTCATACGAACAAAATTTTCATCAGCACTTCTTTTGAACTGGACTCAGATATTCGTAAATGCAAATCTTTCATGTAAATGTCAGCTAAATCCATCATCAAATGTGAGTAAAGTGAATGCTTAAAAGAATATTTTTCCTGTATTTTATATTTACAAAGACCATTAACTCATAGGAAAATTATTGAGCAGCACTCAATTTCAATTTAAACTGCAACTATTGGTGATATCAAACTTTCATATACATGATATACAAAATCTAATTGTCATTGGAAAACAGAAAAATCATGGTAGTGCTTGCAATGTTTGATTTTCATTACGAAATGGCACAATTCCTACAACAATTGGTTATATAAATCTTTGATACAAATTTCATTGAAATCCATTATGCATAAGAAATGTTATTATGAGAATGCATACAAGTTATTCTTTTTTTCTACTTCCAAGGGCAAAACACTTGTTACACCTTTGAAAATTATTATGCAATACTCACTTCCAGATTTTGGTAATGAAAATCAATTAACTCAATAATTGTTAGCAATAGAGGGTTTACGAATGATAGAAGGAAGGACTGAAGCTCTTCATATATACATGTATATATATTCACCCTATTAATCGGTTTGACAATGTGAGAACTGATTGCCTCAAAAATCCAAATTAAATCTTGAAAACTGGATGCCTCAAAAATAAATAGCATGTAATCATTTCTTACACTATTTGAAGGACTGACTATGAAGCCCTGCATTTCCATATCCCTTGGGACAATAAAACTATGAATATGCTGTTATAATTAAAATAATATAAATACTTATAGTACTATTCAATGTTGCTAAATATATAATGATTATAAATATTTACCTGCTAACAGGATCAGAGGTACCAGTACCCTGAATAATGACCAGCATACCAAACTCTTCACTCGTGTTGTCATTTTCTATCTTTTTCACCCACTCAAAACCATTTTTCTAATTCACTACAAAAAAAAAACAATCAATACTAGACAATCACTGGGAACTTCAAATTAAATCCTTTTAATAAACACAAATTTTATACAGATTTCATAACTGTATGTTGTAGGTAATACTTCAGGGAAATGTATAATCTGTTTACAATGTGTCAACCCATTCCAATGATTTGATTCTGATTAAACAAAAACAACAATGAATTACATTTACATAGAGATGGGGATGCGATAGCGATAGATAATGTGTGATGTACATCACAATTGTTTGGCATTTAAAGTACCAAATATTTTTGAAAAAGAAGTGATGTAATAATACAAAAAACTGTGATCACCAAAAAATACATGTGATGTACATGTACACTGTACATTAGAGGTAGAGCAATTATATTATTGTACTTTTTAACAGGTACAACTGTAACTGTCTGTCAAGAATGTTGAACACCATCACTTTCTGACATGTTTTGAATTTTTGGTTTGAATTTTTGGTTTAAATGCCTTTACATCAAAAACATTCATGAATATCACCTGTCAATAATTTGGTATTCAAATCAAAAGATCTAAATCTTAAACTAGAATTAAATTGATTGTTGCTAGTGGTAAATATTTCATGCATATTCAGGACCAGAACAAATTAGCAATTAATAAAATTCCAGACGCACCATGAGCTGAGTTGCAATCATTATTGATTTAAAGTAGATGGATGAAACAGAATTTTGAATCAAAAACTATATATTTTTTTATATTGGTGATGAAAACTCGTCTGCTGACAATTTACGTTAAAAAGAGGCAATACATTGATATTGGACCTACTGACCAAAAGAGTTTTTTTTCTTTCCAAGGGTTACCCTCAAAATAAGCCTGATAAATGTTGGACATACATGTATTGTTCAAAAGATATAAATAGCTGCTACTTTCAGAATATTTAGATCCTTTTCAAAACTTACATTCCAAATTTGAGGTGCATAATAAAATGCACATGTACATGTAGTTCATAAAATGGAATTAGACATGTACCGGTATCAGCAAGTTTAACATAAAAACAAATCTTTTTTTTTTGTGAATATCATATATAGGAACGTTTATGAGGCCTATGAGTGATTACATGCTAGATCATCAGGAAAAAGACACAACTTTTGACTTTTTTGAAAAGTGAGGGAGTACTCAGCTGACACGTTGGTTATATAACATGTTATGAATCCATCAGAAAACCGCCATAGGATCATTTCACAAGCGTATATGCTTTTATTAGACTGTCTTATTTTTTGCACCATGTGGGTGTATGAATAATCCAAGTCTACCTATTCTCTATTATGACTTCATGTCAGCTTATATGATCTACAGGAAAAACTAAATAGCTTGAAATGGAAGTGCCTTAATTTTTCTGTTTTGACTGGTTTTAATCCATTTTTGTCAAAAGACAAGATTTTAAAAAATTTCCAATGTACAAGGACAGTTTGTGTCATTTAAACCAGCCTGTTTCAGTTTAATGTTGTTTTGGTAATGCAGTTGCAGCTTTCTTCAAAAATTTCCTTAAACTTAAATTTAAAAATATTCTACCTGCCAAGAGGAGCACAAATGTATACAAAAAGAAAAATGTCAAAATCAGAAAATTGGTCAAATGTCCATTTTTTATTTTCATTTATGTATTTTTATATCAATATGATGTGGGACCAAAAGATAAATGTAGAAATCCCAAATAGGATGCACACAAATATATACATAGACAAATAAAACAAATGAACAAAACACATAAATTGACAAGTGTCATGCAAGTTTCATATTAATCTTGTTTTAGCTATAAAACTAATTATTTCAGCATTTGAGTAAATTGAATTTAATTAACTTACAATGTGCTTATTCAAGAATGTATTGATTAAATTGTTATAAAATAGTAATTGAGCTGAAGCTCCCAAAGCCATGATCAAAGACAGTGCATCCATAACAATTTTAAAACATGTTTTAAAATCTTTGTGTTAATGAGTAATAATCAAATATACTGTGTCACCCTCTTTCATTCATAACATAGTAGAGCATTATTTCCCTTTCCAATGTGCCATATTTACCCTGACAGAGTAAGACATTACTATACTAACCAAGTAATAACTAAGCCAAAGGACAATAACAATTTAAAATAGCACCCTAACTGGAAAAAGAAATTGGTTAAGATTTAGGAAGTTTAGAACAGCCTTTGTTTACTTTGGTCTAATATGTCTTTAAGGACCCTACATTATCTGTGCCAGTGGGGTATTAATTTATGTCATTTGGTATAAAGTTGACTAACTGTACCTGCCTGGGGTCCCAAGTTCAATCCCCAATGGTACATTTGTAAATATGTTATATTTTAGAAGGAAACTCGTGTTTTATCACGTTTATTATTACATGTAAAATATCTACATATGTTATTTACTGGGACCTGTTCATTGCTGTAAACATTAAACAATAAATGTACGTAAACGTCGAAAATATTGTTTATCTAAAAAAATAAATGAAAACATACTTCTATAGAATATAGTAACTGTGATTCATATGAAATTGAAAATGAATCTGTGCAAAGCACATTGTTGACATAGCAGAACAAAAATGCATTATACGTTGACAATATTATTCATTGACGATAAAGAATTACTTTGAGATAAAGCATTAATATTTTACCTTTTTCACCTGGGTTGCAATCTTTTTGTCATGAATAAGAAGCGTCTGTTTTAACGCCACAATGCTCACATCATCAGCATGACAGATGCTCACGTGAGCGCCCTCTGTTATCATCAAGACTCTTATTCCACCGGAAACGAATGATTGTTTACATTTCCGGATATTCCAAACTGCAGATCCTGTTAAACATTAAAAATTTAGGTTCAAATTTGCACATTTAAAGGTAATGACACATCAAAAAAGTTCATCTTTTAAGAAGAATCAAGTCCAACATTTCTGGTCGCATTAGTACAGCTACCAAAACCAATTACTTATTTCGAAAAACTCTCCTCATTATCAGGTTGGGACCAAACACCCTATATCAGGTATATGTTGATAATACCTGCATAGAGTGATCACCCTTCTATAGAGGGATAACATTATCCCTTTGTAGAGAGAGAAATATTTGTTTAGACTGGATTTAAAGTAGGAAGATGGCAAAAGACGTGAAAGTGCATTTTCTAGTTATACAGGCTATAATCAATAGCATTATATGTATTAATTACTGCACTTTACTAAAAGTTGGGATGCCCAGTTTTCTGCTGAAGTGACAGAACTTGCAATCTATTGTGTACCTATCTGAACACATGAAAACAACAATAGGGACAGTTAACCTTTAACTTGTCGTATTTTGATTCTTAAATGACGGAAGTATTGTATGGGCGACAACTTTAAATTCCGCACGAAATCTGGTTCCTGAAACAAATGTACAGCATGATAAGATACCAAAGTTCATCATAACAGTATAAAGTATAAATAAACCGAAACCTGCTTGAGACAGATCCACTAACTGCTGATAATTTAGCTAGGGATGGCCTAACCCGAATAATTCAGTCCCTCCCTGTAATCGATCTCTCCTACTTGCGAATTTGTAGGATTTGGCGTGGAATTAGAGTTCTCTTCCATACAATTCTTCCGTCATTTAAGAATCGAAATACAACGACAAGATGAGAAAAATTGATTCATTCTGACGACAGACGTCGAATTTCATTAAAAGTGCTGACTGCTTCAAAAGAGAAATAATAGCAGAAACAAATCATGCCCACCGACCAGAAGGAAATTAAATATTTTTATGAATTAGACTTGGGATTCCTCCTAGAATTCACGTAGTAAAATAGGAAATATTATGTACGAAGTGAGATACCTTCTCTCTATATAATAATATATCAGTGACCGCTGTGGATAGTAAACGTAGAATTGATAGCATACCTGCCAACTTTTACGATTTAGGCGTTTACTACACGATTTTGACACCTTGTCACGATTGCACGATCTTGATCCTGAAAAAAGCTCTAAAACACAATTTTGTGAAAAATCTACACGAAAAAAAAAGATTGTTCCTGATTTTGAACTGTTCCCATGGGAAGACAATCGTGATCAGCCAATCAAAGTCTGTGTTTCTCATGATCAAATTAATAAGCCAATCAAAAACGTTTTCTCTCATGATTATTGGGACATGCTAAATTTTGAACTTGTGTTGTATTCCTCTGTGTGTTAGTTAGAATTGTAAAATCGTGAACATGGCAGGTGAATTTTCATCTGCAAGGAGGTTCTTACACAGCTTAAGAATAAAAGCATGGCTGATTGACAAAATTCAATGATGCAGTACTACCATAAAGATAATAAATAGTAGTTTATTCACTAACTTATTGACATTACACTTGCTGTAAAATATCATACACTACAGTTGTCATTTTTGTATTAAATTAAATTTCCAAATCATTTAAAGTACAATGTACTATTCTTTATTTTTCACAAGGACCAAATAAATGTCCTTCTTTGTACAAAATTTTATATTGGAAAAGTGAACAATCATTTAATATTCTTACACAAGAAAATAAATCCTGTTATTCTAGCTACATGTTCATCTTTTCTACTGATATAATAACTAGAATCATGCAGATAAACAGAAGAAAAAGGCTTGTAAGCTCATAATACAAATATGACACTTTTTCTATACCACAAAACAGCACGCGCAAAAAAATGCTACAAAGAATTGTAACCTTTGAAATTGTTGTCGTGCACTAAAATCCTCCATGGGGATTTTCAAAAGTTTGCAGGTATGTGATAGTAAATAGCAAATACAAGTTATTTCTAGTATATTTATGTTTATATAATACAGTAAAACATGAAAATAATTGAAACTAATAGAAAACAAAAAAATAACAGATTTTGGTAAAAAGGGGGAGGGCTAAAAAAAATTTCCTGTCCTCAAGTACCTATGAGAAAATGTAAATAATGAGTTTACTTTTTTCTTTTGTAGAATTGATAATGCCTCGGCAACTTAGTACCTCACTGAGTGATCTCATCCTAGCAATTTCAGCATTTTATGTTGCAAACCAGTTATATCGCCACCATCTTAAGCCATCTGTTGGACTAATTATCCAAGGAATAGCAGCGTCCATAGGCATCCTTAGATTCAGTATGGAGAACCCAGAGGGATCACTAATTTTCAAGGGTCACAAATTCTTTTCATGGTTAGCAGCCACATTTGGCATTCCGGCAATAGCTTTAGGATTTTGTGGCATTTACGGATCAGCTGTCCTAGCAAACAAGATAATAATATTTGTTGCCATTGTTGCAGTATCTTCCTTCTTCCTACCAACAAATATGAGACAGCTTACAACTCAAGCCGTCAGTGGATTCGCAATGTTGACAATCCTCCTGCTGTGTTTTATGTATAGAAATTGGTATGGTCTCGGTGCTGCAGTATTGTATGTTGTTTCTGGATTGATTGGCGGTTCAGAAGGACAGATAGGACCATGTTACAAAGTAGATATCCTTCACTATGGTCTTGTTATTGGAAATTTTATGTTTTGGTACTCATTTCCAACAGTAGATCCACCACCCAGTAGCAATACAAAACATTATTTGCAAAATTTTTGAAGTTCATACTATAATTTTACAGCCTTATTTCCAATTGTTTTTGATTTTTTTTTTACCATTAATTTTGTTATTCAAGCTTTTATATACTAATTGAGAATGGTATGCATTGTATTGATACTTAATCCAATGAAAAATATAAGTATTTTTTTTTTCAGATATATCATGGATACTTATGCTGAGTTCAATTATAAGATTTAAAAATGAATTTTATATAAACTATTTTTTCTACAATTTTGTAATTCAGGATGTGACTATACTTTTTCCAATAGATTTGCATGTGATTGAAAAAAGGATTTAGAGTGAAAGGTATTTTATTCAGTATTTGTCGATCCAACATTTAGGTTCTGGTCGTTTGTTAATGTTTTTTAAGACATCAATAACTTTGTCAAAACTCAATGAAATTTTACAAAATATGGACAGAAGCTTTTTTATGATCAAAATACTGTATCCACAGCAAAATTTGGATTTTTTTGAATTTTACTGATGAAAGGACTTTATACATGTAGTTGGCAGTTGACATTTAAATAAGTGTGGATTTAAGTATTTAAGATATCAATTATTTTGTCAAACAATCAATGAAACTTTGGCAGAAGCTTTTTTTATGACTAAGAGATAATGTCTGAATCTAAGTTTTTGAAATATTTTTTTTTTCATTTTTCAGTATTTTACTAATAAATGGATATATGTTTTGCAATTAACATTTACTTTCAGTCTAGGATTAAGTATTTTTTACATCAAAACTTTATGAAACTTTCATTGAATGTTATGAAACTAAACCAGAAGCTTCCAAGATCTAAAAATACACATGTAGCAATTTTTTCTCTTTTTAACAGATGAATTTAGTTTGTGGCATGCAAAATAATACTTTTAAACTGACAGCAGCAATCACAGGCAAGAAACAGGGTTACATGGAACCCTATATGAATTGTTGTAGAATCAGTATTTGCCAGTTTATAATAGAGGTATCTAAAATTCTCAGCCCCAGATTTTACAAGAACAAAACTTAAGAATATGATTTTTTTTACAAATATCCATAAAAATGCAATTGTTAAAAAAAATGATTACAAATTAGATCTATAAAGAAAAGAAAATAATTCAGCATCTAAAGTTTTGTTCTGTTAAAGTTAATGCTCACTGTCTTTGACAATCTGGTTGATGAATTGAAGTTTTACTTGCATGTTAAGTAAATTTTCAAGTCTAAATAAGACATATATACATGAGATTTATTCTAGTCATCAAATTGCAATAGAATTTTTTACTCATTTGAAACACAAAAATACATGTATGTCATATCACAAATACATTCTTCGTCAGAGTTTCATCATCAACATCTTTTTTTTACCGCTCAACTCTGCAAAGTGAATGTGTGATTTAATTCATGCCCTTGTTATTATATATTGTCATAAGTTTCTCTAATTTAAACCAAGGAACTCATTTTAATTATCTATAGATTTTCTACTCTGGTAGTTAAATCCGACAGCTTCTCTGATACTATAAGCAAAAGGTCAGCTATATGTGGTGTCTGGAATAAATATAATCGTATGGTGTAGACATGTCTGTCTGGCAGGGTTCATCTGATCTCAACTTCATTTTCATGGTTCATTGGTAAATGTTGTTTTTATGGTGTGGTCATTTCCTAAGATACTATAAGCAATAGATTATCTGACTTTCCTCAACCATCTTTTTTGTAATGTTTGCAAAAAAGTTGAAATGTTTAACTAGACTAATGAAATGATTCATGCCAATGATACCTTTTAGATTTGATCATATAGTTTTCAATATGCACTGGAAATTTTCATGTAATATGAGGTGCCTCCCTTATAATTTTTATTTTGTACAACCATTATCCAGGTATATTTTGTATATTGTTCAAAGAATATCATACTTTAGTCTTAATGTATCCGAAAAATCAATATTTAATGAAAAAAATTCTTAACTATTTTCTGCATGGTCAAATGTCACTGCCATAGTACCTACAACAGTTGTTCACAAACAGCCTGCTAAGAAAACACATTCCAAAATTATGAATTTGCTGACCACAAAAATGCATGGGGAATTATTTTTTCCTACAGGTTCTTCCCAGTTAGATGCACTGAAAGCAGATAAAACCAATGCAGATTTTATATTTAATAGGCAAATGCTTTGTTATTACCGATACCCTTTTTCTGGTCTTATAAATCCTTTGCTACAAATTTTTGGCTTTAAGCGTTCCTGATGAAGGTAAATCCAGAATAGGTGTTTCTAACTCATAAAATTTTATTAAGTGTCATTTTCATATTCATTATAAATCATTTGTTTATGCCTCATATCATTTTTTTTTTATAATTTGTAAAATGGCATTTGTGGCACTCATAATTTTGATATATAATATGTTGATATTTTGTTATTTTTGAATGTAGTGAACAAATTGAAGGGATATAGTTGTGTCAGATCATTAACCTCTCAGATCTCAGAGTATGACCTTGACACAACCAAATCCAATTATTGTGGCAAATAAATGTAGTGAGAGATATTTTGTGCTTCTTTTTTATTTAGATTGTTATTAGATGAACATGTAAACTTTTTAGATTGGATATTTTCCTGCTCAAGCTCTGCTTCTTTAAGTAACCACTCAAATCCATCAGTGAGTGTCTGGATGGGGTTTACCAAATAGAGAATAATAGCAAAAAAAAATAATGAATAGAGAAAATGAGTAAAAAATATAATAATAGAAAATAATGGGTGCAAAAGTATAAAGAATAACTTTGGAAAATAAAAGAATTAGGAAAACAATACTGATTACAGAAATGAACAATGAACAGAATAAAGAATTCATCAACTTACATGAAAATTTAATAATACAATCATTTTCATGAGAATTTTACAAAATAAGCCCCATCCAGACCCTCATCAGTATATCCGTCTGATCAAAGATATAGTTTGTGTCATGCCCAACTCAAAACAGTTTTCCTTCAATTTTATTCAACTTTGCTCAGTTCTTGCAAACATATTGAAGATGTGTATCTCCAATTTTGAATATATTTTTCTCAGGTTTTCCATGGGCGGAACTTTTTTTGTCATTGAATACTATAGAGGGCACCTTTTTTTATGTAATGGCTAACTCAATAGATTTCAATAAACATTATTCAAACTTTTGCACAGTGATTGAACACATATTGAATATGTGCAGTGGCAGAGATGGGGGGAGAACCCAGGGGTTCAGCCCCCTAATGGAGCTTCATAAATGATAAATGCCTAGAATTTTTCCTGTACCCGTACATTGTATCACTCCAAATGTTGCCTTGTCAGGGGGTCCCCATTTTTTAAATTCCTGCATCTGCACCTGATGTGTACCTCTAATTCAATTTTTGGACAGATTTGAATTAATTTCTCTCAGGTTCCTCATGAGTGGAACAATGTCATTTTTGTCAGAGGGCACCTAGTTTTTGTGTAATACCTAACTCAACAGATTTCAATGAACATTATTCAAACTTTCCACTGTGATTGCATGCATATTGAATATGTTTCCTTCTAATTTGGACAGACTTAAATTATAATTTCTAAGGTTTTCCGTTTTGTGGAACTTAATCTTTGTTTAATTATTAAATAATATAGTGGGTACCCAGTTTGTGGCATGTGTCCAATAGTTTTCCAGCAACATTTTTTATAACTTTGTGCAAGGGACCAAAATGATAATTTTTATTCAGAACCTTCAGAATAGTTTAAGACTTATTGGATAATTAATTGCACTAAAACTTATTAAGTGAAAAGTGATGGAGGTCTGCTAGTCTTCCTATTGAGTCACTTTTTTATGCCCCCGCTGTAGCGGAGGGGTTATTAAGTTTTACCCTTGTCCGTCTGTATGTACGTACATCCCAAAATTGGTTTCCGTTCTCTAACTTGAGTTTGCCTCAACCAAATGTTATGAAACTTATACACAATGCTAATTACCACAAAACACAGATCAAATTTGAATTTTGGTGGCGTCACTTTAACCAATCTAGAGTTATGCCCCTTTATAAATGGAAAAATTGCAAAATTTTTATACGACCGCAAAAAAATTTTTGTGGTCGTATATTGGTATGACATTGGCGTCGTCGTCCGAAGACACATTAGTTTTCGCACTCTAACTTTTGTTTAAGTGAATGGATCTCAATGAAATTTTACCATAAGGTTCAATACCACAAAAGGAAGGTGGGGAATGATTTTGGGGGTAATGGTACCAACAGTTAAGGAATTAGGGGCCAAAAGGGGCCAAAAATAAGCATTTTTGTAACTTCCAGACATAACTTGTGTGTTAGTGTATGGATCTCTCTGACATTGTACCACAAGGTTCCATATCACAAAGGGAATGCTGTGATTGATTTTGGGGGTAATTGCCTCAAAATTTTAGGAATTAGGGGCCAAAAAAGGGCAAAAAAACAAGCATTTTTATATGGACAAATACTTTAGTACAAAACATAATTTAAAGCAGTGTAAGGGAGATAAATCAAATTCATTAGAATTACCTCCCTTACACTGCTTTTAAATTATGTATAAAGTAATGGTTAATGAACAATTAAGACAATTTAAAACAGTGTAAAGGAGGAAATCCATGTACAACATTTTGATTACTTCCCTTACACTGCTTTTAAATTATGTTTAAAGAAATGCATATTTATAAAGGAAGACCAGTAAAAATATCTGCAAATGTTGCATCTTTTTTTTTTTACAAAAAAAACCATATGAAAGATTTGACACCATATTTTAAATTCTATTATAAAATAGATTAAGATAGCACTATGGTAAATTTAAATGGGTAATTATGGTTGCAAATTCCATTGGAAATTTTAATTGAGATTATGACCATATCTTGAGGGAAAGAATTTTTGGGGGGAAAAGGCGAGGGGGGGGGGGGGGTAAAAAGAAATTGTGGGGGGTTATTTTTTTCTCATTTCAGATTTCAGAAATTAAAAAGAATTATTCTTCAAATATTATTTTTTTTTCAAATTTCAAATATTGAAAAATTTCAAGAAGTAATCTTTAATTGCACAGTACGGCGCATTAGATTTGTAAAATCTTTGACCACATTTATTTATTTGTTATGCTAAATCTGACTGTGTATTTAGATTTTTAATTTTGGGGTCCAGTGGTCCAGTTTTCAAATTGGTCTACATTAAGGTCCAAAGGGTCCAAAATTAAACTTAGTTTGATTTTAACAAAAATTGAATTCTTGGGGTTCTTTGATATGCTGAATCTAAACATGTATTTACATTTTTGATTTCAGGCCCAGTTTTCAAGTTGGTCCAAATTGGGGTCCAAAATTAAACTTTGTTTGATTTCAACATAAATTGAATATATGGGGTTCTTTGATATGCTGAATCTAACCATGTATTTAGATTTTTCATTTTGGGTCCAGTTTTCAAATTGGTCTACATTAAGGTCCAAAGGGTCCAAAATTAAACTTAGTTTGATTTTAACAAAAATTGAATATATGGGGTTCTTTGATATGCTGAATCTAACCATGTATTTTGATTTTTGGGCCCCTTTATCAAATTGGTCCACATTGAGGTCAAAAGGGTCCAAAATTAAACTTTGTTTTATTTCATCAAACATTGAATTATTGGGGTTCTTTGATATGCCAAATCTAACCGTGTATATAGATTTAGATTTTTGATTTCGGGCCCAGTTTTCAAGTTGGTCCAAATTGGGGTCCAAAATTAAACTTTGTTTGATTTCAACAAAAATTGAATATATGGGGTTCTTTGATATGCTGAATCTAACCATGTATTTTGATTTTTGGGCCCCTTTATCAAATTGGTCCACATTGAGGTCAAAAGGGTCCAAAATTAAACTTT